GTTCTCCAATGTGAAACAAACAAAGAATGGAAATTCCAACTCAAACATTGCAAATTTTTGCACTTAAAAGAAAAGCACAGACAGCAGCCAGCATGGTGGGTTAGCAAGCTAATCCCCCACCTTCAATGCCGGCATCCCATAAGGGCACCGTTTCATGCCCTGGCTGTTCAACTTCCCATCTAGTTAACTGCTATAACCTAAGAAAGCAGTGGAGGGTAGCTACAGGCCTGAGCCCTGCACCCACCTAGGAGACCTGGAAGAAGTTCCTGGCTTCAGACAGGCTCAGCACTGGGCCCTGAGGGCATCTGGGGTGTGAACTAGTGGGTGCAAGATCTCTCTCTGTAAATCTACCTCTTGGGCGTGGTGTCATAGCATAGTGGCTAAAGTCCTTGCCTTGCATGTGCCAGAATCCCATATGGGTGCTGATTCTAATCCCCATCCAGCTCCCTGCTTGTGGCCTGGGAAAGCAGTCGAGGATGGCCCAAAACCTTGGAACCCTGCTCCTGTGTGGGACACCCAGAGGAGGCTCCAGGCTCTTGGTTTCGGATCAGCTTAGCTCTAGCCATTGCGGCTGCTTGGGGAGTGAATCATTGGACAGAAGATCTTCCTCTCTGTCTCTCCTCTTCTCTGTATATATGACTTTCCAATTAAAAAAAAAATCTACCTCTCAAATAGAAGTAAACGGAATAAACATTAACTGCTTCTATGAAGACAAGGGATAAATGCCTAACAAGCTCGCCCCCTTTATGAATGAAAATAGGAAACAGAGGCAGCAATCAAGACATGGTTGGGGACACCCACACCCCAAAGCATAACACCTGGGTCTGAGTGCTCGCTGTGCTCTCACATGCAGATTCCTGGCAGTGTTCACCCAGAGCAGCAGCAGGGATGGGTCAGGTCATTGAATCCCTGCCACCCTCATGGCAGATTTGGACAGAGTTCCCAATTCCCAGCATTACCCTCGCCCAGCCCTGCTTGTTGTAGGCATTTGGAAAAAAGAACCAGCAGATGGGAGCCATTTCTCTCCCCCTCTCTCTCTCTCTCCTTCTCTCTGCCTTTCAAATAAAAAAATAAACCATAAACTAAAATCTTTGTCACATAAAACTGATTTATGGAACTTTTACTCTTGGCTTCCACTGCGCATCTCAGTGTAAAGGCCAAAGGCATTACAATGGCCAACAAGCTCCCATCCACCTCATTCGCTGCCTCTTCCATCTACCTCTGCAGCCTCATCCCAAGTAACTGACCATCCAAACCAAGTTGTTTCTGATAGTGAAAGGAGACACCATTGGTAACTGAGCCATGGCAACAGACACAGTCCAGGAAAATGCCAGGCAATCTTGACTGACACCCACTCTGCTCCTCCACCCACTGCATGGTGCAACCTGGGCCAGCTACAAGACTTCGCTGCTGCTCCTAACAGGGGAACTCTCCTTCCTCAGGACCTTGGCACGTCTCCAAGTTACCCTTGGGACACTCACTTCAGCTCTTCACCCAAATGCCATCAGTGAAGCCCTGGATGACACTCCATACTCCTTGCCATCCCTCTCCATCCCCTTGCCTGCACCATCTTTCTCACACTGACACACACTAATACACTTCCTGGGTGCCTCAGCTGCCTCTTCAGTCCCACCAGATTGTTAAGCATCTGAAAACAGAGCTGGTAGATTTTCTATCCTGGTGTAGTTCCAGCATGGAGAAAGTTCATCACACATATTTGGAGCTTAATAAATACATTTGAGCAAATAATTCAAGTTTCCTCCCAGGCAGGTGCTTGTCCACACCTCCTTCCTATACAGAAATTCAGAATGGGTAGGATTTGAACTGAGCCTTCTAAGCCATCACTTCCCCAGCCAGGCACGGTGCAGCTGGACTGTGCTGTGCTGGGCCACACCTCTGGCCAGGGGTTTTGTCACGGTTTATTGGCTGGTCAGTCTCCATTGTGAGGTAGCCCTGGTTTCCTCCCTGTTAGAGACACACAAGCACTGAGCCACACATCCAGGCACCAGGACCTGCAGTCAAATGGTGCCTTCCTCCTCCCAGTCCCACTGTTCCCTTGGACCTAAAAAAGCCAGGGCTGAACTGGGAGAGGCCAAGAGTCCAGGTGCGTCCTGGCAGCTGGCTGACCCACTGTCTGTGGGACCCAGGATCAGTAGCAGCCTCTGGCACGGCCCCAGGGAGCCAGGTGAGGCATAATTGGCATCTGCCTCTCCTGTCCTCACACTTCAGGCTCCAGCCTGGGCCAGGCACCCTCGGGGACTGGGGGCCATGGCGTGTCTGGGGAGAATCCCATCGGAAGCTGGATGAGTCCAGGTCGCCACCACCAGCTTCCTGCCATGCTGAAGACATCACCACTTGGACAGGACAACAGCAGTGAGCTGAGCTCGTCGGCCACCGGGTCCAATACCCCCTTGGGGAGCAGCAGCAGCACCTTGACTCCAGAGAGAGGCCAGCCTGCAGGGGAGACCGCAGGACTCTCGTAAGTGGCAGGACTGCTCTTCCAGGGCCCGGGGCAAGTGTGGCTGCTTTGGCAGCTCTGCATTTCTCCCTCTTCTTGTTGCTGCTGCTCCCTAGGGAATGGGCTGCACAGAGCAAGCACAACGCCTGCAGGATTGGGAAAGATGGACTCATGTGGCTCTGGTGTTACCCCGTACTTTCCAGCTTTTGCAAAAAAAAAAAAACCCTGGTAGCATGGGTATCCCCAACATGCACTGCCGTACCCCAGGAGAAACTTTGTGTCCTAGCCTGGCTAGGTGCCCTTTCTTTCTTCCTCAGCTTCAGACTATTTTCCCTTTGGGGCCAGTGCGATGTCTTATCAAACCATCTGATTCTCTCTCTCTCTCTCTCTCTCTCTCTCTCTCTCTCTCTCTCTGTTTTTAAATATTTATTTATTTTTATTGGAAAGGCAGATATACAGAGAGGAGAGACAGAGAGGAAGATCTTCTGTCTGATGGTTCACTCCCCAAGCGGCCACGACCGCTAGAGCTGAGCTAATCCAAAGCCAGAAGCCAGGAGCTCTTCCAGGTCTTCCATGTGGGTGCAGGGTCCCAAGGCTTTGGGCTGTCCTTGACTGCTTTCCCAGGCCAAAAGCACGGAGCTGGATGGGAAGTGGGGCTGTTGGGATTAGAACCGGCGCCCATATGGGATCCTGGCGTGTTCAAGGCAAAGACTTTAAACACTACGCTATGGCACCAGACCCTCTCTCTGTCTTTCACACACACACACACACACACACACACACACACACACACACACACACACAGAGCAGCAGCAGCAGCTATAGTTATCTCTGAGAAAGAACTGGAAGACTGAGTTAGAAAAAACATTTCTATTCAGTATTTGGGCTTTTTTTTCTTTTTTTGGGGTGAGGGTGTTGTGTTCTGTGTTTCTTTTGGAATTTCAGTCCATTACTATTTAGTTTCTAAAAGTATAATTAAGCATAAATAATGACAAGGGCACTTCAAAAGTTTGTGGAAAATGGAATTAAAGATATGCTACTACTGGTGCAAAAGGTTTAAAATCCACACACAGTTCTCTTATAATACACATCTTTCATGAATCCCTTGAAGATGCCTGGTACACGTATCCATCAAGAATATCACTTCTAGGAGTTTTTTTACTCCAAGATAACAGCAGAGATCTGTGTAAGAACTTTGATTAGTGTCCTGGTTAGAATGCAGACAATTTGGAGATATTAGGAGAATGGTTAAATAAAGGATGACACAAACATGCAGCAAAACAGAGCACTGCCATGATGAATGCTTACCAGCCTGCGGGCACGGAAAGTTCCACGGCATCAATCAGTCCCAGGGTCCAGCACACACTGCCGCCCTCCCAGGCGACATCCAGGCCATGGAGAAGCACACACAGCTGCCCGGAGGACTGCTCATCGCCATGAACAATGTCAACTCCAACTGGGGGTAGGCATGGGAAATCTCCTTTTATAGCCAGAAAGCATAATTTTTTAAGGAAAACATATAAAGCGGTTTCTAAAAAAGGGTCCTAGAAGAACCCCAGAAGTCCCAGAGGAATGTACTCGAAGCTCTGGTGTGTGTGATGGTGGCAACCGAGGTGCCACAGTTTCTCTCCTCTTTTCACCACTTCCATGAGATCCACTTCTGTTGGGATAAGGTGCTGTCCTAAGACAGATGTGAAAGGCGGGGAGCAGGGCAGGAAGTGGTGGTGGGCGGGAAGGAGAGAGTCTTTCTTTTGGAGAAATGACTGCTAAGAAATGGACAAAAGGAAGGAAAAAATCATGGCTATTATTTTAAACGTATTTTCTTGAACCCTTCATAGCAATCTAGATTCACAATGAATATGGTTGAGTAAATGAAGGGTTGTGAACATGAATCAGCATGTACTCCACATGTGGCAGAAAATCATGCTTTCCTCTAGTGAGTGGGTTAATAAATGGTGCCAATACATACTCTGTGACTTGGAACAGTTAAGACTGTGTGTAGCTGGGCAACCTGCTCCAGCTCCTGATTTCAGCTGGCTGCTAGTGCAGACCCTAGGAGGTAGGGGTGATGGCTCAAGGCCCTGGGTTTCTGCCATCTACCTGAGACACATAGATGGTGTTCCCCACAAACCAACCTTAGCAAGTGCGGGATCCTGGGTGAGTAAATTTTACATATGCTCATATATACTTATATAATTACTCAGTTTTTTCATTTGCTTATCTACATGCTAGATACTATTTGAGTAAACAAATCACTGGATGGATTCATAAACTAACTTGTACAAGAGAGTATTCCAGAATGGTACTGATTTAATTTACTTTTTCTTACGTGCCTGAAGCAGCACTAGTCCTGGATCACACATTTCCTCACAGATCCTGGAACCGAGAGAGATGTCCTGGAGCCCGCTTGGTTTGGGTTTGTCCGTGTTCCCAACAGGTGCCACCGGAGCTGCTGGTAGGAGCTGAGGCATGGGAGGCCCTTGCCTTCTACTCACAGAACCCCCTTGTCTCCCTACTATCCCCACTACAGGACAACACAAACCTTGATCCACATGCTGAAATGCAACATTGGCACAGGACTCCTGGGGCTTCCTTTGGCCATAAAGAATGCTGGCTTATTGGTAAGAGGCACCCAGGGGTTGGGACCAGCTTATTTCTGTGCAGAGGGGAGATGACAGAGCTGCACGGCCTCTGCTTTGCTTGTCATCGGGCACTTTGGAGGAACTCTGTGCTCACTAACATCAACCTACTGCAGGCCAGTGGAGCATCCCTGCAGCGCACGGACCATTACACAGAAAGCCCCATGATAGCACCTGCACTCTTCCATCCTCCTATCCTCGGGATTGTGTTCAGCCCACTGCGCTCATTTACACTGGCTCTCTGTGTCTGAGTGTGTGAATCCTCTCTCAAACCACTGGCCAGTTTGCGAGAAAGTGCCGTGGGCATGAGGACAAGGAGACCTTCCTCATCTCCCCCCACTCCCTCTCGAGGCATACTCTTCCTGCTCCCCTGACTTGGTCATTTGAAATTTTCCTCCTTTCTAAAATTGTATCATTTCCTTAGAAAATGAATGCCATCCTCTTCTGTGTTTTTTTCTGGGACTTACACTTGTCTCATCTGGAGTTCTTACAGCACTTATAAAACATATCTTCCTCAGTTTAAAGCTCTAAGGCAAGATTTCTGATCTCCCTTTACCTCCTCCCCAAAGCACCTGTTGTAGAGGTGAACACCCAGAATATTCCAAATAGACTTGAGGTGTATTTATTTAGAATACATAACTCCCCATTAGCTGCCATGAATTTTCTCTTCTTTCAAAACCTGGTAAGTGGCCCCAGGATCTAAAGAAGGCTTTCCAAAATCACTTCTGGTCCCAGAGTGGGACTCTGTCCTTCAGAACCTTCTGGATTCTAGATCTCAAGCGATGAAGGTGCGTGTTTTAAGACAGACTTTGACTCCTCCACTGCTTAAGCTCCAGGCGGCTCCGTTACCCTTCCACACCTACCAGGACTCTCCCCATGAGTCACTGCAGGAATGTTGGCTGAGTCCCTACTATGTGCATTCTTGGGCTCAGGAAGTTCAAAAGTAAACGGGAGAAGCTCTTCCCCCATGCCGGCTACACTCTAGTGGAGTCCAGTGGTCCTCAGGTGGCCGCCCCTGTTTCCAATGTGATTTCAGGGTGTGTCCATAAAGGCACAGGAGTCCAGAACAGAGCAGGTAAGCAAGCCTCCATGTCCTTCCGATCCCATCCAGAAGGATCCAGTTCATCATTAGCCCTGTTTTTATTTTAATTTTTAAAAGAGGAATATTACTAAATTAGGCACACCACAGCATCGGTTCTGTCTCCCTCTGTGCCCGCTGCCAACAGCTCCAGAGAGATTCATGAAGCGCAGAGACGCTTTTGGTGGTCACGCGGACTCTTACTGTTGTGGGCTAGATTTGGGCCTAATACTTACAGCCTAGGTTCTAGCCTCTTTTTAAAAAAGCATTTTAAATACAGGCGCCAACACAGCTTGCAGAGTGGTAAGGTTTGTTTAGAGGTGAAGAATTCCCAAACGAACATGGGCCATGTTCGGGAACAGAATGGGCCAGGAAGGGAAAAATAAGAGAGAGGGGTACTTACCTTTAGTATGCTGGACCCGCAGGAGAGAGAGTGCGCAGGCGCCAGCGCTTCCTGCTTTCGCGGTCAGAGGGAATACTTCCTGTGGAAAGGGGCGTGCCGGGGAGGGTGTGGCTCCCAACCTACCTACTTACCTACTAGCCCAGGTACCAGCATGTAGAGGCCCACACATGCTACTGAGCAGTCCAATGTGCAGCCCAGGTACAGACGCATAGCAACAGCGCCCCCTGCCGACCACCTCCTTATCAGAGGAAAAGAACTTAATTCTAAGAGGAACCTTGGAGGAGGAAGATGAGGGCTGGGATGGATAATGAACTAAACTTACCACGAGGGAGTCTTCAGAAATAGAGCCCCGAAGCAGACCCAGCAGGCCTGGGCCATGTACAGGCATCGTGCACTCTGTGGCTCACAGCTCCTAGCCGAGTTGAGCCGCCAATGGGCAGCGATGCCGAGCAGGGCGTTGGAACCAGAGCATGTCAGGCAACAGGGCCTGTCGCTCCAGCGATGGCTTTGTTCTGGGGGTGCCCAGCCTGGAAGCAGTCTGCGGCGGCTCACTGGCCCACTTCTCTCCCCGCAGGTGGGTCCTATCAGTCTTCTGGCCATCGGCATCCTCACTGTACACTGCATGGTCATCCTGCTGAACTGCGCCCATCACCTCACGCAAAAGTGAGAGGCCAACTTCTCTGCCCCCTTCTTCCCCACCCCCACCCCAGTCCCGGGCCCCATCCGATGCAGTGGTGAGTCTGCTCTGACTACTAACCCTGCCAACAGGGGGTTCACTGTTTCAGGCCACCATCCTTGTCACTTTGTTCTACAGAGGCAGAGGAGAGGGTGGGAAGAGTTCCCATTCTAGACTCAGACTGTGGCATAAGAGCTGGACCACCTTGTCAGGTTCCTGTACTCCTCTGAGCCTGACTCCTTCCCTGGAAACAGCACAAGTGACCAAAGTTATCAAAGGACTCTGAGCACCTGCACACACATACATAGCTGTATCTATATAATAAGTCAGTAGATGGATAGGTAGATAGATACACAGGCACATAGGGATAGAGGATAGAGTTGATGAGACACATGTAGTCTTTTCCTTTTAGTCTCCCCACTGCAACATGCACACCCGGCCGGGATAACTTGTCCTAGGCAAACCGCTGTTAGAGTAATTTCACAAAAAAATTTAAAACACCCAGTTATTGGTAAGATGAATAGTTTATAATGACTTCAAGCATCATAATATTCCAATGTTACACATTTTAACTTAATTTTAAAAACCTGCAAGAAAAAAGCAAACAAAATGCAGGATTTGAGCTCCCCAGTTGAGAGCTCAGCCACTTCCAGGACTTGCAGATCCAAACAGAGCCTTACGCATGTGCAGAGAGGTTTCCAAGTCATAGTAGGAATGTAGTCAAGGAAATGCTTCCTAAAGCCAGCTCATCATCACCTGGGTAGGTCTGTTTGGCCTAGGTCAGCCGTAGCGAATGTGTGAAGCACAGTCCTGCTCACAAAGTACTTTTATGAATATGTCATTGCTAGAAAATTGACAGGAAGCTCCACTCCTGCACACATAGATAGAGGAATGCCTCCCTTGGGGGAGTAAATGGTATCTCTAACCAAAGATGTTAAATCCTGCCTTGTTCTTCCTTTCCCTTTAGACTGCACAAGACTTTTGTCAACTACAGCGAGGCCATGATGTACAGCTTGGAAACCTGCTCGAACCCTTGGCTGAGGGCTCACTCCATGTGGGGAAGGTAGTAATCCCAGCTATAGTGGTGACAACAGTGACAGTCCCACCTGCACGCCTTCATTTCTAGCTATACAAGCCTTAAATTGATTATGTCATTATTGTTTAAAAGATTTATTTATTTTTATTGGAAAGGCTGACTTTACAGAGAGAAGAGAGACAAAAATAAAGACTTTTCATCTGCAGATTCACTCCCCAAATGGCCACTATAGCTGGAACTCAGCCTATTCAAAGCCAAGAAATAGGAGCTTATTCTGGGTCTCCCATACAGGCACAGGATCCCAAGGCTTTGGGATACCCTCTACTGCTTTCTCAGGCCACAAACAGAGAGAGGGATGGGAAGTAGAGCAACTGGGACAAGAACCAGTGCCCGTATGGGATGCCGGCACTTGCAAGGTAGAGGATTAGCCAATTGAGCTATCATGCTGGGCCTTGATGGATGTTTTTACTGGAAACTTTCACACAATCTAGAGAATTTCCCAGCAACCCCCACCCCTCCTTTGATACTTAGCTGGTAAATGATCCTCTTCTTGCATTCTCTATACATGTCAATGTACATGCATGAATGGAAATGTATCAATTATTTAATATTATCTTGCCTATTACTCTGAATAAGTTTCAGAGTCACAGCCAAATGCAATGTACAAGCCCTGATGAGATCTAGAATCAAAAAAATAAGAGATAACATGTTTGTAAAAGATATTAAGATATTTTAGAGAGAAATTGAGGTATTTAAGATGTGTATTCTAAATCAGATCCCTACAGTACAGGGAACAGAAGGAAAATAGGCAAATGGCATTTTTAAAATCAAATTGAATGATTTCTACATAGTAAAGGAAATGATCAAACAAGTGACAGAAACAACAGAAGGGGAAAATATGCACAAAGTATCCACAATGCCAAGGGTTTAATATCCAGAATATTCAAGGAATTCAACAGCAAGAAAAATATTAATAACCCAATTTTCAAGCAACCAGTGGATCTAAACAGACATTTTTCAAAGAGAGATATACATATGGCCAATAAAATGCTCAGTGTCACTAAACCTCAAGAAAATGTTAATCAAAACCACCATGAGTTATTACCTCATTCCAGTTAGATTGACCAGTATCAAAAAGTCAAAAGATAGTGTTAGCAAAGTTCCAGAGAAAAGGAAGTGTTTGCACACTGTTGGTGGGAATAAAAATTGGTACAGCCATTGTAGAAAACAGCATGGTGGTACCTCAAGAAACTGAAAATGGAACTATCCCCCCCAATCTAGCCATCACACCTGGCATTTCTGCAAGGGCCATCAAACCTGTCTGCTCAAGAGGCTTCTACACTGGCATTAGACAGCAGCAGCACTGGACAGGAAATGGGAACAACCTACATGTCCATCTACTGAGGCATGTGGTACATACATACAATGGGATACTGCCCAGCCACAAAAAAGGATGAACTCTCACTACTTGCAAAAACATTGATGGGACTGAAGATCATTCTGTTAATTAAAATAAGCCAAGCCCAGAAGGACAAACAGGGCATGACCTCAATCATGCGTGGAGCCTTCAAATGCCAAAAGATGATCTGATCAGAATTAACGCCATAATGGTGGTTACCAGGGGCTAGGGAGGGTAAGGAAGAAGGGATGAGACAAGGCTGATTAATGAGTACAAGGTTAGAGGCAAGATGCTCTGGGTCCTGTTACACAGGAAGGTGACATAGGTAGGGCTAACTTGCTATATATTTCTCTATTAAAAAAAACAAACTAGAAGATAGGATTGGGAGTGTTTTCAACATAAAGAAGTGTTAGATGTTTAAAGAGGTACATGTACGGCCTTTAATTGGACACCCCACAATGTGTATTGCAACATCACATAGTACTCCACACATATGTAAAATTTTTCTATACTAAAAACTTAAAAGCCACAATATATACTATATGACTGAGAGACATTGAAACTGATTTTCTATATATAAGTTATGTCTGTGCAACAGTGTGTATGTATTATACATGATAAATTATTGATTGGCATATTAGAGGGCATGCAAATGTTCATAATACTGTTCTTTCAACTTTCTCTGTGGCACTGACATTTTTTAAAATTCAAAGAAATGAGGGAAAATATCGATAGAAACAACTGCTTCAATTTCTTGTTCAAATTTTTAAACATGTTCTCATACAATCACATTAATGCTTGCTTTCTCAGTCTGCCTGTTCTTTTCTTCCCCAGGTACATGGTCAGCTTCTTATTAATCATCACACAACTGGGCTTCTGCAGCGTCTACTTTATGTTTATGGCAGACAATTTTCAACAGGTGAAGAAGGCTCTTCTGGCAGAGTATTCAGTACAAGTGTTGGGGTTCAGGTCCTGGGAACAGACAGCAATCCTGCTACTCCTTGACCAAACCACATATGAGAGTTCTTTCAGTCCTGGAAACTACAGCCCAGAAAACACATTTTTAGCCTGAAAAAGCTAAAAAGAAAATACACGCTTTAGGGATCTGAGTTGTCTGCCTAACTAAACTGGGAGCCACACACCTGCAATATTCCAGTCTGGAACAGGAGACACTCCCTGCCACATACTAAAGCTAAGCAGAAGGCAACGGGCTCGATGGTGGGCCTCCTCGGATTCCAAGTCAAGGTTTCTACACACGTTTTAGAATGCGGGATGCTTTTTATGTTTTTCAAGATTTTTATTTCTCTGAAAGAGATCCTCCCATTCTCTGGCTCACTCCCAGTATCCACAGCAGCAAGGGCTGGGCCAGACTTAACTGGAAACTCAATGTGAGTCTCTCATGGCGGGTAGAGACTCAGTCATTTAAGCTGTTACTTGCTTACCTCCCAGGGCATCCTTTAGCAGGAAGAAGATTGGGGTCTAATACTGAAGCACTACATGTGGGATGCAGGCACTCAGCCCAGCTTTGTGTGTGTGGCAGAAAGAGGAGTTTACCCGAATGTGTTAGCTGCACACCTTCTCTCATCTCTGCCGTTCTCCATCCTCTGGCTGTGCCTGAATTTATGACATCCCAGAATGTTTAGCTGACCAACAGGCACTACAGTTCAGGTTACCAGATTTGCCCCGCCCCCCGAAATAAATATGATGGCCATATTCATTAGAATTTCAAAAAAGTAGCAAATATTTTTTGTTTTATTGTGAATGTGTCCCTTGTATTACTTGGGCTCTCCTCATACTAAAACATCAACTGCCAATCAACTGAAATTCAAATTTCACTGGGTGTCCTGTGTTGAGGTGAACAAGCCTAATTACTCTTTCACTACACTCATGGCAGATAGCAGAAGAAGCCCACATCACCTCCAAGACCTGCCAACCCAGGAAGAATTTGGTGCTGCACCCCATCCTGGACATCCGATTCTACATGCTGATCATCCTGCCCTTTCTGATCCTACTGGTGTTTGTCCAGAACCTCAAGGTGCTGTCAATCTTCTCAACATTGGCCAGCATCACCACCCTGGGGAGCATGGCTCTGATCTTTGAGCATATCCTACAGGTCTGTTCCTGAAGCCATGGCAGAAGCCGGTAGGGGACAGAGCCTCTGAGGCCCCTGGCAGGGTGATTGTCACGGTGGGCGGATCCTCTGCCTGCAATGGCTGGATTTATATTAGTGTAAAGCCAGACTCTTCTCCTGCCTTGTTTCAGGGGATCCCGTTTCCCAGCGACCTACCTTTGATGGCCAACTGGGAGACCTTCCTACTGTTCTTCGGTACAGCCCTCTTCACGTTTGAGGGTGTCGGTATGGTAAGACTGAGAGGATTTGAGTGAGTGATGCCTGGAGCTCCTTAAGGTGACCGGTTATTGTTCTGGATGTCCAACTACACTCAGTGCCTATGATGTTCAGAATATAGCCTCCACCTGATGAAGGGCAACTCCCTACCCACCTACAGAGCCCAGCCGGGAGGACTTACCAGTCAGCCAAGATCACTTAGGCATTCCTGGCAAAAGAAAATGAGGGGAGAAATGAAAGGAGTGTGGCCACACCAAGCAGCACCCTCTGGCCTTCCCACCAACTCAGAGGAGGTCCTCTGCCCTTGTTGGGGAAGCCAGCCCTTCACATGTCTATCTGTCTTCTCATTCCTAAATTCTTTTTGCCTACAGGTGCTACCTCTCAAGAACCAGATGAAAAACCCACAGCACTTCTCCTTTGTTCTGTACATTGGGATGTCCCTGGTCGTCGTCCTCTACATCCTCCTAGGGACACTGGGCTACATGAAGTTTGGAGCAGACACCCAGGCCAGCATCACCCTTAACTTGCCCAACTGCTGGTATGTCCCTGGTTACTTCATTGGGAGTAGGGAGAGGCATGAGCTCTGAACCTTAGCAATAGAAAGGAGCTGCTATTCACAACAGATGCTAGTTGTTAATACTAGCATTAGGTATAATAATAGGTCAGTGTGATAATCCAGGAAATGTATACCACCACAGTGAACTCCTTTTTGTATATATTTATCTTTTTGTTTTAAAATTTCATGATTTTTAAGATTATTGTCACATTTACTTCGTAAGTAGTTATGATTACAAGCACATATATTGCTATTCTTTCCTGAAAATAGGAACATTAATATCACAAAATGAGGGATTCATAACAATGATTATAATGTGAGGAAATTGGGGGTTATTATCAAAAATGAATCTACCATATGTCCCAGTTGTTCCACTTCTGGAAATATAGCCAAAAGAAGTACAATGAAACAGACACATATACTCCCATGTTTATGGCAAGCCAATTCATACCCGCAAAGGTATGGAATCAACCTAAGATGTCTGTCAGATAATGAATAAAGCAAGCGTAGCACGCACACACAATGGAATATTTCTTATCTATGAAAAAGAACACATCCCTAACATTTACAACAAAATGGATGGATTTAGATAGCATATACTAAACAAAGCAAGTCAGATTCAGAAAGACAAGTATCACATTTTCCTTCCTTTATGGAAGTTAATATAGAATATAAACGTATAGAAGTTATACTATTTGCTAGACAGTTGTGGACGTTGCTTCATCGAATTATACCACATACATGACAATGCCTCACTGAGCTCTTACAACACCCTAGGGGTTGGTGTTATTATTACCAACTCCATTTAATAGCTCATACTCAGAGAGGCTGAAAGTAACTTTCTCAGCTCACACCGTGAGAAGATGAAACGTGAACCCAATCTGTCTGGCTCTAAAGTGTGAAGGCGAGGAAGCAGGAATGATCTGAGAATACCCAGAAACAGAAACAACAAGCTTGAGTCAAAGAAAGGACTGGCATCCTACAGGCAGACGTTAACTCAGACTCCCACATTTCAGAAATGGCTCTACGTTTGCTGTTGGGCTCCACTTGAAATTTGCACTAGAATACTTGTATTCATTCATTTACCCATCTGGGAAACATTTTGAGGCTGGCATGCACTGATCCAGCACTGACTTGCTGGAGTCACAGTGATAAAGCCATCGGGCACCACCAAGTGTTTGAATACAGCTTCTAAAGCTAATAGGATCCTGGCTCCTGTGTGACTTTAGTCAAGTTGGCCTAAAACCTTGCAGACCTCCGTTCCCCTCTCTGTAAAATAAGATGGTAATGCCTGTTTGCATCAGTCAGGATAAAGCCAAGTTATGCTCCAATCATAAACATCTCCAAACTCCCGTTGGCCAGAGACGCAAAGCTTCCTGCTGTGCTCATGTTATATATCCTTTGTGGGAGAGTTAGAACATAGCCTTATGAAAGAATCACTTTACCATGTGACTGGTTGGCATGGCCAAGAACACATGAGTCACACCTGTTACCACAAAGCTGGGCATTCCTCAGCATCAGTTAAAGCCAGTCACATGGGGCCTGGCTCAAGAGTTCAGTGCCTAAATCCTCCACCTGCAGGCACTCGCATCCCATATGGGTGCTGGTTCATGTCCTGCTTGCTCCACTTCCCATCTAGCTCACTGCTTCTAGCCCCAGAAAGGCAGTAAAGGATGGTCCAAAGCAGCTGGACCCTGCATCTGTGTGGCAAATCAAGAAGAGGCTCCTGGCTTCAAATCAACTCAGTTCCTGCTATTGCAGCCATTTCGGGAGTAAACCAGCAAATGAAAGATCTTTCTGTCTCTCCTTCTCTCTGCCTTTACAATAAAAACAAATCTTTAAAGAAAAAGAAAAAGCCAGTTACATCACCTCACCTCAATACCAAAGAGGCAAGCACATGCAAGTCCGCCAAGTGCCTAGCAGTAGGCAGTGAACTGCAGAAATGGCTGTCCCTCTGTCGCATGAAGTCAGTGTGAGGATTACCTCACTGTGTTGTGATAATGGCTATGCCAGTTAGTATACAGGGAGCATCTCTGAAATTGTACCCCATTTTATGCAAGTAAGGCCTCATCCTAATGCACAAATCTCACTCTAGGCAGTTTAGACTGCTACTAGCTGCCTTGGGCAGAGCACCGTTCCATGGGGGTTATACCCCATCAGGACTTCACACCTGCTGATGTGAACCTGATGGGTCATCAGATTCTCCAGGACATTTTCAGTGAATATCCCTTCCCAATAAGAAAAGATCAACAACCCAGGAACACATGGGTGAAGAGTTCACAAGCAGACAAAAATGACTATTTTGTGTTCAAGAGGATAACGGAGATGCTCATTTTAAAAGTAAAGATTAGTACGCATTCACACATGGTGTTGGCACAGATGTGGGGAAGCAGAAACTTCCACACCTTAGGGCGGGAAACAAACACTATATCCCAAGGCTGTTCAAGTCTGAAATATGGCTTAGCCTTATTTATCTACTTTATGTGTATTTTAACATATAATTTTTTTTGCTTAGTGTTTTTACTTTTGGGGTTGTATGTTATAATACATATTTGTCTATGATAAGGATGATCTTTGCAGAAGTGGCAAAAGACCAGGAATAATCTAAACATGAGGGAACTTGTAAAAAATGTACGGTATATTCTTGATGTTAGGATACTGACCAGCTATGAAATATGAGTAGGTGAGCCAGATCTATATGTACTAAGGAATAATTTCCAAGATACATTTGATGGGGAAAAAAATACGAAAAGTTCAACAGTATGTAGAGGAATGTACCTGAACCCTGTATGAGTTCATGTGGATGCAGATTACTACTAGAAGTGCTACAAGACAACCCTGAGTGGTCACTGATGGGAAGGGGACTGGAGACTAGGAATCAGGGGTAGGAGGGATGTTATACACAGTATGGCTTCTGTGAATGTTACCGTAAGCAAACAGTGCCTTTTACGTTTCATGAAGCACAGATTCCTGAGCCATAAGCCCATTGATTCAGAAGCCCCTGGAATGTATGTGGTTAGTAAGCTTACCAGGTTGCCCCTGGGGCCAGTCTGGACAGCAGCCAGTTCTGGAACTCAGTGGCCATCAGCAGCTGCCAAGCAATGAGTGAGGCCTCATCAGCCCTTCCCAGGAGCCATGCTGCATTTCACATCCTCTCGATGATCTGTCCGCAGGTTGTACCAGTCAGTCAAGCTGATGTATTCTGTTGGCATTTTCTTCACCTATGCACTCCAGTTCCATGTCCCTGCCGAGATCATCATCCCGTTCGCCATTTCTAAGGTGTCAGAGGACTGGACGCTATGTGTAGACCTGTCTGTTCGCACAGGCTTGGTCTGTCTCACCTGTGAGTAGGATAAAGTAATACTCTTTGCCTACAATGCCACCTGACCCACTGTCATTGGCTCTGCCTTCCTTTCTTGTGATTTAGGCCAAGGTCTCTGTCATTCTGCCTTGCAAATAAATAAGTCTTAAAAAAAAAAAAAAAAGACAGGATGGGGGTAGGGCTGTGAGAATGCTGAGTCACAGGTCCTGACCTACTACGACCCGGGGCAGGCTGTCAGGTGTATGTGAAAATCTAGGGATCTAAATGCATGATTTCTTTTTTTTTTTTTTAAGGTTTATTTTTACTGGAAAGTTAGGTATACAGAGAAGAGGAGAGACAGAGATGAAGTCTTCTGTTCAATTAGTCACTCCCCAAGTGGCCGCAATGGCCAGAGCTGTGCTGATATGAAGCCAGGAGCCTGGAGCCTCTTCCGGGTCTCCCACGCGGGTGCAGGTTCCCAAGGCTTTGGGCAGTCCTTCACTGTTTTCCCAGGCCACAAGCAGGGAGCTGGATGGGAAGCGGGGCTGCCAGGATTAGAACCGGCGCCCACATGGGATCCCGGCACTTGCAAGGTGAGGATTTTAGCCACTAGGCTACCATGCCAGACCCAAACACATGGTTTCTGAGCACTTTTCTCGCAGGAGCCCCCCATGACTCAAATCTCTCCCCTCTCTGCAGGTGTCTCGGCCATCCTCATCCCCCGCCTGGACCTGGTCATCTCCCTGGTGGGCTCTGTGAGCAGCAGCGCCCTGGCCCTCATCATCCCGCCCATCCTGGAGATCACCACCTTTTACTCTGAGGATCTGAGCGGTGCTACCATTGCCAAGGATATCATGATCAGCTTTCTAGGCCTCTTGGGGTGCATATTCGGGACCTATCAAGCCCTCTATGATTTGATTCAACCTGTCAATTTCATAGCTAACTCCACTGATGTCTATGCATAATTCTCAATTTTTATTTTAATAGCACTCCCTTCCTCCCATCCTAATTTGACTTCCCTGTGGATGCTGTATACATTCATCAAACCCCAAAATCCTCATCTTAATTAGTGACTTTTTTATCCTTTCAAGAGAAATTTAGAAGACATTAGGTTAGTATGGATGCCTCTCAAGGTATACTTGTATTGGTTCTAGATTTCTTTCACTATTTTTTTTTTTTTTGTACCTCTGATCTAAAACCACATCCAACCATTCTTATTAGCACCTTCCTTAGGGGTAATGGGTGGATTTGTCGCTTGGGGAGCAGCACTGTGGCCCAGTAGGTTAAGCCACTGCTTGCAATGCCAGCATTCCACAGGAACATCAGTTCTCAGTCCAGGCTGCACCATTCCTGACCCAGATCCCTATTCTTGCCCTTGGAAAATCTGCGGAAGACAATTCAAGTGCTTGGACCCCTGCCACTCACATGGGAGACCCCAATGGAGTTTTAGTCTCCTGAATTCAGACCCAGCCTTTGTGGCATTTGGGCAGTGAAGCAATTGATGGAGAATTACATCCTCTGCCTCTTCCTCCCTCTCTGATAACTCTGCCTTTCAAATAAATAAGTTTTTACATATCATTTGCCCCAATATCCTGGAAATAGATCAAGCACACATACAACACCAACTGTTCGTGGATCTCCTTGGATCTCAGGACTTGGGACACAAATATCACTGTTGTACTAAAACAACAACCAGGGACCAAGATTCAAGAGTTCAAGACAAACAGTTAATTGCAAGCTTTCCTTCTCTCCATTCTACCCAGGTCTCTAAATACCCTTCAAGAATAGATAATTCTGGGAATACTTTGACTACAGTTGTTTTTCAAGGATAAAAGCAAGCCTAGTAGAGAGTGGGCCAGAGAGCACTGCGGCAGAGCCTGTCACCTAGGCAACATTCTGAGGGGCCACTTGGGCACCCACTTTTAGGTGCTTGTCTCCAGGCCTTCCTGAAGAGAAAGACTCCCCAAGTTCGTGATCTGGTCAGCACACACTCCTCCAAGCCTCTCACCTCTGCAATTGTTTTCTCTCGAGTGCCAGGGCTGCCCTTACAGCAGCAGCTATGGAAACTTGTGTGCGCATTGAGAGAGGAAGATTCCGGTTACGATATTCTGGTGGAGCACAAAACAAAACCAACACCGAGCAGTCACCTTGTCCAAACACCAGCTTTGCTGCTGATTTCTCTGGGGACAACAGGAAAGTCCCTCCAGAGTCTCTGTTTTAGTTGCCTGTGAAAAGAAGCACTGGATTAATTGATCGCTGATCATTTAATGAGAAGGAGAAATAGCGGGAGCTCTTCCATGTGCTGGTCCACAATAGTTGGGGTTAAGTCCAAATACTTCAACCACTTTGTGCTGCCTTCCCAGGCACATTAGCCAGAAACTGGTTTGGAAATGGAATTGCTGGAACTTATGCCACCACTCCAGTAAGGGATGTGGGCATACCAAGCAGCAGCTTCACATGAAGCACAACACCTACCCCCAATGATATTCTAATGAAAGCAATGGCTCTTTCTTCCCCCACATTCATTATGGGTATTACTCACTAAATTTTGCAGTTTCAGGCATGATCACCAACCAGGAAGTTAGCCCTGAGTTGCAAAAGAACCAAGGGGAAAAAGAATGCAAGAGGTTCTGCTTCTTCAGCCTTGAGCTAGCTGAAAATGGCTGGATAAATTCAGAAAGCACAATATACAGAATCAGATAAGGAAGTTAACCATCTCAGGAAATTCTGTGAAGGTGATGCAGAAGCACATGCTAATTGCTGCCAGCAACTTGAGATCACGGGGGGCTCCAAAACTGGCCATTGTAGCAGAGGCCTTTCTGTGGAGCTCAGCTGTCACAGCCTCAGGAAGACCCTCTCCATCTCCCCCCGCAGATCCAGACTCTGCAATAACACACCAAAGCCATACTGTTCACTCTCATAGCTGTGCGTCTTCCTTCCTGTGTGGTAGGAGAGCAGACACGCGTCTTTTGTTCTTAAAATAGAAACACTGCCCATATATTTTGAGACTTGAGACTTACAGAGAGTGGTGCCTTTGTTCCTTTCCAGTTGCCTGAGGTTGAGTGACTGAGGAAAACACAGGTTTCCTTTAGCTCGTAGCTCTGAAGGCAGAAAAGGCCAAGTGCCTGGTGCAAAGTTTGGCTAGGCTTCTCGTCTGAGCCTCTGCTGGAAGGGCAAGTGGGTGCATGCAGGAGAGAACAAGGGGCACCCACATAGCTGGATCCAGTCCTACCAGAGCTGCATGACTCACCTAATCACTCTTCAAAGGTTTCACTGTCTCTCAGCACTGTAACTTTGGGAACCACATTTCGGTATGTATTTGGAGGAGACAGACTGTCTCCAAATTATAGCATGCAGTAAAAATAAGTTTCTATGTAGCTTCACCTGGTTTTCATGAATGTTAACATTTTATATACCACAGTAGAATTATCAAACCCAAGTAATTAATATTGGTGAAATCCTATATCTAATCCTTTTTCTAATCCAGTAGCCACATGAGGATCTCACAGTGCATGTATTCATCCTATTTCTTTATTCCTTCCCAGTCTCTGGCTGTACCTCCACCTTTCTTACTGCTTATGACCTAGATATTTGTGAAGAGTACTGCTCTGTTATTCTATAGTGTCTCTGCATTTGAGTGTGATATTTTCTCATGATTATAATAAGATGATACATCCTTAAAGATTTATTTTATTCATTTGAAAGGCAGAGTGGGGCTCAGTACCATAACCTAGTGGCTAAAGTTCTCGCCTTGCATGCACCGGCATCCCATATGGGTGCCGGTTCCAACCCTGGCTGCTCCACTTCCCATCCAGCTCCCTGCTTGTGACCTGGGAAAGCAGTCAAGGACAGCCCAAAGAAACCTGGAGGAACCTTCTGTCTCCTGGCTTTGGATCGGCTCGCTCTGGCCATTGCAGCTACTTGGGGAGTGAACCAGTGGATAGAAGATCTTCCTCTCTCTCTCTCTCCTTTCTGTAAATCAGACTTTCCAATTAAAATTAAGAAAGAAAGAAAGAAAGAAAGAAAGAAAGAAAGAAAGAAAGAAAGAAAGAAAGAAAGAAAGAAAGAAAGAAAGAAAGAAAGGAAGGAAGGAAGGAAGGAAGGAAGGAAGGAAGGAAGAAAGAAAGAAAGAAAGAAAGAAAGAAAGAAAGAAAGAAAGGAAGGAAGAAAGAAAGAAAGAAAGACTAAGTGACAGAGAAAGGGAGATACAGAGAGATCTTCCATCCACTAGTTCACTTTCCAAATGGCCACACAGCCAGCACTGAACTGAGCTAGGAGTCAGGAACTCCAACCTGGTCTTCCATATGGGTGGCAAGCTGCTCAGGCACTTGGGCCATCATCCACTGCTTTCCATGTGCACTAGTTGGAAGCTGGATTGGAAGCAGGGCAGCCAGTACTCGAATGGGTGTTCTGTTCTGATATGGAAAGACAGCCTCACAGGTAACAACTCACTGCACCATGAAGCCAGCCCTGAAGCAACACATCATATTTAACAAAAATACCATAGTGATGCTATCATATCTCCCTCAGTGCATCCCATTAGGAAGTACACAACATCAGGATGTCTTATTACTCATGATGTTAACAATCAGTTGGCTAAGATGGTATGTACAGGTAATGTCCAGTAACTCTATTCTCCCCCTTAAAATTAGGGACTGCCTTGTGAGATCTTGAAACAGCAAAATCCTGCTTCACATTGTACTTTTTGTATCCATCTATGTTTCTTTGTAACAATTATCCTATAATGTTTACCTAATAGTGATTTTCTTTCTATCATTCTTTCTATGTTTAGTTGAAATTTTACTGTGCACGGAGTTCAATTGTGTGTCTTTATCCAATGGATTTTATTTCGTTACTGTCATTGTTCATTTTGTTGTTCCAACTGCCCAAAATTTGGCCAACAAACTTTCAGCATGCCTTCCATGCTCTCATTACCCACTCCATATTGGTATGATGTTAACTTCTACAATCCACCCGTCTTCTCTAGGTAACAAGAGCTTCTAGCTAATCTTCCCTTATTTGTTTTGAATACATGAGTAGATACATGCGTTTTCCCCCATATAATCATTTACATTGTTTCCAATATTTGCAAGCACAGTGCTACAGTAGATAGTTCTATGCTTGTGCATTTTTGTCTTACTGGAGGTGTGTCTTCAAAAGTAATCGGTACAAGTACAATGGTTGTCAAAGGTTAAGTCACGCCAGGCATAACATACATAAAAAGATGAACTGAATTAGATTCCTCTGAAGCATGTGATATAGAAGCATAACTCCAAGGGATGGGCATTTGGCACATGCAACCCAACTCAGTGTGCCTGGGTTCAAAGTTCCCCTCTGACTTCTGACTCCAGACCCTGGGAGGAAGAGGGGTGGCAGTTCTATTGGGTACTGATGAATTCCCATCTAGCAGGATCTCAGAAGTCTACAATCCCACAGAACAATATTTTGCTATGGCCTTGCCCGACAAGGCCATATTGTACTATTTATTTTTCACCAGTCCGAAAGGTGAAAAATGGTATCCTAATACCATTTCAATTTATATTTCTATAACGTGAGTTTGAACATCTTTTCACATTTAAGGATCACTTTTCTATCTTTATGACATCAAGTGTAGTCTTTTCCTTTTTTTTTCTATTGGGTTCTGGTCCTCGGGCATGGAATTTTTAATGCTTTACATAGTAGAAATATCGATTCTTTTGTTTATGATATATGTAGCAAATATCTTTTTCCCAGTCGTTTTAACTTGGTAGTTTTTTTTTTTTTTGCCAGATTTATCTTTTATTGCTTCTGAACATTTCAGCTGTATCTTAGTGTTTGTATGATTTCATTTTCTTACATTCAGATCTTGGATCCCTATGGAGTTCACAGTGCTTAGAGAGATGGTTCAAGTAATCGGTTTCCTGACACCCACATGGAGGATCTGATTGAGTACCTCGTTTCCGGATTTGGCCCCAGTTATTGCAAGGATTTGGAACAGGAATCAGTAGATGGGAGCGCCAACCTCCCCCGCAAAAAAACTCCAAATCAGCTATTTAAAAAAGTAATAATAACCATGAAGAAAAAGACTAGAAGATCCAACATAGGAGAGAAAGGCTGGGTAATTCTGAGGGGACAACAAAATAGCAGTCCAAGAGTCACTCTGCATGGTGATTAACAGGACAAAGCAAAGGTAATATGCAGCTTGTGGAATGTATCAGCTCCCCTGTACACCTGGACAGGCCCTTTAAACAACTGCTGCAAGCAACCCCAAGACAAAGCAACACTTTTTAGCAAGTACAAAAGGTTTATTTGCTATTTCAGGCTTCAAATTTCCTCCTCCCACCCTCTACAGCAGAATGTGTGGCTGGGTCATTGTTTAGCAAGCCATTGTGGTGCAATGTGGTGATGGCCAACACAGGCACCTGCCATGCATCCGTCCCCTTCACTGCTCTGCAAAGCAGCTGTGGGGCACAGGGGTGGCCCGCTCTGCAAAGCAGCTGTGGGGCACAGGGGTGGCTCACTCTGCAGCTGCTGCCCCTCTCCCCAGCGGACGTTTGAGAGCAAGCACCTCTGCGACCTCTGAAGGTTGCAGCTCTGGGAGGCAGCCCAGACCTCCCCAGCACTGGAAGCGCCTTGTCCTTGGGGCCAGACAGGTTTGGTCCTCTGAGGGGAGAAACAGTGCCAAAAGTTTTGCCTTAACATTAAACAACAAGCCCATACATGGTCTTAGATCAGAGGCTGCAAACTGCCCACCCAAGAGTTTATCCGTTTGGCCCCTATGGCTATAATTTTTTTTTTTTAGAAAAAAATTAGTTCCTAATATTGTAAACTGTAATATAAAATTTCCTATAAAAATCTGGATTCTGGGCCTTTCCGAAAGGTACAAAAAAAATGACTGAGAGGATCTGGCAATACAGATTGGGCACACAATGTTCTTCCATGGCACTAAGTGGAGCTGGAGAGCAAGTGCTCTCCATGAACTGGATGTGCTGCCCGTGGCCCCAGCTGGAGATTGGGCCTCAGCTGCCTTTATCAACACATACATACCACTAGGTTGTAAACAGTGTAACAACAATGTGTCCTATCCAATGTTGTTATCTTTGTTTCAAAAAGGAGAAACAGAGCTCATGAATCAGTGGTCCTTGCCATTCATCTCTGTCCCTTACTTGTGTTTGTAATGACCTCAAACATCAAACATTGCCAGCCTTTATCTCCCCTAAGGGTCTCCCCACCACACATGCCCTGCCTCTCCAGCAGACACCACACCCAGTGTTAACTGGACAAAATCGGAAAGATATTAATCACAGAAAGTAAGTGAGCAATAAACTAAGATGAATTACTTTAGTATCTCGATTGTAAGACTGGTTTAGAGTAGAATGCAAAATGCTAATATGTGCTCTCTGCTGTAAAGTTAGTGACTCAAAAAAAAAAAAAGTCATGAAGTTATTTCAGGAGGCCAACGCTGGGTCAGTGTGAACTTGTGTTTCCTTAGACACTTGAGTTCCCAGCTCGTGACTGCTTTGGAAATGGAAGAGGCTTTTAGAAAGCCACAGGGGCAGAACCCTGAAGCAACCAGCCCCATAGATGTTCTGGGTGACCAAGAATGAATGACCCATCGTGTCCTCCTCTGGTCAGGGTGGCCTGTGCCACTTTTAAGTAGCATAACATGATTTTCAATGAGGGGAGTGCAATCACTGCAGAAAAGGGCTTCAAAACAGGGCAGAGAGTTGGAAAACAGGCTTGGCAAACACGAGACTGAGGAAGAGAGACCCCCCTTCCTCAGCCTTTTCCGTGCATTGTGGCTGTGCTACACTATTTGCCCTTGATGGAGGCGGAGACCTTGACGCAGGCCAGATGCTCCCCACCGCTGCTCAGGATGCCTTGGATGCGGTAGTTGCCACTGCTGAGCCAGCTGGGCAGCTCCAGGTCAGGCACAGTGAACTCACTCACTGGCAGGGAGTAGGTGCCCTGTGGGAAAGCCATAGGGTCGTGGGTCAGCAGGAGCCAAGTGAGGGGACCCTCTTTCCAGGAACCATCTCTAGAGGGAACCCTGAGCCACCCATCCCATTCCAAGGTCTACACGTGCTTAACAGCCGACTGCCAGAGCACCGCAGAGCAAGGATGATTATGGTTTAGAGATGCCAGAGGATACCTCTAAATTCAAGTCCCCTATTTCAAAATGGAAAAGCTGAGAGCTCCAAAAGAGAAGCAATTCCACAGAGCTTATACAGCTTTTGAGATGCACAGACGCCCAGATCTCGGGAGATGGGTATGCAGAGACGCTTCTCTACAACCCGCTTCTTTCTTCCCAGGGCCCCAGGGAAATGCTCCTCCCCCTGCCGGAGTACTCACTTCTTTGAAGGGGCAGTGGCAAGGAAGCCCATAGGTGTGCAGGGGCTCTGGGCATAACTGCCCAGGGGGAATGAGCGTATCCAGCATATTGCAGATGTCATCATAGGTACAGCTGCCCACCTGCTCCACACAGGGGACCTTGATCCAGAAGCCTGCCACTTCCTTCTCCACAGTCAATGTCACCTGATGAGAAAGAGTTTGGAAAAAATTTACACATGGTTGTTGCTTTATGGTTGTGTAGATTTTTTCTAAATTTATTTTAAAAATAAAAGCCCAGAGTGACAAACAAAAAGGAAGAATCTTCCATCGGCTGGTTCACCCTTCTAATTCCCACAATAACCAGGTCTGGGCTAGGCTGAAATCAGCAACCTGGAACTTCATCCAGTCTCCTGTGTGAGGACAGACTCAAGTAAAGTACTTGAGCCATTACTCATTTGCCCCATCACCTGACCAGGGGTATTAGCAGAAAGCTGGATGGGAAGCTGAGTAGCTGGGATTCATATGGGATACACGCATTCATCCCAAGCAGCAACTTCACCTGCTGTGCCACATTGATTGCCTTAAGGGCAAACTCCAGGGCAAAACATAGGAGATCCTCTGCAGCTATAAAAGATCCGTAACCACGTAAGATAATTTATTTGCATCTGCTTGAAGGACAGAGCAACATGGAGAAAGACAGATAGCTTCCATCCACTGGTTCACTCCCTAAAGGCTCATAAGGTTGGGCCAGGTCAAAGCCAGGAATTCATTCAGGTATCCCAGGAGGGTGGCGGGGGCCCAAGCACTTGAGCCATCACTAGCTATAATCACAAGCCAACTTGGCAGGAAGTTGGAATGGATGCGGAGCAGCCAGAATTCCACTGCATGAACTCTGACACAGGTTGCAAGCACCCTGACCGACAGCTCAAACCTCTGCACAAGTCCCACCCCTGGGATTTTCAGGTTTACCCATAAGTACATGCAACTAATTTGATTTTTAAAATTGCATCTACTGATAATATACATTTTGTAGTAAAACTATAGTATAAAAGGGGCATTGGACAGTTTAAACAGAGTGTCTTTCAGACAAAAATCATGCTATAGCATATAAAACTTAACTAGAAAATTCATTTTTCACAAAAGCACATCACATTTTTTAAGGTGCAGATAAAGGGTTAAATGCACACTTGGACTTGACATTGAGTACTAAGCATTTCTCCCTTGATCCACTGCTCTTGTTAATAGCTGCATTTCAAATGCTTGACTAAGACTATCAATGAATTAATATTTTCTTATATAAACCATTTTTATAATATAAATATATTTAATTATCATATAAACAATCTTTTACAATAAATTAACAAGTTCTGATGTTAAAACTGCCTAAACCTTTACTGAAAATATTGAACTTCTGTATCATTATACTATAAATGAAATTTAACCTTCTATGTCTAACTTTATTTTTCCATTCAAGAGTCAGATTTGTGAGAGAACCACAGAATGTTAATATCAGAAAGAGGGCTGGCCTTGTGGCGCCATGGATTAAGTCACCAGTTCCAACACTGGCATTATGTATCTTAGTGTGGATTCAAGTACCAGTTTGAGTCCCAGTTGCTTTGTCTCCAATCCAGCTTTCTGTTAATGTACCTGTTAAGGCAACAGGACAGCCCAAGTGTTTAGGTCCTTGCCACCTGTGTTGGAGACTTGCATGGAGTTCTCAGCTCCTGGCTTTGGCCTGCGGCTATGGTACCATTTGGAGAATCAACCAGTGGATGGAAAAATCTTGTTGCTCTCTTTCTCTCTCTCTCTCTCTCTCTGTGTGTGTCTCCTCCTAGCAACCCCTACCCCCTGGCACTCTACCTGTAAAATAAACAAATTTTAAATTAAAAAAAAAATACCTAGTGGCAGAGGGCTTACTTCAGCAGCACATACGCTAAAATTGGAATGGGACAAAGAAGGTTAGGTTGGCACCTGTACAAGGATGACACACAACCTCGTGAAGTGTTCCATGTTTTTGGAGGTCATTACATTAAGTGATGTAAGCCAAGCATACAAAGACAAATGTCTCACTCATACGGATTCTGAAAAATAAGTGATCTCATAGAAGTTAAAAACATAATACTGGTTACCAGAAGCTGGAGAAGGAAGTGGGGAGGGAGAAGTAGGGAAAAACTGGTTGATGGAAGCTGGGTTATAGCTAATTCTACCGCACATCAAGATAACTATAACTACTATTAATATGTTGTATATGTTTTTTTAAAACCTAGGAAATAGGATTTTAGATGTTTTCACTATAAAGTAATGTTAGACACTAAAAAGATAAATATAGTTACCTTGATTGGATATTATATAATGTATACATGAAATAAAACAGCATATAGATACATGAAATAAAACAGCATATAGTACCCACCATGTACAGTTTTTATATGCTTGCTAAAAATTGAATAAAAACATGTTAAAATAGTAGTATGTAAATTGAAGAACTCTAGTGAATTCAACAAAAAAGCTTAAACATGAGGTTTATAAAGATGCTCTGATCCAGAACCTGAAATATTCTGATACATGAATGACACTACAAGGGCAAACAGCCCAGTGTTATCCTTTTCTGTGCCTGTGACAAACATTAATAACTGAATATAAATCCCACCCCCCCCCCAACAGAACCACATGCACACACTGAGCGCTTTCTGTGTGCTGAGCTCTGTGCAAAATACCTTCCCTGTTTACCGAGAATCTCAGTTATCGCTCCCAAAGTTACTCAGGTATTGCTCAAGAAAAACATACGAGGTAAAGGATAGGCTGAAGCCAGGCCTACAGGTGTTACAGGGACACGGATTCAAATCAGCAAGCTCCTAAACAATCAAGGTAAAACTAGTGCCAGAATAGATACAAACCAGGAATTGATTATAGGGCATAGAAGCACATGAGAAAGTGGTGATAATACAAACTAGAGAGTAAAGGGCTGCAATAAAGTGCTTTGCAATAGATACGTAACTGTCCCTTGGTACCCAGGTTCAAGGAGTCCTGAATACCGAGATGCTCCGATATCCAGGTCTTTTACTCTGTAAATGATGCAGAAGTAGTTCTTACACTGCATTGTGTCAGAAATATAAAGAGCCTATGTATATTCAGTACAGGTACTTTTATGGAATGTTTTCAATCTGCACTTGACTGACAGTGTGGGAGTGAAACTGCAAAGAGCTGAGTGAATAAAAAGCCTTTATTGCTCGCAAAGCAAACATGTAAAGGCACAGATTGAGTAGCTACCAACTGGTCACTCCCAAAGTAGCTTCAAAAGGCAAATAAACTTTAACAATTCAGCTCACTAGAGGTAACATACAAAACTGGCAGAGGGGCCTGGCACCATAGCCTAGCACCATAGCCTAGCAGCTAAACTTCTCACTTTGCACGCACGGGGATCCCATGTGCATGCTGATTCATGTCCAGGCTGCTCCACTTCCCTTCCGGTCCCCTGCTTGTGGCCTGGGAAGTAGCCAAGAATGGTCCAAAGCCTTGGGACCCTGCACTCCCACGAGAGACCCAGAGGAGTCTCCTGGCTCCTGGCTTTGGATCAGCCGAGTTCTGGATGTTGTGGCCGCTTGGGGAGTGAGCCAGCAGATGGAGGATTTTTCTATCTCTCCTTATATCTGTAAATCTGTCTTTCCAACAAAAAAATAAATAAATCTTCAAAAAGAAAAAACCAGCAAAGACTCTCAGAAAATACTCTGGGTCAACACATGTACAAAATAAAGGCCTGTTTCCTTATTGGCTAGGGGACAAGTGGCTTTCAATGTCTGGAGGTATTTTGGCAACATCTATCAAAGACTTAAAATTTTTACTTCTGGGCTTTGCATGGTAGCCTAGTGACTAAAGTCCTAGCCTTGCATGCACTGGGATCCCATCTGGATGCCGGCTCACGTCTGCAGGCCCTGCTTCCCACAGAAGATCTTCGTCTCTGTCTCTTCTTCTCTCTGTATATCTGCCTCTCCAATAAAAAATAAATATTAAAAGTTTACTTCTAGGCCATCAGAAAAGCATAAAAGGATGCATTATAAGGGTAAGTATAATTTCTGCAAAAGTGCTTATAAAAGCAAAAGATAAACAAAGAAAACACAGTACAACAAAGAAACACAGTACAAATCCAATAACAGCCACCACAGTGCACTGAGAGACACATACACAGTGCTGGGGCAAGTGAGAGCAGGGCAGGCACAGGAAACTCCACATCTGCCCAAGAAACACGGCCAAGCACAGGCAAAGGAGGTCCTACGTCACCAAGAGGTCGATGCCAGCAGACACATTTTTGTTGTGCAAACTTTGCCAGATGGAGCACAAGCCACCACAGTCAGAAGACTGCCAACTTCTCAGTTTTCCAAGACATGCTCAGAGAGCAGGGAGACCCTGGCCACTACAGAGATAGGACGACAGAGACCTGACAAAGGGAGACAAGGCTCCTTGTAAAAGAGGCAGAAGAACCTAGATCCCTTCCAAAGGGGAAATGAAAGAGAACCTTTTTTCTGCTTCTACTCTGAATATTGCCTCCAAATTAAGAGAAAAACAGCCCTGTCCCAATCCCTTCCTCACTCCAGTCCACACACTGGTGACACTGCAGAGAAACTAGACATGAGGCAGAATACTAATACTGCTGCCTGCGACCAGCAGCCTCGGGTAGAACAGGCTACTTGGCTGAAGGAAAATACAGAGACCGCTGCCCAGAGAGCTAAAGGCAAGCCTGATACAGCAAGCAAGGGGGTCCCCAAGGCCAAAAGCCAGAGCAAGAAACAGAAGGAAGATGAGCAGGATGAAGAGGATGAACCAGACCAGGATGAAGATGAAGATGATGAAAAATAAGATGGTTCTAGCACACACACTCTTTTCAAAGAACAAAAGGGAAATATACAGCTGTGTCAAATTTGCTTTTAAACTCTACAATATTCTTCTTGTTTTGTTGTTGTCATTTTGCTTTTTGTTTTGTTTTGTTTCAGTGTAGGTAACACATTCCTGAATGTGTCTGGACAGCCTTGTCCTGGTGGTATTTTCAATACTCACGATCTCTGCCTGCAACAGCACAAGGACTGTAATCTACATCAAAATTTAAAGCAGGTTCTTATTGGTACATACACAAATCAGTTTTACATGTGGATGAGAGTGGTCTCTGATGCAGCTTATACAAAATAATGGGTATTTTATTAATTGAATGCCACTCTAACTTCAGGGGGAAAAAGTTGCAACTATTTTGTTGACATTCTGAATTCTGAATGCTTCCAGGTAAATACAAATTTTTTTTTAAATTACTGGGCCCAGCACATTAGCTTAGCATCTAAAGTAACTTGCCTTGAATGCATCAGGACCCCATAAAGGCGCCAATTCTAATCCCAGCAGCCCTGCTTCCCATTCAGCTCCCTGCTTGTGACCTGGGAAAGTAATCAACGATGGCCCAAAGCCTTGGGACTCTGCACCCACATGGGAGACCCGGAAGAGGCTCCTGGCCCCTGGCTTCGGATTGGCTCAGGTCTGGCTGTTGCCACTGCTTAAGGAGTAAATCAACAAATGTAAGATCTTCCTCTCTGTCTCTCCTCTTCTCTGTATATATGACTTTGCAATAAAAATAAAACAAATCTTTTTTTGTTTGTTTCCAATTTTCCCTCTCTCTCTCTCTTTTTTATTAATTATATTGCATTATGTGACACAGTTTTATAGGCACTGGGATTCCCCCCACCCCTCCCCCAACCCCCATGGTGAATTCCTCCACCTTGTTGCATTACCACAGTTCAAACTCAGTTGAGATTCTTTCATTGCAAGCATCTACCAAGCATAAAGTCCAGCATCTTATTGTCCAGATAAGTTCAACGGCTTCTTGGGGAGACCATCTCTGGTCTGAAGGTAGAGCCAGCAGAGTATCATCCCAATCAATTAAAAGCCCGACATTACATCAGTAACAATTTATAACGTTATAGAATTTGTTGACATAGTATTGAGTAACCAATATGTTAAAAGAGAAAAAAAAAAAAGAATGCAAGTTCTGAACCACATCCACATTGACATTTCACTTATTAATTTATATACAACCAGGATCTATACACCTTAAAATGGCTATAGATTACTATTTAGCTGTCTTGTGTCTATTTTCATTTAGTATTTAGCAGTTCATAGCGTTGAAGCATGATTTTGCTGAACCTGACTGTTTTCGGGTAGTCTAACTCTATAACTCTAACAAGACATATGTCAACAGTTTAGGTGAACAGTTTTAGGAGGGGTGTGCAGAGAAATCTTCAATACCCTAGTGAGGAGTAATTAATCTTTGTGTCCCACCCAGTGAGTTATAAGTGCATCCCCGCTGACCGTTTCCTGTCTGATTCCAAGCCTTCCTTGTTGTTCTCTATCTGTTCTAGATTTTTTGTTTGTTTGTTTGTTTTGAGGGAAAACAAATCTTTTTTTAAAAATTGCTATGTTAGGGCTGGCATGGTGATACAGCTAGTTAAACTGCCACTTGGATCAAATCCTGGCTAATCTGCTTCCAATCCAGTTTCTTGCTAGTGTATCCTGGGAGACTGCAGTGATGGCTCCTACCCACATGGGAAACCCAGATAGAGCTCCTGGCTCCTGACATCAGCATGGCCCAGCCCTGGCTACTGAGGGCATCTGAACAAGCAATGGAGGATGTCTTACTGTCTCCATCTCTCTGTCACTTAGCCTTTCAAATAGACGAAAATAAATAAACATTTACTTTTTAATGACTAGGTAAATTAAGGACAAATGCCATGTAAGGAACATGAAACATATGACTGAAAAAAGTCTAATAATAGTGGGCCAGGCACAATAGCGTAGCTGTTAAAGTCCTCGCCTCGAACGCGCTGGGATCCCATATGGGCACCAGTTCTAATCCCGGCCGACCTGCTTCCTATCCAGCTCCCTGCCTGTGGCCTGGGAAAGCAGTTGAGGACAGCCCAAAGCTTTGGGGCCATGCACCCACATGAGAGACCTGGAAGAGGCTCCTGGCTCCGGATTGGATCAGCTCCAGCCGTTGTGGCCCCTTGGGGAGTGAATCATTGGACAGAAGATATTTCTCTCTGTCTCTCCTCCTCTCTGTATATCTGACTTTCCAAATAAAAGTAAATAAATCTTTAAAAAAAATCTAATAATATGTGTCGGAAGATAATTACACTAGCATAAATATTTGTATATATGTTCACAAATGTATAAAAATATCTGATAGAATATATAAGTGGCTACCAATGACTATTTCTTGGAGACTGAGAGTATATGAGGACATTTACAAAGAGCACTGCTGATTTCACATGTAGGCATTAAAAATAAACATACATGTTAGCATGTGGTTACATGGAGAAAATTGCAAAGAACTCCCTAAAGGATGTTAAAAGTTCTGATCTGCCCTTTATCAGGTTGCAAGATTTCAAGGGGTTTACTTCTTTTGTTTTTTGGGGGGGGGCAGGGATTTACTTCTTCTCTTCCTCTTTTAGCCAGTTGTGTTATTTACAGCTAAATACTGCTGGTGAATTGTTGTGTCTATTCTATAATTAACAATCGCAAGCCCCACTACCTGATGAGAGCTCAGTCACAGATGTCAGCCCTCCTCAGGAAGTTAGGGGCTGATAAGAGAGATTCTTTTCAGGCCTACAATCCTAAGCAAAGCACTGGACTGGGACTCCAGGATTTTAAACTTCTTCACAGTTCCCTAAAGCTGTGCCCCCCAGGACATTGCTGGCCATCCCATCCCACCATGCTCACCTTCTGAGGAGACTTAAGCGGTACGCTGGTCCTGCCTTCAATGCTGATGGTCACATTCCCAGGAATGACAATGGGGTCAGGCTCCAGCGTCAGGCTTTTGATCACCACGGGGTCCTTGCCTTCATCACAGTTATCCCAGGAAAAGCGGCTGGGCTGCGTCGTCTAAGAGCAGTCAACAACAAGGAAGGAGGAGAAAAGGTTAGGTGGACAAAAGGAACGACCCCAGAGAAGAATCAATGGAAAGACTCAAAGCAATGCAACCTGACCAGGGCGCCTCCTCTGTCCGAGCCTGCTGGGTAAAACTTGGGGTAGCATCATTTGATAGGTAGGACTAGAGTTCAAAGGCTCAAAGGCATGACAGAGCAAACCTTGAATCTCAAAACAGGAAGCTAACCCTATCTGCCCTTGGCTGCCTCCCTGCTCCGGCCTCAGAAACCCAAAAGAGAGCAAGGTCCCAGTGGAGTCAGTACTGCAGCCATTGCCTGGAGAACTTCCCCCAGGCCTCCAGACTCCATCCCTGGCCTGTCCAGCTGCATATAACCACTCTTTCTCCACTACCCAGCAGCCTGCCTACCTGTCTTAGGATACTCAACACCTCCTACACCGTGCAGGCTCTCTCCCACCTACTCATATCTTGTCTACCAAGGGACCACCAGCTCTGCCACCACCTACCCATGACCTGTGTTAGGAAAAAAAAAAAACAAAACTGTTAGTCCCAGTGTACCAAGTTGACATCTGGCTTCAAGATACCTATAAGCAACTAAATCAAGCAGCAATACCTGACCCCAGCTGGGCTAATGGATTCTCTCTGCCCCATTCTGGTAATAAGACAACAGCATGTACCCTTGGCTCATAACACAATGCACAAGGTGCTGAGTCGGCTTACTAAATGGCAGGTGTGAGACATCACAGCCTCCACTTCCTGCCATTAACTCCATGAGATTGCTTACGTACCTGTAGTGGACTCCCCCTTTACTTGAGCTTCTAGGAATGGGTTTCCACTCTGGGGAATGAAAAGTCATGATGCCATGACTAAGAAAGGCAGGACAGCAAGACAGGGAAGGATGCAGTAAATGCTTTCTTTCACATTCATTTCTCAAATATCTACAGGGCAACAAGCTCTGGGCTAGGCACCATGTCCATGTTGGCAAACAATTAGACACAAGCCCTGCCCTGCCTTAGGGAGCTTACAGTTTAATGTAAATGAATCTCACCCACTACAATTTGCCCAGTGCCATACAGGACATGGACAGATGTTAAGGGTAACACAGGACTCATTTGCAAAGAGTAGTCGGAGAAGTGAGACCACTTTAGGATGAGGAAGGAGCCATGTGAGCAGAAGGAATATTCCAGGAAGAGAGAACTAGGCCAAAGGTTTGAGTTGGGAGGAAGCAAAGCTGCTCCAGGCACTTAGAGGCCACTGGCGGAGAAGAGCCCAGCTGAGGTGGCAGAGTCGCCAGTGCCAGAACCTGACAGGTTTGATTGAATTGCTGAGGTCCTGGGGACATGTAACAGGATGGTGTCCCCCACGGCAGTACCTGGCCGTCTGCCTCTGAGATGAGACCCAGCTGTACAGTTCAGCAGAGGCTCATGGAGAAAGGTATGATGGGTTAGCTATGCCCACCAAGGGCCAGACCAGGCACCAGGAATTTGCCATGCCCATCCTAGGCCAACCTGTGGAAAGAGATACAGCTCTAGAGGCGGACATCTGAGTACAGATCACAGAAGTGAGTTAAAATGACAGTTTAGCTGTTCTTATTAGCTGAGACCAGGGGCAAGTTAACCACTTGTGGTTCAATGTTCTCTTTTACTAAGCACCAATAATAATTATAGCTTCTCATAAGGCTAACGGGAACAGTAAAAAGCCTATATACGGAAGGTATAAACCATACTCCTTGAGAGTGCCAAGTTTATAAAAACACAAGGCAAGACTGACAAACTCATGGGCCACTGGCATTGGAGTTGTGACAGCAATGACAAGGGTGTTTCCTAGACTAGACCCTGGACAATAGCAAAAGGACAATAACAGAAAACTGGTGGTGGGATGGGAGTTGTAGCACAATAGGTGACACCACCAACTGGATACCTGCATTGTATGTCAGAGTGCTTGGCTCAAGTCCTGGCCTCTCTACTTCAGATCCAGTTTCCTGCTAATGTGCACAGTGGAAGGCAGCAAGTGAATGGTTGGTCCCCTGCCACTCACATGGGGTACACAGATGGTACCCCTGGCTCCAGCCTAGCTCAGCCTGGCAATGAGCAAATGGATGCAAGAGTCTTTCTCTCTCTTTCTTCCTTTTTCTTTCTCTCTTCCTTTATTTTTATTGCTCTGCAATAGAAAGAATATTTCAAATAAATAAACCCTTTTCTAAATTAAAAAATGGGGCTCACACCATGGGGTAGTAAGCTAATCCCTGGCCCTTGATACCAGCATCCCATATGGGTGCCAGTTCATATCCTATATACTCTACTTCTAATCCAGCTCCTTTCTTATGGCCTGGAAAAGGAGTAGAGGATAGTCCAAGTCATTAGGCCCAGAATCCATGTGAGAGACCCGAGACGCAGCTCCTGGCTTCAGATTGTCTCAGCTCTGACCATTGTAGCCATTTGAGGAGTGAACTGGTAGATGGAAGATCTCTATTTCTGTGTCTCTCCTTCCCTCTCTGTACTTTTTTCAAATAAAAAAATTAAAAATGAATTTTAATTTTATTTTTTTAAATGAAAACAACAACTGGTGAAACCCAACTAAAATCTAGAGTTAATAGTTACACACTCATAATGAAGTCTTAGTTCTGCCAAATGTACAATGATTAGGAGGCCAAGTGACTCCATACTGTCTTTGCATCTTTTCTGTAAATCTTAAATTATTCCCAAATTAAAAGTTTATTAGGGGGCCCGGCGCGGTGGCGCAGGTGGTTAAAGGTCCTCGCCTTGCACGCCCGGGATCCCATATGGGCGCCGGTTCTAATCCCGGCAGCCCCGCTTCCCTTCCAGCTCCCTGCCTGTGGCCTGGGAAAGCAGTCGAGGACGGCCCAAAGCTTTGGGAACCTGCACCCGCGTGGGAGACCCGGAGGAGGCTCCTGGCTTCGGATCGGCATAGTATCGGCCCGTTGCGCTCACTTGGGGAGTGAATCATCGGACGGAGGACCTTCCTCTCTGTCTCTCCTCTCTGTATATCCGCCTTTCCAATGAAAAAATAATAAAAATAAATCTTTAAAAAAAAAAAAAAAAGTTTATTAGGAAAAAAAGGGGGACACAGCTCAATGAACAGCACATAACACCTGTATAATAAGGCACATATCACAGTCTGTTAGGCACGTACTACACGCCAAGCCTACAGCTAAACATCCCCCCCATTAACTAACAACAGCACGGGCCAGAGGCGTGAGAAGAGTTCAAGCAAGAGAGGAACTGGAATTCAAGCACTAAGCTAACACTTCCCTCCCTTCAAAGGCCCTGGTTTCAGGATTAGGACTCGAAATCACATGAGCCCAGAGAAGGCTACAGATGATTGCAGATAAGAACTCAAAGTTCTGCTTCCTACATGAGTCTGGCTAGGTTCTGGGGGTCAGGAAGGTGAGAGGGTCTCCAGAGCGCTTCAGAACCTGTCTGAAACTACCAACACAAGTCCCTCCAGTGTGGCATGGCATCCACAGCCAGGGCACTGAGCAGCAAGCTCAGAGCCTCTACGCAAATCCCACTTCTCAGTGGAATGCCCTGCAGCCAAGAGAAGCAAGCTCAACCTATATTCAGGCCCTTGCCCCGTCATTCAATAGGTGAAATGCACCGGTCCCCTGTGCCCAGGGCATGGTAAAGCTAAGCCCACTGGCTTGTATCACTGTATTTGCAAGTCCAGAGCTTGTTGCTTGGTGACAGCATCTCCCTTCACTCCCACCATCCAACAGGCAGGTGGGCAAGTGAGGAGATCAAGGTCCATAGGTTTCACGGAGTGGGACACAGCCAGGCCTCTCCATATGATTTCCAGCTCTTGCACCGCTAGAAGAGCTCCAGAGCCCACCTGTGTCTACCTTCAGAGAAGGGTCCTGCCCACAGCCGTGCAGCAAAGACGTAATGGAAGCAAGCTTCCAGGTTGAGAAATAATAGCACTTCTGTTTCCTAGGGATCTGCCGCAATAGGTGCTGTGGAACAAACAGGGAAGAGGAGGCAGCAGAGGGCAGGGAGCACTGGGGTCTCAGGGCTGGACCTTTGTCACCAGATGGACAAGTGTAGACCCTCTGGCCTGCCTGGCACCCAAACCCTCGCAACCCCCAGGAGGCCTGGGGGCATCGGGGCAGAGGAAGGGATGGGGTGGTAGGCCTTATCCTGGAGAAACACGAAGTCTGGGCGTGGGAGGAGAGTAGGGAGACAGAAGGATCTCTGGACCTAGGAACAGCCTTAGTTATACACTCCGAAAACGGCAGATGTGAGATTTCCCCCTCCAGAAGAGTCAAGAGCAGAACCGAGCCTTGCAGCCCACCTTCACGGTACAGTTCAGGGTCCCAGGATTAGTGGCTTCGGCGGTGTGAGGGCAGAGTAGGGGGGGCTACAGTGCAGAGAAGCAACTCTGGAAAGAGCGCGGTCACCCCACACCCTTACTCCCAGCCGCACACAGCCCGCTGGGCCGAGAGACTCTCCACAAGTTCCTGAGGAAGGAAGCACTCACTTGGTTCTGGTGATGGAGCACGGAGACCGCGGGGTCGGTGAGAAGCAAGCCCAGGGCGATCAGGAGCGCAGCCTGCATCAGAGAGTGCATCGCGAAGGATGGTTCCGCGCAGCGCCAAATGCCCGGTCTTTGGTGCGGAGCCTTTAAACGCCTGCCTGCACTGGACATTGCTATGCAAAACAGGGCCCAGCCACTTGCAGGGTCGGCCCGCCCCACCCGGGTAGAGATTGCGGAGCTGGAAGTAAGACAGACGCCTCCCGGCTCCGCCCCACAGCTCGAGTCTTGTCCAGCCCTCCCCTCCCTCCCAGGCTGCGGGCCCAAGTCCTTTCGCAGGATCCAAGAGAAAAGGGCGGGGCTGAGCGGAGAGGGGCGGGACTGAACCAGGAGAGAGGCGGGGTCAGTGAGGCCGGAGGCGAAGCGACACGCCAGGAAGGGGCGGGGCTGAGCGAAGAAAGGGCGGAGCTGACTGACAAGTAGGGCGGGGCTGAGGGCCAGGAAGGGGCGTGACTGCACGCCTGGGAGGGGCGGGGCTGAGCGCTAGAGAAGAGCGGGACGTAGTTTCTGAGCTTGCTCTGCAATTGTGACCTCGTTCAGGACTTCTAGGAACCCACGAATTCAGTGTTTATTGTAACCAGGTCTTTCTTGACAAAGTTGTCACGTTTCCTGCTGACCTTGGCTTCCCCTTAACCCTGTGACTAACCACCGGTTTTTTTAAATAGTATTCTAGTCATTCCAACAGCTAACTGTAAGTTTTGTCTTCTAAAGAACCCCATTATTGTGGGGAGCCATGCAGTTGGGTCAGATGGCATGGGTGCGTCATGAGCACCGCTCCTCAGCAAGGCTACGAGGAGTTTCTGGCTGCGTGGCAGTGCCCAGCAGATTGTCTCTGGTCACCTCATTGCTGCCTCACCCCATTGTATGGACACTCAATCACCTCTCTGATGTTTCATAGAATTCTCCTGAGGGTGTTGTTGTTGTTTTTCTGCTAATGTGAATTGATTCCTGTAACTGGTATAACACCTCAAATTGATCATTCATGTTATGATAAAAACATCTTTAGCGACATAAGGCTATGACACACAGCAAAAGTATGCAATAGTACAATTGAGTCCACAATGTTTCCAAATATCCTGCTATGTGCCCACCTTTGTCTTGAAGTTTGCCCTAATAGAAGTAATGTTTTCCTTAAGAAATGGCTTGATAGTATCTTGGAACAGAGGGCAATCATGGAGATACAAAGAGTTTGTTTACCATGCCCCTCGAACTGTTACAACACATGATATGACACATTTTAGTTTCTCACTACAGAAAACAAAAAGCATATGGGGCATCTTCTAAAGGGAAACAAATGTGAAGTCCCCCGCCCCCAAAAATGGCTTAAAATCTCAACCTTATATTGGCACTTATATTTAGGGAAAGAAAACAGTTTATAAAAACTTCTATCTTATATTGGCACTCATATTTAGGGAAAGAAAACAGTTTATAAAGATAGAAGGAAGTTTCTTGTAAAGGCCCTCTGTTTGTAGATTGACTGAGTTGCCCTGATCCCTTTCACTGCCTTTTAACAAAAGAACAAAAAAAAAAATAAATCAACATTAAGAACAAAAAATTGAATCAGCACTAGGTGGAGGTGATGGTAATTAATGCACGATTTGATTATAAGATGTAGCAAGGAATCTATGTTATATGCTTTTATGAAATCCTTTCATTTATGATTTTTAAAATTCTGTACTCTTAATATTTTAAGCAATATTAGTTCATTTCTGTTTAGTAAAAATTGATTTTGAATATAAGTAAACCACTTGTCACTATGTAACCTCATGTGCTGCCAACCGTGGAGTTCCTGGCTTCAGCTGGTAGCTGCAGGTTTGAATGAGTAATGGTTTGTTGTATATGTTTTCTTTGAAGTAAAATAATATTTTTTTAGGATTGTTTTTGTATTCTCTTAACCATGAAGTAAAAATCAAACAATTGGATATTGTGCAAAAGCTTGTGATGATTTGTGCATAAATAAAGAAGGCAACTTTTCTGAGTTGTCCATTATGAGCATCATGCCATAGTGGTCCATGTCTTGTCTCTTCTTCTTTTTTTTAAAGATCTATTTTATTTTTATTACAAAGTCAGATATACAGAGAGGAGGAGAGATAGAAAGGAAGTGGAGCTGCCAGGATTAGAACCAGTGACCCTATGGGATCCCAGCTCATTCAAGGCAAGGATCTTAGCCACTAGGCCATACCACCAGGGCCGCCTCTTCTTATTATCTCGCCAATCCATGCATCCTTTGCAAGCTCTCGAGTCAGCCGGAGCTGGCCTCCGGCACATTATTTTGCCCTATTTTAACAATAGGAAATTAAGAACACGCAAAGAAATTAATGTTGCCAAGTTATCCAGCTGGGAAAAGACACATAAAGCTGAGATGATGCACTCCATCAGCCAGGATTTCCTGGCTGAGGTTGTTTTGTTTTTTAAAGTGAATCACATTTGCATCAAATTTCTACTAGACTGTGAACACTGCAAGGGGTGTGACCAAGGACTTAAATCACTAATGTATGCCCAGCTTTGGGCTCCTAAGAGACACTCTGTGACTGTGAACAATGCATGAGCAGGATTTAAAATTCACCTAATTATTCTTTTTTAATAACTTTTTATTTTATAATTTAATTTTAGGTTTATAGAAAAGTTACAAAAATAGTATGGAACTCTTCCGATTTCCCATGTTGCTCACATTAAAATAAGTACTGTTATCAAACCCAAATGCAATGCTTGTCACAAGAGAATGCAGTAATTCGGAGGACAAGAATTTGAGGCAAAGGAAAGGAGGAGAAAGTTTGTTCAAGCTGCTAACAACCAAGGGAGGTGGCATGCTAATGTCTGGACTTCATCCAAGGAATCAAAACTACACAAGGAAATAGAGATTTGATTGCCTGACTGCAATCACGGGAAGGGTATGCATGAGTGCAGGGACATGGGAGGACAGGGCCAGCTGCCCAAAGGTCTCCAGCCTGGTTGGGGGGCTGGGTGACGTCACCAGTGTTACTTCCATCTGGCCCTCACAAATCCAGTCCTCTGCTGCCTGAGCTGGGTCAGGTGGCTTTCCAACTTCAGCCTGTTTCAAAGCCATCCAGCAAGCCTATTTACCTGTCAAACTGTCAAACTGTCAAACTTCAGACACCAGCTGAGCTGTGAACTTTTGTTCTTCAGAAAGCTAACAGGAAGCAGGAGAAAGCTGCAAGCAGATTGGAGCCTGGCCCATGAAGTTTGCTTATAGTTGGATAGGAATGAAGACACTGTGAACAATCTGAAAAGAAAAACTAAGAATGAGACCTTGCTATCCCACTCTTCACTCAGCTCCAAATTTTAACAACCTTCCCGTTGACAATAAAGTATTCCCTCTCTCATCCAGCCCAACACACAAGTGCAATATGTGGTCCATGGAAGAAGCTTTGTCCAACGGCCACACGACAGAAAAGAAGCTAGAAGCAGTTGTTCCAGAGGCTGATCCACAAGCCATTGTGAGTCTGCTTCTTGATGGATGTGGGGTGTCAATGCTTGTATGCCCTGGAGCCTCACTAGGAGACAGGAAGGGGGTTACACAGGCTTCCCCTCCCCACAGCACCACGCCTAGTCCTCAACATCCCATTACTCAATCCCTTCCCACCCCTACTTACTCCATTCTCTGAGTCAGACTTGCTTCATTATCCAGGAGCCTCTTCCGGGTCTCCCACGCGGGTGCAGGTTCCCAAAGCCTTGGGCCGTCCTTGACTGCTTTCCCAGGCCACAGGCAGGGAGCTGGAAGGGAAGCGGGGCTGCCGGATCCCGGGCGTGCAAGGCGAGGACCTTTAACCACTTGCGCCACCGCAGGGCGACAGAGAAGTCTTTTTAAAATATTCATTTGAAAGACAGAGCATCAAAGTGGCGATAGAGGGAGATAAGGAGAAAAGAGATAGCAAGATGTTTCATCCCTTGGGGCACTCTACAAAAGGACTCGACCTGCAGGCTGGACCTGCCTGCAGCCAGGAGCCATCAATGCCATCCTAGACGTCCCAGTGGCTGGCAGGGATTCCTGTACTTGGGCCAACACCTGCTGCCTTCCCAGGCACATTAGGAGGAAACTGGGACTTGAGATGTTACTGCAGTATGGGATACCGGTGTCAGAGCGGCAGCGTAGGCCACCATGCAGCAGGTCAGCAGAAGAAATCTTAAAACAGCAAGAGTATAGGGGACCCAGCACAATAGCCTAGTAGCTAAATCCTTGCCTTGCATGCGCCAGGATCCCATATGGGCATGGGTTTGTATCCTGGCTGCTCCACTTCCATCCAGCTCCCTGCTTGTGGCCTGGGAAAGCAGTTGAGGACGGCCCAAAGCCTAGGGACCCTGCACCCGTGTGGGAGACCCAAAAAATCTCCTGGCTGTGGGTCGGTTCATGGCTATGGCAACCACTTGGAGTGGGGCTAGGGGACAGAAGGACTCTCTTCTGTCTCTCTCTGCCTTTCAAATAACTTAAAAACAAAGCAGCAGATACACTGAGGTACTTCAGTGTACCCCATCGCCTTTCCTGTGATCCCTAAACTCGCGTCCTCAGTCCTTCCCCTGAAGCCATGTGCTAGCCGAGTTCCCCCTAAGCTCGGCTCAGGACTGGGAATGCGTTCCCCTGGCGGCTGCGGAGGTCACCAGCTGACAGTGAGTCCACCCCAGGAACTGCTGAGGCAGCTGCCATGCTCACGGCCATAAGCAATGACCAGTTGCCTCAGGACATTGCCGAAAGGCCACTTTGGCTTCAGAGTGCTCCAAGATCAGCTGAAGCATGAGGCCACTGTGATCTGCTTAGCGTGTCCCTCTGCCCAGCTCTGCTTAGTGTGCCCAGCTCTGCTTGCTGGCCCTCTGTCAGGTGCAGATCCTGTGGGAACTTCCAAATCCAACGCAGTCCGAGCCCACTTCCCGGGAGCCCTGCCTGTCGCAGGCGCCACACACCTCAGTCACGCTGCCGTCGGACTCCTCCCCGGCCTCAGCCTGCTGCTTGGTAGCAGACATCTATAAGGGCATCTATCCATGCGGCGTGTCCTCCTGTGGCATCTGAGCAATGCTGGGGCACCTGCTGGCACCTGAGGGTGTCAAATGCTCGATCCAGCAAGAAAGCATGCATGGTAACTGACACCATGGGGTAAGGAAAGGAAAATACTGGGGAGCACCAAGATTTCCCCTCGCCTTAAGGCGGAATGCTAGAAAAGCAGTGCCAACAATGCACGTATGAATACTACAATGGGATTTCAACATCTCAGCAAACAGAAAAAAACAGAAGCAAAGTGTCAAAGGTATCAAAGAGCCTTTTATTCACTGAAATCTCCTGGCTGTTTATAAATGCCCTCATGTATTAGAAGGCAATTGGATTAGGGTGGAATTTCTGTATGGCTGAGATTGAGATCTGAGATCAGAGGGGTCCTACGAGCCAGCTTAGGGTTCCCTGCAAAAATAATGTGAGCAATTAGTAGAAAATGAAAATCTGAAAAGTTATCTGGCATCTGAACATGTTAAGCAATTTCCCTATCTTCTGGTTTTGATCATTTATGCAGAGCAATCGAGCACGGTGGGTGAGGACAACGGTCACTTGATCTGGCCACACGCACGGCACGCCCTCAGAGCTTGGCGTGGTCCTTCAGGATCATCTGGAGCTTCTGGCTTAGCATGATGTTCCCTCTGGCCTTCAGTCGGCCACTGAAGAAAGCCTGGGGAGAGAGGAGACAGCACCCACCTGAGCATGCCACACTGTGTGGTTCTGACTGGGTATGCACAGAGCAGCTTGGATGATGAAGATCACAGCTAGGAGAAGGAAGAGGAGTGTCTGGTGTCTGTTAGAAAACTGTCGAGTCATTTATCTGAACTGACAATTCTGGGAGTTTCGCACCTTACGCTGCTAGCTTTATTCTTCCGTAGTAATTTGAGATGACTGGTAAAGGCAATAATGGTGTTCACAGCTTTTGAAATACAACTGTGCAGAAGGCGGCCTATGGCAACAGAACAGGATGGTGGGCACATCTCAACTGCAGCCACGGGAATGCCTGGCTCAAAAACCAAGCTCCATCCTGCAGGAACCGCGGGCAGCTGTGCAGAGGACTTTGCCTCTTGGAGCTCCAGCGCCCTCAGCTACAGGCAGGCATGACCGTGGTACCAAAATGATGCAACTGGTCTGAGCGTGCTAAGCAATGGCCACTGCGAAGCAACAGGCACCTGGCTGCAGACCGTGGGTTAGGACTCCTCTCAGTGCTCTGTGCCCAGCAGGGCCTGGCTGGAGAGTGGCAGCTTCCTAATGGCAGAGCAGAGCCTTATCTCCTCAATGGAGGAAAGGCACGGACTCCGCATCCCAGACACCACAGGCAGAACCTGTCAGTCGGGACTGCATGCTGAGCAGTAAGCCAGCTTTTCATGGTTGGATTTGCCTTGCTAGAGACTGAAGAAGCTGCCGGGGTGAGCCAAGTGACTAAGGACGGGACCCCTTGAGAGGATGACTCAAGACACGCTGGACAAGCACCCAAGGCACGGAGGGAGCCCAGCTGCTGGCTACATCCCTGGGCTTTTTCACTTCTCTTGCTAAGAAGAAAACAATCCAAAGAAAACTGAAGTCACAAGTTCTTTCCTGGATAAAGTGCAAAACACCAGGTAAGATTTTCCATCAGAGAAGGCAACAGAGTAGGTTTTTGTCACTCTGGAGTTCAGTGAAAATGAACTGAAACAAAATTCATGAGATGTTAGTTGACTTCAAATGCCACCGGGTGGATGAGTGTAAGGAAAGAGTGTGGAACAAAGGCCCTGAAGGATGCCATGACCCAACGGCTGCAGGTGTAAGATAACATCTAGGAGCCTGAGGGCAGCCAGATAGAGAAAGTAAAGCAGGACAGCATGATGGCATGGAAGCCAGAAAATGAAAATGCAGCAGGAAGTTAGTAGCTGGAGCTGACATCATGGCAAAGCCACTTACTGGCATCCCAAGACGTTACCAGTTCAAGTCCCAGCTGTTGCACTTCAGATCCGGCTCCCTGCTAGTGTGCCTGGGAAAGCAGCAGCAGAGGACCCAGTACCTGGGGGCCCACCAGCTCTGAGGAGGACCTGGATGAGGCGCCTGGCATTAACCCGGCCCTGGCCCTGCTGTTACTGCCATTTTGGGAAGGCGCCAGCAGATGGAGGATCTCCATACTGTCAGGTAACATGAAATCTTTCCTTTTTAATACTGATTTTTCTTTGGGAAATCTGCCTATCAAATAAAAGTAAAAGGACCTCCAGCTGCTCGTTCCTTCTCTAAATGGCTTCAACGGCCAGAGCAGATCCAAAGCCAGGAGCTTTGTGCAGGGGCCCAAGGACGTGAGCCATCCTCTACTGCTTTTCTAGCCATAAGCTGAATCAGAAGTAAAACAGCAAGGATATGAACTGGCACCTGTCTAGGATGCTGGTGCTGCAGGCACAGAATTACGCTCTATCCCAACCATTCAGGCTCCCAATCCAGAAAGAAAAAAGCCAGCTAACTATATTGAGTGCTACTGATGATTCTTGAATGAAAAAAAAAAATTGCTCACTGGATTTGTAAACATAAGCTATCAAAAACCTTCACTAGAATGGGACCAACAGTGATGGCAGAAGCCAGATAGCATTTTGGTTTGACTTTTCTCTGCCCTGTTAAGATGTGTTGGTCGGGAGAGTAACCACTTCCACGTGTGGCCACGAGCATGGGGCTGTATTAGTCCAGGCCGAGATGCACTGTCAGTGTAAAACACACCTTGCAAGTTCAAAAACCTGGCATTTTAAAAAGCACATAGAATCATCTCATATTTTAAGTTGATTACTTATTAAAACAGTATTTGAATGTACCAGGTAAAAATATCTTCATAAATCTTCAATGCTGCTGCTTTAATGTAGCTACTAGAAAAGTATTCGTTACACATGGATTGTCCTGTCGGTCTGTTGGGACAGAGAAAGGGTGTGTTGTGCTGGATGGGGATTGCCTATCAAGGCTGGGTGCTTTCAAACCAAGGCCTGAACAATTAGTGGTGGTGTGAGGGAGAGAATGCAGGGAGACAGAACAGCTGGAAGCCGCAGCGCAGGACTGAGCAGCATCCGGAACAGTAGCAAAGGGGCCCACCTCTGATGGAGGAAGCAAAGGGGAAATTCTCTCAATTATTACACTTTCCCCCCCAGTGCAGCATGAGATCAGCCAGAAAAGAAGAAGAGGCAGGAGTGTGGACCTGGGAGACATGCACGGGGCCACCGGTATGGAAGCTGAGCGGAAGCCGTCATAAGCCACGGTAAGACTCCCATACCACTCCCACATTGCAGCACTTGCTCAGCAGCGAAGGCACAGCTCGTCTGTCATGCGGCTTTCTGCAGCCGTGGTCCCCTGGTCAGGCACAGCTACAAAGGCAGCAGAGGGGGATTCAGAGTACAGCCTTCCAAGCGAGTCAATGTGAGACAAAATCCAGACAGAACAGGGAGAGATGAAATGGCAGACTGAAGAGCAGGAAGTGATGCCAGGCAAGCAGAGGCTGTGCGAAGGTTTTAGAGCAGTAGGAACGAGTTCATCGAAACATGTGAGAAGTGACATGAAATACAGCGAGCCTAGGTATTTTAAGTTCCTTGTAAGGGCAAAGGTATCTGCAAGGAAATGAAGACACTACAGAGTTCGCTGTGTTCAGGAACTCACTCTTGGGGATCGTAAAGGAAGCCACGAAAGTTCACGACAGTGGGAAGGAGACTGCACACTGAGAAATGCGGCTTTTAATAATGGAACAGCAGTCAATAACTAAGATGGGGAATAAAGCATCAGATAAGTGAGTTTAGAAAGACCCTGCTCTTAACTGGATTGCAATGAACACACCTTCTGTACATTTAGTTCTGCCATGTGCAAACTACTGTTCAAATCCTAACTGTACCTTCTACCACCTGTTTGAACTGCTTCATTCTGCAAGTCAGTAAGTTCATTTCTTGGAATTCCTAGTTACATGAAAGGAACAGAATTACAATCTTCTCTGCCATTTACATGACTCCATCCGGTACTTTCTGTGTCTGTGAACTAGTTCAAAGCTTCAGATTGCTATCTCAGTCAAGCTTTTGCCTTCGATGTGCCTATAAATGTTGTATGCCCAGACAGTGAAAGGCACGTCAGACATCTTAGTGCTGCCTAATCCTCCATCAGCGAGGCATCCCTAACCCGGGAGCACGGAGTGCACTGGCAGCACGCAAGTCTGAGCTGGGAGCACCTCAGGATGCTCCGCTGGGGAAGCAGGCGCCAGGACATTGAGCAGCTCCCGTGGGAACACTGCTGGGCCCAAGCGTTCTGTGCCAGGAGTGCTGCACCTGCATGGAGGGGCCTACTGGGAGCTCATGGGAGATGTGCGTACCTTTCACCTGCACTCCAGCAACTTTGAAGTGCCTCTGGATAGCAGGAATGACTGCCTGACTTTACTAGCAGCAGTTATTAATGTCATAGGGCTTTTAAACCTTGAAGTAGTGCAACAAAAATATAAATGTTAATTTTAGCTCATTTCACTGTACACTAAAGGTAGAATTTCACCTAAATTTAGTTTTAAGTGTCAGCTAAAATCCTTTTATGTAAAAAAAAGTTCTGTCAACCAGAACACTGCTCTAACAGTGACTTGTGTAATGACTTAGGGAAGCCTGAAGGCTGCTGAGGGAGCACTCTGGAAGCATTACCTTCTGAGGGTCCAGCTTGCCCAGCACCACTTCCATGAAGTCCTCATCGGAGATGGTGATGGTAGTGTCCGCAGAGCCTTTGGCGGAGCCCTGGTATACTCGCCCGGAGCCGTTCTTCAAGTCCATAGCTGGGAAAGCAAAGCAACGACGTGCATGATTCCAACAGCAGGTCAAGTAAGCCAACCACAACAGACATCCTCTTAGGTGAGGAGTCCCTGTTCCATCTATACATTATATATGATCTGTCACTTAGAAAAGCTAGAAAATCATCTACTTTTTCAAACACCTTTTTCTAAACATGTTGAGATTTTAAATGTGAATGAAAGCATAATTGACATTATTTAAGGAAGTTGTTGCAGTTTACATCACTAAAGTCTTCAGTCTGAATCGGATGCTATGGTAACAAGGAAAGCTGGCTCATAGGCAGCTGTGTGTCAGGCGGGGGAAGTACAGTCACCTTATGAATGCCTTACGTCTCTACAGGGTCTGTCACAAGACTTAACTCATTTAATGATTTATTCATAATACTTACTACCATCAATTATGGGTAAAATTCAAAACTTGCTTCTTGTCTTTCAGAAAACTTTGGAATTTGTTTATTAGAAAAAGCGTGACAGAAAGTTCTTCCCTTATTGCTTAATCCCCAAATGGCTAGAACAGGCAGGTCTGGCAGGGGCCAAGAAGGTGTCCCAGGAGAGTAGCAGGGAGGGTCCTGCCCTTGGCCGTCATCATTTGCCTTCCCAGGTGCGTGAGTAGAGAGCCGGAATGGCCAGCACTGATACGGGATGCCAGTGCCAGAGGCAGAGCCTGCCCTGCTGCTCCACATACCAGCTCCTGAGAATGTTTGCCAAAAGGATTAAATACCCCAGAGCCAGGAGGGCAGTGCTCTCTATGCACACTCCCCTTGTGCACGGAAGCTCCTGGACGCACTTCCTGCTGTCAGTGAAGCAGCTGCAGCCCTCATCACCCTCCTCCCCGGAACATGTTACAAACTCCTAACTAAGGGTGCAGGGGTGCTGCGCGTGTGTTAGAAAGCCCAGAGTGCATGCTGTGCCCTGCTCAGTCAAGCCATGCCCCACGCCATGCGCAAACCACCCACCTCCCACGGAAAATAATTCTGCAATAAACAAATCCAAAACAGTGACACCTGGGGAGGTGGGGTAAGGCTCACAGGACCTTTCTGCTTTGTCTGCTCAAGGCTCTTCTGCTGCTCAGCTCCTGGAGCGGGCCCAAGGTCCAGATGTGCTGCCTGCAGAGCAAAGCCCCGTTTGCACTGCACGTAGGTATGCACCCTGCTGTCATGCAGTGTTGGCACAGGTAAAGCACAGGCTGGCAGCACAAGGTCAAAGCCCTGACACCAGCAGACTTCATGTTCCTGTTTTAACCCTTCACAGGATCAATACCAGCTCAGGAATGAAGCTGTGAGTAAATGAACCACTGAGGAGGTGCTGCCCGATCATCCGCCCTGTGCTAGACACAGCTCTCACCAAGCCGACTGCAGACTCGTGGCTCTGGGTCCAACTACAGACAGAGGACCTGGCTCAGGTCCTGGCCTACAAGGAGGGTCATGCAGGAAAGTCATCCATCCCCAAGACCTTGGATTGACACACAACTGTAAGGTCAGTTAATTTTACTGTGGAAATGTTAAGGAGTGGCAACATTGAATGGAACAAGTGTGGAGCAGCAGATGATGGGGTGGCTTCTGGACTTTGGGTGCAAACCTTGCAAATTTCAAGGGGCTGCTAGAGCTATTCCTCCCTTAAGATAGTAAAAACTTAGGGATACACAGGCATGGTTGTGCCACCCAAGTGCTTTAAAAAAAATAATGTTTTTCAATAACAATGACTAAATCTTATCAGATTTACACAGAGGAGTCAGAGAAAGATATTTTGTGCACTGGTTCACTCCGGAAGTGGCTATAGCAGCTGGAGCTGAGCCAATCTGAAGGCAGGAGCCAGGAGCTTCTTCTGGGTTTCCCACAGAGGTGCATGGTCTCAAAGCTTTGGGCCGTCCTGGACTGCTTTCCCAGGCCACAAGCAAGGAGCTGGACGGGAAGTGGAGCAACCACGACACAATACAGCATCCATATGGGATCCTGGCGTGTGCAAGGCAAGGAGTTAGCTACTGAGCATTGTGCCACATCCTCTAGCACTTAAAAAGAAAAGGACTTGGAAACTATTAGCTAAATGGCATAGCAGGTAAGGCACTGCCTGCATGTTGGCATCCCAAAAGGGTGCCAATTTGCTTCTCTGCTGGCTCCACCTCCAATCCAGCTTCCTGCTAATAGCATGGGGAAGGCACTAGGCTCCTGCCCACATGCTTGTGCCCCTGCCACCCACATGGGAGAACCCAAAGCAGCTGCTGACTTGAGGAGGCCAGCCACAAGCGCTGCAGCCATGTGGGAGCACAGCAGTGGGGCAGAGGCCTCCTGCTCCTTCAAGTAAATATTAAAGCTAAAAAGCGCCTATCAAATAATTTAGATTAAAATTGATTAAATAAGGACATAACTTATGAAATTTTGGCAGGAATAGTATAAAGTCTAATCATGAGAAAAAAAACTGGGGAATTGTACAAAATAACTGTCCCTGTGTTCAAAATCATGAGGAACAGAGTGAAAAAGGACGCACCCGGGAGCCAACCGGAGGGAACAGCCTACACGTAGCACATGGCCCAGCCTGGACCCGGCCCGTCCTCTCCACAGCTGTTACTACTGGTAAGACTTGTTGGGCTGTCCTGCTCTAAGGGATGTGCCAGGACCACTGCTGAACTATCAGTAACGTCTGTGGGTCATATACTGATCACTAGTGACCTCCTGAGGGAGCTAACAGATCTGTAGGCAAACAGTTCTGTCATTGTTCTTAGGAAATGCAACTAAGAAAGAGTTTGCTTTTAGAAATTAAAGAAAAATATCACATTGGCACGTTGCTTTTAAATATTGCAAAAAATAGTACAAAGATGTTAAGATGAACAACACACATAGGAGACAGAAAAGCCATAAATGTTATGTGAGATTTATAAAAGGGATCTCTCTGTATTCTCCGGAAGAGTTAGACTCCATGGGGAAGCCGGCAGGACCCCTGCAGCAGAGGGGACCCCGCGCCCTGCAGCAGAGGCGACCCCGCATCCTGCAGCAGAGGGGACGCAGCAGTTGTTGCTAAGAGGCTGCAGCAGATTGCTCCCCACCAACAGCATGTTTCTTTACCATCTGATAAACGCAGGAGACCCCAAACGGAGCAAATATCCTTAACAGTAGCAGATACCTGATGCCATTGCTGACAGGCTGGCCCACCTGCCTGCCAGGAGGGCACATTGTTCCTCCATGTGGCATATTACCAAGACTCAAGTCCACAAGCTGGAACTGTCCGTCTCCTCATGCAATCATTGCTATGCATGCATTAAGCCCCGATATGTAGACGTACTTCTACATGGTTGATGCATACTGTCTATGCAGTGCTACTATCTAAATGCCAAATGTGCATTCCATTTAGTTTCCTGTAATAGGAAAGTTACAAATACAGAAAAGGAAGCAAAACTTAAATTTAGGAGGAAACAACCGAAGTGCTCAACACCAATCAGTTTTAAGGCTGTTTCCTCCTAAATAAAACAGATTTTTTTTTCTTTTGCTCATTAGCATTGTATGCTTAACATATGAAAATCGTCTAATGAAGTGTCAGAAGTACAGCTATAGTAAGCTATTGGAGACAGATTCCCATTTAGATGCAGGGCACGGTATTTGTGCCTGGAGTTACAATAAGCTACATTCTGAGATTCTCTGTCTGTAGACAAATGGAAATGCCAGAGCTGTTTTTGCATAAACAGGAGTGGCAAGTAATCTGCCAGGATCCAGGAGGCTTTCCTCCCATTTGCTCCCTGAATGCCATGAGGCAAAACAGCCAAGCTCTTGTTCTCAGGCTAACTACTAATTCATTAGACAGGGTTTCCAACTGGGTGCCGCCAGCTGAGAACTTGCCCTCCAGTTAAATCCACTCCTGATCTGGGTTAGATATAGTTTTGTCACCAAGGTTCTTACTCCTCTCTGGCAAACATCCATCTCCCATTTATTGCTTGCCGAAAAAGGCTAGCAGCCTTCAGCACACAGGCACAGAACTCAGCTTTACTTCTGCCCACCCCATCTCTCGACTTTGCAGGCCAGTTAGCCATGGAGGCCGACTGCCACAGTACTTGTGCTCCAGGAGCCTTCTTCCCACTGTTGCCATCACCCCAACGTGGGTCTTTTACTGTGCACTGCCACCTTTGTTTTCCCAACTTATCTGACACACCACCTCTAATAGTAACTGCTGCAGACAACATGCCGCACAGTCCTGTTGTAACTGTACCTCAGCCTTGCAGAGAACTGAGCATGCAGTGAAACACCTGCTGGCCGCACCAAGGCTCTGCAAGGCAAGAGAGCCTTTTCCATGTCTGTTCCGAGAGGGTTATTTGTATACATCAATGAGTACACAACCCCTAGTTGGATTGTTTCAGGCTCGATGTGTATTGGAATTCAGGCTGTTCCAGGTTTTCAGGAAGGAATTCATACATCAAATATACAAATTTATGAGAAATGTACATCATGAAACACTACAGATTTCAAAGATTTTATGCACCAAAAGAAAAATTTGCCTTTTCCCTGCATTGCACTTCCTGAAATCCTTTCATGCATTACATTAGACAAAGACCTCTAGTGGAGCCAAGCTCTGTGACGTGGGATATCCGTATCTGACTGATTCACACTAGGTGAATTACATCGAAACCAAAGCATCAAGTAGGTTTAGATTCTGTTTTGCCACAGGTGCACTAAAGCTTTGGGACTTTAGTTTGAGGCAAGAGCAGGTACATTTTAACTTTCGGGGGGGTGCTCTTGTTCTCTACCCTTTCACTGTCATCTTTTTTTCCTCTGAACTTGTCTGCAGCTCACAGCTGCAACATAGGACCAAAGGGCTTAGAACAACTTTTAACCGGATTCAGAAATTCACAGCTATTTCACAACAGAAATGACTAGCTCCATAGAAAAGCTGTTACTAATGAATACCTCAGTTTCAGCGTTTTTAAAAAGGCAGTTAACTCTATTCCATCCAAAGTCATGCTTTGTTTTTCCTTAACATTTACAGACTTTATAGACTGCAACATGTGTCGCCTATAAAGAAACTGACAACGGAGAACACACAGTGCTGCCAAGGTTTACGCCAAGGATTACGCCAAGGTCAAGTGAGAGGACACAGAGCATTCTCAAGATCACCATACAGTAAGATAAATGTGGCAAACAACAAGCCGTTCCCAGGGACTCAGACTTCTCCACCTACTGTCCATTTTCATCTTCTTAACCCACAGATCTTCATTCCAAAGGGTGAGATGCCTAAAGGCTAGCTGATATCGGATAACAAGTTCCAACACATCCTACCACGTCCATCCTGGAGTATTCAACAGAAACGCCACAGCCACTGTGCTCTTGCTATTATAACAAATTCCTTGTGAAGTAAGGAAGATGGACCCAATCTTCACCTCTAGGTAACAATGCTTTCATTAATCAGCTGTGACAGTTCGCCTCTGAGGGAGGACTAGATGCAAGTGAGCACGCCCAGCTCACTAAAGAGCTTGCTGAACCCTGCTGCCGTCCAGGGCGGATGGGCCAGCTCAGCCTGGCCAGGCTGCCTTCCTGCTCCTGGACACAGCACAAACAGGCCTGAAGTGAAAACAGACCCCGCCACCTGCTGAAACTCGTCTCAATAGCGCAGTCCCAGAACTTCAGATCCCTCATTTTACCCACACTAATTCAGTTTGAAAAGTCACACACACACACACACACACACACACACACACACACACACACACACACACACACAGAGTCCCTGACACTGTCCTGCCACTGACTGCACGCGGGGCAGAATCAGACTGTGGACACCTCCAGGATTTGGGTAATAGAATGGGGCTCCTGAGCCACCGAGTCAGAATCCCCAGCCTTAAACTTGCTCACGGTCAGCTGAGCAACTCCAGCAACACCAGAGCCCAGGCAAGGTGAACTGGAATGCAGAGTCCTCAAGTCTTTGTATTCTGGGTTTGGAAACCATGACATAAGCAAAACTGGGACAGCTTAAAATTTTCAAATACAAAAGACTTGGTCATTCAGTGTTTTACAAACCATTTAAACATGGCCTATGGCAGGTGAGACAAGAGGCCAAGGTATTCAAGCACCTATCCCACTCATTAACCACCAAGCTACAAAACAGAAGATGGCTATAGGTTGGCATCTAAGACCAGAAGGCAAGGGCCTAGGTCATTTCTACTGCTGCTAGCTGCTGTGATACAGCCAAAGCCTGGGGGAAAGCAAACCAGAATGAAAAACAGGCACAAAATTGAGAAAGAAATCAAGCAAGATGGGCCAGGCATGTAACTAGGAGGAAAGAGGGAAGAGCCAATTTGATCATCAGGTCAGCTAAATGAAGACAGAGGAGAAAACAAATATTACTGCTACCTTGCGGCTTTAAGTGGTCAGGACCAGGATTCCAGTATTCCCCCTTTCAAGCAAAAACATCAGGGAATAAAAACCTTCTGCCCAGGTAAGTGAAGGTGATTTTTAAATGTAAATATCTTCCTTGCTAACACTATCAGAACATGTGTCACAGACCAAGGGGAAAATCCCAGTTGGTTGCTGACCCCTGTGTGGGAGGAAGGTACCAGGTTTGAGGATGACTCACTCGCTCACTCTACAGATCCTTACAGGTGCTGGCCAACTCCCAAAGCTCCAGCATCCTCTTCTTCACTCTGTGTTTACAACTGCCGACGTAAGTGGAGGGAAGGAAGGAACGGACCAAGAAAGGATAGTAGTCACAGCTGTCAATGCACAGGTAATCTATCAAGTTGCGCCTTGATGCACTGCACTACTGTAATAATACGGGGGGAATCAGCATGGGGAAGCCCGATACCTGCAGATTTGTACGACAGAACATTACATTTTGCCTTCTTGATTTCCATGCAGAGTTTTCAAAAGGAAAAATGTCTACCAGAAAAACAAATTTGAGATACAAGGATTATATATTTTCTTCACATTTCTGTAAATCAAATTTGGTAAATATTTTTATTTTTTATATTTTATATGTATTTATATGTATTATATATTTTTATACATTTTATATATATTAAAATGTTTATATTTAACCAAAACCAACCGAATGAAACTTTAAAATGCCTTCTAGAAATAATGCAATAGATAATTACAGGAACTAGTGTTTCAGTGGATACAGATACACTTTAGTTACTCTAGATATAATTGCTTTGAAAAGGAGATTCTTAGTCATTATAGGTATTCTTCAAATGCTTCTTTACATAAATGTTTATTTATATGTAAATAAATTAAGTGGAAATATATCTGACAGAAACAAAGGCTGCTCTCTTGTAATGAGCCTGGGGAGGAAGGCAAGATGGCCTGTGTTTGGGTCCCTGCACCCATGTGGGAGACCTGGGCAGTCACAGACTCCTGGATTCAGCCCAGTACAGTCCTGGCTGATGTGGCCATTTGGGGAGTGAACCAGCAGATGGAAGACATAGCTATTTTTCTGTCTTTCAAGTAAATAAGTAAATCTTAAAATACATCTTTTTAAATGCCTTGAAAGTTATTAGTTCCCATGGCGGGGGGGAATCCACCTACCTTCAACGAGGCAGTTTTCCCCTAGAACAAGGACACCTCATGTACCTTAGCATGCTCGAGTCGGGGCTGTAACTTACTCCACGTGGCTGTAGTATCTCCGCCTTTCGTGATGTGCCATTCAAAGACTGCATTCACCTTCTTGACCACCTCGCGGCCGACATCCTTAAGGCGGCGGCCGATTTCCTCAAACACAAGGGTACTCTGAAGCTCCCCACCCTAAACAGGGAAGAGCTCATATGAAAATTCTATAGGAATGACTCAGGGGGAAAGAAACATTACAAAAGGCATGTACAATCAGAACTCTACAGAAACAGGGCAGTTAGGTCAGGTGTTTTTAACATTCATACCAGGATTTTTGCTCTGAACCTCAGTCCCCTCAGTAAGAGTAATATCAGAAATCAAAACAAGTGTATGTATACTTTTTAATAAGGATGCGGCTAGCCTACGCCCCAGCTAGCTCCAAGCAGATACTGGACAGAAACATCAACTCTGTCTATACAATGCCATGAAGCCTGCCTTTCTCCCTGGGCCTACACCTCGCGAAGGCTTTAATCTTAAATTATTCCATGGGCCTTTGTTTTTGAGCCAGTTATGAAAAGGCTTTACAATAAACAATGACAATATAATCATTACAAACTTTCAGAAGATGTAAACTTTTGTATCCAATTCTCAGCTTATTAAGAGTATAATGAAAAGATTTAATAAACATTACTCGCTGACTTATATTGGCACAGATGAGTCAAAGGTACAGGATATGTAACCTTTTCATCCATTGTTCCTCCACCATCTTTGCTTTCTGATTTCTCTGTAAGCAACTGATTTAGTTCTTTGAAAACCAGAAAATACTGTCTTTTGGATAATATTGCTGTATCTGCAAAAAAACCTTTTTAGGAATTCATGCATTGTAAAGTATTCCTTTAATTTCAAGCTGATCTGAATTAACGTCCTTCATTTCAACAACCGTGACTCAGGGATAGCTCTGAACTTCCTAACGGCGACCTTTGCTGGGACTCATACGTAAGGCAGTGTGACCTGGATAGGGTTCTCAGAACTTACCGCAGAGGGGGTCCTGGCTGATGGTGCAGAGGCTGGCACAAGGTCTACATACGCGTTTGAAATGACAATGTCACCAGTTTCTTGGACCTTATTAGCAACAGGGAAAAGAGTTTCCATAAGAATTCCAACAGAGGGACAATCTCATTGTGAAGCAAAACAAAGTTTGGGCTTTTTGTTTGTTTGCCTCATGGGATTAACTGGGATTAACTATGGCTGCAGAATTAGCTCGAGCCCTTCAACAAAGACACCTGTGAGCAAGTCTCAGCATCCCTGCCCCCCCCCCCCAGCTTCCGGAGTTCCACTGTCGCAGTCTGGGGTGCAGACAAGCCAGTGGCTTTTAAAGACTTTGTCCCACCAAACTTCAGTGTATCCCCAGTGGGAAGCCAAGGTGAGAAGTAATAAATTATTCCAAATAATAAAAGGTAGGGTACAATATCTGAGAGGATCGCAATTAGATAGGATCAGACCATAATCATGCTTTCTTTTTTGTTTGAGAGGCAAAAAGGGAACCAGAGAGACAAAGTGATTTTCCTAACCACTTGCAGCCTGTAAGAGTCAGGGTCAGGCCAGGCCCGAGCTGGGAACCCCATCTGGATCTCTCACCCGGGTAACCAGCGCCCACTGCTGCCTACCATGGTGCTGTTAGAAGGAAAGTGGAGTCAGGGGCACAGCCAGAATGGACTCAGGCATGTGACCAAGCGTATTAAAAATTGTCTTTGAAAAACAAACAATGACTGCACGTCCCTTTAGTGTTTTACTGGGTTGCTGTTAACACCCACATCCAGGAGATGTCCTTTAGACTTGGTCCTTGCCATCACACAAGCCCAAACTCTGTGCCAAACCACAGACACATTTGGGTCCTGACAGGATCCATGTGCACACGATCTTCAGAGAAAACAGAACTATCACGGACATGATTTCACTGCTCTGGAGAGTACTTAGAAATGCTAACTCAATAAAATTATTTTTTAATGTCCTTTCTGTTAGACTATGTTTTGCCAATTCTGTTTTGAAGCACTCGTAAAATGCTACAAGATCCTTCATTAAATAGTTGAATAAATCTGTCATTTCTTTATGCACATCAATCATGTCCTTACATTTGAAAGATCCCCTGTTGACAATAACTTGGTCAACTAGTTAAGCCAAAATGCGTGGCTGGTTGGATTCTCAGGACAGTGTGGCTACTGTTATGCAAACATGCAACCATTTTATTTTAAAGTAAAATGTAAAGGTGCACAAGCCATCTTATTCTCAGGAGAAAGTTCCCAGTGGTTAAATAAACATTTTCTAGGTAAAGCCTCAGCTAGTACTAATGAAAACAACAACAACAAAAACCCTAACAGGAGCAAAACCGCTTTAAAAAAGTCAGGGAGGAGGGCCAGCGGCGAGTGCTCATGTCTCGGCTGTTTGTACCTTGGTCTGGAAATGGATTCTGTTTCCCTGTTTCCACATCTCAGTTTGCAGGGTCTGTCCTGGGTACACTGGTTTTGCAAAACGAGCCTTAAGTTTAAAAGAGAAAGTTTAGAGGTTAGAAATGTTTTAAAGTAAAACTCCTCTTACCTGTAGGGAACAAAGTTAGAAGCAGAATACAAAAAATATAAAGGAGAAAACAGGTTTGATATGTTTAACTTAGTCAGAGGGTGAAAAACATGATAAAACTAGTACACAGGATAAAAACAATGTGCAAATTCTCTTCCAACAAAGTGAATAAATTGTATTTTATCTTGACTAATCAAGAACAGAAGCACCTTCGTTAGGCAGAGCTGCACAGCCACAATGCAGGAACTCTCAGCAGTGATACCAACCGTGTCTGGAAAAGAAGACCTGAGGTGGACACAGGGAAACAGTCCTGTTTCTCTCGCTGTCTGTATTTGATGTACTCTGTGCACATATTACTAGGCAATAAAATAGCTCTAATAAAAAGGCATAACAAGTCACAGTAGCAATGGTAGAGCAGGAGAACTGCACTGTGGCAGGGAACAGGGATACACAAGCTTTTAAAGATATTTGACGATGCTTTTAAACTTCTTTTAACTACACATCATTTGACTTACACTTCAGCAAACATTGTGGACACATTTTTCCTTGTTATGTATAATGGCTAAAAACTAGGGTCAACTTCCAAGTTAGAAAAAACTAAAGGTGGGCATTTGGCACAGTGATTACAGCAAGTGCCCAGGTTCAAGTCCAGCTTCCTACTCCTGTGTGCGGTGGAAGGAAGCCACAGGTGGTGGCTCCCACAGTTGGGGTCTTGCAGGCGTCTGGAGAGTGCAATTGTTTATCATTCATTTGAAGTGCGAGCACACAGAAGCAAGAAGCAGAACTGGAACTAAGGAAGCTAATATATCTACCTCTCCTCCAGTTACATTTTAAAATTTAAATACATTTCATCATCAAAGTGTTGTAGGTGTGTATCAGAGTTGAGTAGGCTTACTAGAGCTCAAATACAATTAATGCTTTCAGGCTCATTAATGCAAACCATTAAATAGTAAAAAAAAATAAATCTGAGTTTTTAATGCATAATGCTGATACATGTATGCATCTAACTGTAAAAAATCTAATTGGTTAAAATTAGAACTGTATTAAAATATGCTTCACAGTCTATATATAAAAAGTTATTTTCAGCTAAAAAATGAAAATATGCTAATTGCCAACTCGAACAATAAAAATGTGTATTGCTCCAGTACAATGTCAGTTTTACATTGATTCAATAAAACTAATGCTAAGAAAAGGAACTAATATTCAAATTATGTGGTAACATACACATACCTTAATTGCCTTGAATCTGGAGGCATCATTATCAGCAAACTGTCGTAGAACATGCCTGGCAGAAAACCCAAACGTACATAATCCATGCAGAATGGGCTTGTCAAAGCCTGAAAACAGAATTTAGGTAAAAACCGGCCCCTTTTATATTTAAAAACCAAGTGCCCCCTTCCACTGCAAGCACGGTTCAAGATGGCCCAGGCAACATCTGTGCGGACTTCAGTAACCATGTAGTGTAGACTTTGGGTTGGCAGAATGCACTGTCAGGAGGCCACGGTGGCATGTACCAAGCTTCAAAGAACAGCCTGAGAGTGAGCCGTGGGCGGAGCAGCAGAGAACCCAGAGAGGGAGGCGAGCAGCAAAGCAGTTTCTGCGGGCACCAGCTACCAAGCAGTCATGTGGACCACATCGGGCTGTTGCCTGACGCCTTGAGGACTTGCCACCCAACTCGGTGTGCACAGAGTACTAGGCTTCAGGCTCTAAGATCTAGCATCCGCCTGCCTTTGAGCTCATCACGCCACTGCCCTAGGTCTCCCTTTGGGAATAGGGATGTTTTTTCTTGTAGGCATCCCACCTCTGAAACAGGTAGCTGTTTTCAAGTCGGTAACTTGGAATGCTACCAAGACTCGTGGATGACTAGGAGTCTGCCCTGAGTCTCGAATCAGACTCTGAACTTGAAACACTCATGGATACCAGGACAAGTTAACACTTTGGCTCCAGTGGAGATACAATAAATGTCTTTATTGTGAGAGAAACACGAGTCTTGGGGACATGAGCAACACTCTATGGCTTACACATGGTTTGGATGAACCACAAGGGCTCATTCACTGAGAGCTTGGTCCTGAGTGTGTCAGAGGTGGTGAGGGGGCCTTGGCTGCAGCCCCTCCCATGCCATGGCTTTCTGTCTTGAGTATGGATCTGTCCGTCACAACCAGTTCCACCATGACAGTAGCTGCCAGGACCTGATGCCATCAGCAGGTGTTAAGTGAGCCTTTCTCACCATGAGCCTCCAAAACTGGGAGCTAAATAAACCCCTTTTTTAGTAAGACAAACCCTCAGGCAACTTACAGAAAAGACAAAAAAAAAACCCACTAACTAGTATAGCAATTACAACTAATCCAAGCACAAGTCTTTAAACCTTATTAAATCGTACTACATATTTCAAGAAGCATGACAAATATTATGTAAACAACATTTTTTCAGAATCAAAGTATGAACTAAGCAAATGAAGAAAGAGAAAGAAGAATCAAGAGATCTAGAAACACAAAGAACTCTTTTTCCTGGCTGCACTTGCAATGGTAAGGTCATCTGGGTGGCTCCAACAGCCAGGAAGGGACCTTCCCTAGCGTTTCAGCTCCTTGTCAGAGTCTCCTCCGGGGACCCTGGCCTTCAACACATCTCGGCTCCCAGCCTCATGCCGCCGCCCCACTCCTCGCCCAGACCTTGCAGTGGCAGGAGCTTCCCTCCACCACAGCCTGAGTTTCAAGTTCATGGTGTCTGCAGTACTGCTTCCTACCCCTCTGTATCCTCTGCCAAAATGTTGTAAGGAGAAGGCTGGTTCTTAATCCATTATCTGATGAGCAGTTCCAAGCGGCACTGTCTCAAAGCAGCTCGTTCAGGTAACTGAGCTCACTGACTTCGTTAATCAGTATTGTTAACAACTCACCTGCAAGGCTGGCAATGTTAGGATCAATATGTAGGGGATTCCAGTCTCCACTGAGGCGGTACAAAGCAGCCTGTACAGAAAGAACCAACAGGTGTAACCAGTGCTCAGCATTTGCTAAATGTAAATTGGGAAACTGACCCAGTTATTATTTCAGAATATGCCAAATATTCCTAATTGAGGCTCTGATTTAAAACAATTAAGCTTCTCACAAAGAAGATTTTTATAAATTAAATGTGGGGTTTTTTGCTCTCTTTTTTTTCATAACTGGCCAGTGAAATCAAGGAGTATGCAACACAATCAAATAAAGGGAAAGAGAACCCAAAGTTCCAGTTCCACCTGGGTGTAACACTGTCCCCAGTGCCCACAGAGACAACGTCAAAAGAATCCATCCACTCACTGAAATACAACGAAGCCCCAGGAGAGTGCTCATGGCCCCTTCTGAACAAGCTAACTTAAGCCAACGTTGTTAATGGGCTGTTTTACATGGACGCCTGCAGCATAATACTAGACACAGAAACATCAGCATTCAGTCATGAACACACTAAGCCCTGCCAGCAGAGCAACAGCTTGCTGTCAGGACGGCATTCCCGCTCGGCTCAGCTCCCTCCGCTGCCATGCACCTAGCTGAGGCAGGATTAGCGGAGGTCTGTGGATAACAACGTCAGAGAGATGACCACACCTTCTGCCAAGTAAACTGTGTGTTGGTCGGGTGGGCCCGAGCGGACTTCTCAGTACTGAAGGAGAGAAACAGCAGCTAATGCATCTGTTTCAGCAACTTGACCCTTCTGTGTCTGTCTCAAGACTTCCCTTTCTCATCAGTTGCTGAACTCTTATAATATTCTAAGACGGGCCGTGTTGGCTTATCTGACTTTTAAATGGCTGATTTTAAAATTACTTTCAAGTTATTGGTTAAATACTTATAGCAAGTTTGATTTCTAAAAATAACATAAGGAACCTTTATCTTGAACATGTTTTACACAATTCTAATAAGCTCTTTTTCCCATCACCCCACATGTTCTATAATTATTTACTTTCCCATGACTTCTAAACCTAACTGAATTTAATCAACACCTACTGAATACTAGTGACTTGGCAAGCTTCCGTGTAAGACTGGGGTGGGGGGAGGGATTAAATGGTAGTTTATTTCCACTACTCTGCAGAGTGATGAATGCTGTAAGTTCTGCTCCTCTCCTCTCCCCACACTGTCCCTGCCGGCAGCCTGGGCTGAGGCAATGTCCCACAGCGACGCAGTGCAGCACAGCTCCTTTCCTCTGGCCCTTCCACATCCCTTCCCTAACGAGGCCCCCTCTCTGCAGGTCTGGGCACACAGTCTCGCAGCCAGTCACTCGTGGGCTACAACAGTGGCTCTAGTGGTTTTGTTCTACATCTTGAGTATGCCAGGGTCCATTTCCATCCCTGCACAAGGTATCTGTAATACTGATGTGTATTTCCTACAGCAGCAGTCCAGTTTCAGACAGCAAGCAAGGCCCCTGAAGTTGACGCCAACTCTTAAATGCATTGTTTTCAAAGGCATACTACCTAGCTCTCGTCACATTATGAAATGACGTACAAGTAGTCAAGCCCTGCTACCAGGTGATGAGTGCCCATTATCTATACAAAAAATATTTGTTAGTTTAAAAGCTGTCCTTTATCACACAGCAGAATAGTAAACTTGGCCAGAAACCAACCAAGAGTTCTCATCCTGTGCGAAAAACAATGAAAGAAAGTCCTTCCCTCTGTGCAGAAAGTCAAACCATGGAAATCATTCTGTTGTTCTTATGTAAACAGATACATTTCATTATTTCAGGGTAATCTAACGATATTAAGAAAGCTTTTGCTGGGTTTCCTGGATCACAAAATCACAAACCTCTGCTGCCTTTTGGAACTCTAGGAAAACTAATTTCTCTGTTAGAATCCATGTAAATACAAGTATGAGGACACTCAGGACAAACTACCATGAGACAGAGGCTGGAAAACATTTAAAAGCAGAAGCCAATCTGAGTTAGAACAGAAGAAAATATACTTCCCCTCTGACCTGTAGCATGTAGAAAAAGCAGAATTCCCAAACCCAACCTTACTTCTTTCTGGTCCGTGGGATAATGCTGTTATCTGCAAGGAAACATTTAGTCCTGCAGATTCTAAGGTATTGATCAAAATTATAAATTAAAGGTGTCAACAGCCAGGAGGACTAGCCACCTTTCAAGATCACAGCCTTACCTGATTAAGGGAGGTGGTATCTGTGAGCACACTATCGGGAGGTCTCTTAGGTAAGGCGACAGCTTCCTGTGTTCAAAGACAGGACAGTCAACCAAGTGGGAAGCACTGTTGCTGCATTTGATGAACCATCATGTTTCAATATAATAAACTTTGCAAAGTGAAGAGTTTTCTAAAAAATATTTTATGTTTAGGATACATGATATCTAAAATATCCACTTAGCTTCTTACAGACTGATTTTCCTTAAGTTAACCCCTTCTGAGAAAATTTTATTTTTAGCTTACAAATAAAAACTGGAGACAAGCCAAAACAAAATCTGTATAAAAAATATACTTTTAGATTTTCAGAACTACAGAATAAGTAAATGCTTTACATATGAGAAATGCTTAACATTTCATGAATGAAAATTTTAATGTATGCAACAATCATTTGTTTTAGGTTTTTGTAAAAACCTTTGGGTGCTACAAAAATTACATGAAAATCAAGTAATAACTATTCTCAAAGATCTCAGATACATTCTGCTTGAGCCACATCTCTCTCCTCTCTCTATATATATGTATATATACACACAAAATTATTACTAATAAAATATATAAACATAAACAGCACTTCAAACCCCAAAAAATATTCTAATCCCATGGCATGAGGATTACTGAGTCTCTATGGTGACTCAGTAAGACCAGAATACACCAAAGAACCCATAACTCAGGTATTCATCTATAAAGCATTGGCCCACCTTGACTTTGTTTGATGTCCGTTTTCCACCAAAGCCTCCAGAGCCAACAGCGAAAATGGAAAACTGATTATAGCAGATAAGTTCTTTTCCAGAATAAGAATAGACTGAAACACAGAAGAAAAAAGATAGTAGGAGTTACTATCAAAAATTACAAAGAATTAACTAAGGTATGTTCTAGAATTCCTTTAAAGGCTTCAAAGCAGAATCCAGTTACTGAAAGGTTCTACAATTTACAGATGGCAGTCTGGATTACCAAGCAGAACCATCTGAATGCATTGACCACCGGTTTCTGAGAGGAGCGGCTTCATTAATCCTGCCGTAACTGCCGAACAGCAGTCTCACAGCACTTCTTAAACCTCCCTGACTGCCACTCAAATTCTCAATCTTCCCAGCTCAGATTCTAAACAATTTCTCTAAAAACTGTAGGTAAGTACACTCAAACTTCAACATTCTGCCAAAGCAGGATGGGTGAGAGAGAAGGGATAAGCCACCTTAGGGCAGGACCACAGATGCTGTGTTAGCAGCCATTCCAATGGCCCAAAGGTTGTTAAGTGAATCCGTGAATCAGTGAATAAATGCCCTGGGTTTACACAGCTGTTCTTGTCCCCTGCCTCATTCTCTAGTTACAGTTTTACACATAGCTCTAGAACAGGAGTACAGTTTGAATTACATGCTAAAGAAAAAGGAAAAGCATGGCAATTTGTATTTAAATAAGATTTTTATCTTTACTGCATAGGTAATTGGATCCTAGCTTCATCTACACCTCATTTTATTAATATCTTCAATAACCATCATATACTACGACCCATTACCAAGTCTGAGCTGACTGAGTAACAGATCAAGACTAGTAATAAAAGTGAAGTGACTGCAGTACTTTCATTTTCTGTTATGTTAATTTAGTACAATGTTGAGATTAGAAGATGGCCAGAAATGGAGCCACTGGCACCCAGGACCTGGGCTGCAGCAGGAAAACTTAAACACAGGAGGGAAGAGGGGACGAGAAAGGAGAGACAGTATATACAGAATATTTAACAGTATCCAAAATAGTCTCGATACTTGAAGTAAAAATAAGGCAAGCATCCAACACAGCACCCAGGGTACAGAAGAACACGGGTTCAACTCGGGATCCTGTGGCTTTGCGGCGGTGCAGAGACCAGGCTGAGAATTCTAATCTCTTCTCAGGTAGCAGCACGTGGCAAGGTGCTCTGACAATGGTCGCAGCGCCTGTGTGCCAGGTGGACTGTGTTGCTCAGCTGGGAGGCTCAGCAGGCTCAGCGTATTGCATGTGCTTCTGACTTCAGCTACTTTCAACACGTAGTACGCTGATGAACCCCAGTGTGAACTGAAGGGCACTTACGGCATCCCCTCCACACTGTCAATGCAGACAACAAAGCTACGGTCGAACATTACACTCCCCATTGTTCTTAACTTCCAAACGTTTGCACAGTGTCTATTTTTTATGCTAATTTAAAGTAAGTAAATTTAAGCACTGTTTTTCTAGCTTGCTTTATTTCCAACTGTTATCAAACAAGTAAAATCTCTCTCCTTCCCACTGTAGACAAAACGTGGCTATGGCCTTTGAATCACACTAAGAGACCCACGTGCTAAACTGCAGAAGTCTAAGAGCTTAACTACAAGAGTGATTCTCTGAGCAAACAGATTTCAATTTCCAAATAGCTGAGATAGAACAGACTATAATTGTGCGAAACAGGGCTAAAAATTACATCCCCTGCTCATCACACTGTCCAGCAGGGACAACTCTGATTTCTGCACAAGCCTCATTTCCCACCTCTGTTCCTTCATTATGCGTTGACGTAAAGATGTATTTTTTTTATTTGAAAGGCAGAGTTGTAGCAAGAGAAAGGTAGTCAGAATAGATAAGAGAAAGAGATGGATCTTCCACCTGGGCTCACTCCCCAAATGGTCACAATAGCCAGAGCTAGGCCAGTCCGAAATTGGGAGCTAGGAGCTTCTTCCAGGTCCCCCATGTTGGTGCAGGAGCCCACACACTTGGCCATCCCCTGGTGCTGCACTCCCAGGTCATTACCAGGGAGCCAGACTGGAAGCAGAGCAGCCAGAACTCAAACCAGTGCCCACTTGGGAACCTGGCACCACAGCAAGAGGCTTAACTTGCTAAGACGTGGCACCAAGCCGGGTTCTATTCTGATTGAAATCCACTAAAGGTCTCCCCCCATTCCCAACCCAGTCTGTTTCATTCTTCCCCTCCTTTCTGGTTTTTCATAAAGAACTCTGAGAAAGTTTTAAAATACTTATCTTGCCTTCTTAAAAATTGAAAATACAACATTTTTTCTAAGAACTATAATTGAGTTACCATCCACAAGAATGAGGACACCAGATCCTTTATCAAGGATATCAGCAACAACTGCTTCACATCTCAACGTTCCTAAAATGAAAGGTAACACACATGAACAAACTGTTGCAAGAGATTGTAAATTGTTACATCAAGACATGAGAAAATTTAGTTTGTCAGGCTTTCAGACAAACTAGAAGACCAAGCTTTCAAATCATTTTCCTAAATTCACCAGAAAAAATAATTTAACATTGAAAACTACCAGGAAAACAGAATCACTAAATTTTTTAAATTACTATTTCTGCTAGAGTTTCTAAAAATTGCATTTTCAGTCTCAATGATTCCTCTTGGCCTCCCTCACTTTTTGATTTAACAAAGTCTGCTGAAAACCCTAATCACAGCATGACCCCTTTCCTTTTCTAGCCTGGGTTCCCTACTTCCAGCAAGACACTGGTTCTCACCCCTTTGTTCCTCGATGGGTCCTCTTTCCCAGACTGCATCACGGCGGGGTGAGCTCAGCATCTTCTGAGGACCTGCCTGCCCTCCTGTCCTCGGAATGCAACTTCAGCACTCTCCCCCAGCTGCCAGCCAAAGCCTCAAGCATTGTTCTAACACCAAAACACGAGGTAAGCCCATGGCAAGACATGCATATGTACACACGCCAAAGCTAAAGTATATCAGAAACTTTTAAAGTCATCCTTTTGTGAAAATAGTCAGTTATTTTAGATGAGAGGAGCTGAACATCTTCTCATTTTGATTATTCATATCCCTTTATCTGTTTTCCTAACAAACAGTCTTTGTACTTTCTTTTGCTAAACTATTTTGTAGAGCCATTAAGTTCTTACCTATAGGTTAAAAATGTTATCTAAAAAATATTTTTTAAAAACCATGGCTCCTTGGCTGGGCTGAAACATCCAAAAGCAAGGACCAGTTTGGGTTGAAGGCCAGTCAGGAAAAGCCACTGTTCCTGCTATGACAGGAGGTGGACTAAGTAGGGCTGGCTCGTGGACCCACTGGTAAGCGTGAAACCTGGCACTGGGAGAAGTTCTGATGGAGGAGCCTGGGCAACTCCTCTGGCAGGACACAGACCCGACAGGTAAGTGCAAGAAACATGATAGGAAACAGCCCAGAACAGGCCATGGAAAGTTACCCACTGGCATACAATTGGCAGGGATCGGGGGAAGACCAGGCTGAATCTGTCCACGTCATCCACTGGCAAATCCAAGCACCAGAACAGTGTGGGTCGAGCCAGGTTCGGTCGCAACAAAGACTAGTGCACAATATGGAATGCCAAGGTGAGGTGGCCTGTACTGGATGTGACCGCAGCACACAACCAGCAAGTATGAGAACAAGGAAGGGAGGGGGCAGAGCCAGCAGGGGAACAAGGGGTGGTTCCTTTGCCGGACAGCTACTCCCATTGGAGAGTGTGGACTGGGATGGGGGCACACCAGACTAGGCAGGGCTACAACACCTGTACGCCTCATGCGGACTAGATCAGGGACAAGCCAGGCTGGGCTGATTATTCAAACTAGTGCAAACAAAATTACAGTGGGTGAGGGTTGTTTGGGCTTAGCCACAGCATCAGCTGGCAGAAGCTGGCACTGGGGGTTAGTTCTGTCAAGTCAAACCACAGAACTCTCTGGAAAGTGCATAATCTGGGAGTGGGAGAGGCCTGGGAGGGAAATAGTGGGCTCCTCCCTCTTGCGTTACCACTTCCACAGGAGGGCAAAAAACTAGGACAGGGGCTTGGGTGGAATAGGGTGTGGGACAGACTGGACTACTGCTACACATACTGGCAAACCAGGGTAGGGGGCGGGCATGGTGGGGGTTACTGTGGGTCACTCCAACTAGGCTGAAGCTCCCACTGGTTTATTTGAGGGCCGAGAATGCGCTGTTCAGAAACAGGCTGGACTGCAACACCCATTGGTTCCAGTGGAAGTCGGGGCCAAAAACAGAACCAACCCAGCAATTGCAACCACCAGCTGATCAGGGCGATGGACTGTGCCGGGCCCTATACTTGCTAGCACATACAAGAATCTGGTTTGAGAACACCTCAGACAAAGTTTCTTTGGAGATCTCCCCAATCAAAATGCCAGACTCAGAACCCTAACCAAGAAAAGACAGAAGACAGAACAAGTCAATCAACCATCTCAGCTGTATGTTGGCAGCGAAATACGGGACAAACAGAGACTCTATGATGGACTATGTCAATCAGTGGATTCTTGAACGACCTCATAGTGCTTGGAGTGGCAAGATTGGCAGTGATTCATAACTGTTGAAATATCAAACCACCTGAGCAAGAACCTCAGAGCATACCCTACATCCGGGACCTGGGGAGGGTGGGAAATTGGGTGGGCCTTCTCCCTTAATACCCCCCTTTAAACATGAAGGAAACAATATGGAAAAAATAATAGTCTTATCCACTTTCCTATAGCCCTTGAACCTTTTTACCCTAATTGACTATGTAAAGATTGTCAAAATATAATTTAAAAAATGCAAAAAAATAAAATAAAATACTTAGGCAAAAAAAAAAAAGAAAAACCATGGCTCCCTCCTTTTCTATTTTGTAAATTTGGCAAAATTACATTGCCATAATGCCTGATCAAAAACTTGTATTTGTACTAATATTTGATGTGTATTAATATTCTATGTGTACTAATATTTGACTCATAGATGCCTTGTGAGAATTGAGATTGGAAATGTTACTGACTACTTTCTGATGAAATATTATTTTGGACTAATAACAGCAATCACCTTCCAAAGGAAATGAGTCCGCTACAGAAAGTCAAACAAACACAAACTCCGACTCTTACACTGCTCATCCTGGGCCACATCACATTCTACCTCATGAAGCAAACAAACTGCTGCTGTCAGCTCCTTTCCCTCCATGTGATGGCCATCTGTAACCACGACCAGGGGACAGTGCCACTGCAGCTGGCAAATGAGCCGTCAGGGGACGTGGACATCCACCTGCTGCTGGACACCACGTCTCAGCAATGGGTATGTATGACAGAAAGATTAGCAACAAAGCCAGACCCTGGGTTTTCTGTAGCTTAGAAAGGGTTCCAAAGCACATATTCACATTCACTACAGAATAAACTTAAAAATTATACACATAAAAAAAGGCAAAGACCCTACTGGAGAAAAATCATTCATGAAAAACATAACTGTAAAGGGAAATTAAGTATTTTACATAATTTCCTGCTCATCTCACTTTTAACCATTTTAGAATCCACATCTGATCTCTTTTTCCTCTCTCTCCCTCTCCATAATTCCAAATTCTGACAGGGAGCAACCTCCCTTGAGCATTTCAACTTGATTATAACAGTGGTTCCCAAGGAGCCTGCTATCTACTGCTTCTGCATCAGGCAGGGTGCTGCCACCACACCCACACCCATGCACACAGTCACAGGCCGACGCTGCAGAGATCTTTGAAATCTGATTAAGAGAAAAGCTAACCATAATATGAGTAATAAGGCAGTCAAGTTAGAAAATTCTGATACCCAATCCTGTGCCTGGCAAATGGTAAAAAGCCAGCAGTCTTCAGATGAACAAACACCACAAACCATGCACTGTCTCAGATAACAAGAATTGCTGGGAAACTCATCCCATGATACTCAGTAAGAAAAAGCCATTCAGCTTCAAGCATAAATGCCTTGTACACTTTTTAGTAAAATGAAAAGGCCTAAGGGGAAACAAAAGGATCCCAGCTACTTGCTGAGCACTACATTTTATCATCTGAGAGGATAAATGCTTTTTCTGTACTTTATCACCCTATAAGACCAGTACGTATACAACTAGACAACAACCTGACATCCTAGGACAGAAACCAAAACAAATACATCATATTACAGTGAAAGACCGAAAACGGAAGCTCTTCCTGGCAAGAGTACGAACAAAAGAAGAACCTGCAAATGATTATTCCAGCAGAGAGCTTCCTTTTCCCTGAGAGGGGTGGGAGGAAGTAAACACAGGAAGCTCTCGAACAGTGCTTGCTCTATGACAGTCAGTACCAAGACAAGTACTGAGAAGAGAATGCAAAACTGTGTCACAGGAATCTTAATACAATCTCCAAGCTTCAACGTGCATGTTAGTTTGTTAATCACGCAGACTGCAACAGATATAAGTTGGTATTATGAAGTAACTTACTGCCTGATATTAAATGATGTACTGTTCCGGAAACTTCAAGTTTCAGATGACATTAATCTACTTCAGCGGTCTGCGACCGTCAGTTACTGTATGTGAGCTTCCTGCACTGACACTCAGGAAGGTTGATCAGAAAATACGGAGTGAGGGTAGCAAGTACTCACCTGACGTGGGAAGTGGCTTATATAACTCCAAGTACTGTTCCCCATGAAGAACCTATGTTAAAGTAAGCAAAACTGTGTTAGCAAACATTTTTGTTCCAGGTGGATATCGCTACCCAAGTGTCCTCTATGTGCACACGTGAGCACTCTGCTTATCCACCTTGGCCTGTCCTCTGCTTCGGACTAGTCAGCCCAGTGGCAGCTCTCAGAGCAGCAAACAGATCTGTACTCTTCCTTGGCATTCAGACATCCTTGTTGACTGGCAATTATAAATTATTTGCCAATACAGCAATAAACTAGGCTGTCTTTCCAGTGCTTCAAATAGTGCTGGAACCCAGTGGGCATCCAAATGAACAAACACGGCACGTTATTTCAGGTCAAACATTCCAAATGGAAATGACAACTAAAACTCAAAGAGAAACCTTACAAATATAGTCAAAAACAGAACAGTTAATGTCAACACTGCCTTTGTAGCTTGCACATTATCCACAGAATACATACTAAGGACACTGCACAACTTAACATGCTATGAACGCTAAGGATCAACTAAGTATACACTAAGCAAACAGAACATGGATACACCCAAAGACACTGCACAGCAGTGGGCCCACCCCCAGTCTTCTGATGCCGGAAGCGGCAGACGGGAGGGCACTGGTGGGAAGGCACAGGAGGCAGCACCTCACTGTGTCCCACGGCTCGGAAACTCTGGACTGCAAAGGAAGACAGTCAGGCACGCAGGTGGCTGTCCTTCCCAGCCGAAGGCGAGCCGGCACCCTTCTGATGTGCACTGCTGAAGCGTTTGTCCTAACGTGTCTACATCAGATCACCCCACTAGTACAGCACTGCCCAGCAACCGCCGTGGTGACCGAAACAGCAATACGCACAGCACATAATTCTGTTTCCTCCTCCCAAACTTGAACCAGACCAGCTTCCTGTGACCCAGAGCTGCCACAGGCTCCTCAAGCCAGTCACAGATATGAGCTCCCAGTTCTAAGATCTGACAATTATTGCCATGCTTACAACTTTTCTGTTATGCCAAGAAACAAATTACAACCTACCTCATAGCGGCTAGCACATGCTCACCCCTTTTTAGTTAATTATTTAATCTCATTACAAATGGAATTTATTTTTACAATTTTTATTAACAGATAACCACACCTGCCTTCCTTCTTCCCTCCCTCAAAGCCCCTTTATTCCTTTCTTTCATATTTTTGCTATATTTGTATTTCATATACAATTTTTTTAGATTTTTACTTATTTTTATTGGAAAGGCAGATATACAGAGAGGAAGAGCTTCCATCCAATCATTCACTCCCCAAGTGGCCAACATGGCTGGAGCCGAGCATATCCGAAGCCAGGAGCCAGGAGCCTCTTCCGGGTCTCCCACGCAGGTGCAGGGTCCCAAAGCTTTGGGCCGTCCTCGACTGCTTTCCCAGGCCACAAGCAGGGAGCTGGATGGGAAGCAGGGCTGCTGGAATTAGAACTGGTGCCCATATGGGATCCATGTGCACGTTCAAAGTGAGGACCTAGCCACTAGGCTATTGCGCCGGACCCCATATACAGTTATAAAGCATCTTGATACTAGCCACCAGACCCTCCCTCCCTCACACCATCCCATTTCTTTTCTTACTTGTCTTTTACTTTTATAATGACATACTCTAAATTGCCTTTGCAACCACAAGTTTAGCCCTCTAATACATAAAGAATTTGGGCTGAAAATAACCACTGAATGTTAAAATGTCGATTTTGCTCATATCCCTCTCTTCCAAGAATATTTTCCTCATCTGACTTCTCAGGCCATTGGATGTCTACGTGCTAACTCCTCTACAAACTGCAGGTGGCCAGACATGGGCCTCTTCTCTACTCACCCTCACACTAGGTCACAGGATCAGTGTGGTCCTTTCACACTACCTTACCCCTCCTTTGACCACTACACAATCACAGATTCAACTGCCCACCTCACATTTACACGTGAATGGACAACAGGCACCTCACACCCAACCCTGATCACCCAACTTAAATTAGGTAGACACACACACGCACACTTCAAAAACTTAGAGGAAAAGAAAAGCAGAATTAAAAGGTATTTATTCTTAGGCCTGGCACGGTGGCGCAGTGGTTAAGGTCCTCGCCTTGCATGCCCGGGATCCCATATGGGCACCAGTTTTAATCCCGGCAGCCCTGCTTCCCTTCCAGCTCCCTGCCTGTGGCCCAGGAAAGCAGCCGAGGACGGCCCAAAGCCTTGGGACCCTGCACCCGCCTGGGAGACCTGGAAGAGGCTCCTGGCTTCGGATCGGCATAGTATCCGCCCGTTGCGCTCACTTGGGGAGTAAATCATCGGACAGAAGATCTTCCTCTCTGTCTCTCCTCTCTGTGTATCCGCCTATCCAATAAAAATAAATCTTTAAAACAAAAAAGGTATTTATTCTGGTATAAAATTTATCTACGCATGTTTGTAATATGCATTTTCCATGGACTTCATGAAAACTCTTTATCCATAGATTTCAAAACAATTCTGCACCAAAATAAACTTGTTCCCACGTGCTGTCCCCACTCTTTTTGAAAGGTGCTTGAATAAAGATGCAGACTTGGACATGCACTAGACCCACCTTTGCAAAATTGATTGAGATCCCGGGCACATCTGCCAGTTCTCCATTTATCATTGACTTCTGCGCTACGATGACTCCAAAGGTAGGCAAGCAGGAGAAATCAGAACTTCCTTCGTAAATAAATTTGAAATCCTTTGGGTCCTTGACCGATGCTCCCACTCCAAGAGCATACATGATGGTCTCCAGTTTTGAGTAGGTAGCGGAGAAGGAAGGGAACTTGTGGCCGACAGCTCCAGCCTGCAGGGCAGTTGTGAGAGAAACACAGGGAGAGGGGCTTCACTGATAGTTTTGTCAAATCTTTCACATTTTACATTTACACAAACTTTTCAACTAGGCATAACTACTTTTATGCCTAGTTTTGCCTTTGAGAGGGTATGAACAGGATGAGCATGCATCTTTTATTTATTTAATGTTTAAACAGAAGTCAACCACGTAACGTACGCAAGAGTCCTGCTTAACAGACAGTGTGCGTCATTTTCCGTGTTCCTATCTCTGATGAGGGCAGCTCTGCAGAATTCAGCACCTATCCACCAGCCCAAACTCCAACCAAATAAATGTGTTCTCGGATGTGCAAAACACTGCTGAATGCCTATCAATGTTTTCAGATAACTTGACAATCCAGCTGAAGTTCCTCCCAATGAATGACCTTTGTCTAACCAGATCTTGCACTTGCGCATTGGTGACGAGACACCTTGCTAATGTGTTCAACATGTATTAAATGAACAACATCCAGCTTTCCAATCACGTTTTATCCTAAACCACGAGTCCAATACCAGGGCGAGGGGCACTTTTACATTTTCCAAGGGAAGGTTAAGAACACAAATCAAGAATAAGAAGTGGCGGAAGGAGCCCAAGAAACCTCACCACTAACTGTGTGGTCCCTTAGCAGCATGTCTGCTGACCCCTGCTCCAGAGTCAAGTCATGCATACACTGACCACATTCTCGGTCTTAAAATCACATTTCCTAGTCCTCTTGCCCCCTAGGCCTGCCCCAAGTCACAACACACCAGCCTCCAACACTACCAAGGACTTGTTTCTTGCCATTTTCTCACAATTTTCTTTAAGATAGACTATGTATGGAAGACAGTAAATAGACAAATTTCATAAGAGCTATAGCCACAATTTAATTAGCATTTCTGACATAATGGAAGCTTTTCACTTGTACTCATGCTGAAACATTCCCCAAAAAAGCAATTCTGTTGAAGCTTTCCCTCAGAATAAATGGAGGGGACACTAAAATATCTTTTCCTACAACGTTAGAAAAACAGTGACTAGAGTAGGATTATCAATGAGAGTCAAAGAAAAAAATGACATATGTAAAGACAAGGAAGCTGTCTACCTTTAATATTTTTAGTTTATATTCCTCGTGTTTTAAAAACTTTAGTCACTCATTTGATACACTAATAGCTTAAAAGGAGTAATTCTTTGCATGCAAAAAAAGCAGCTTCAAAGCTGTGGAGATCCCAGTGTTGTTCTGGCAAAGGGCACCCTCAGTACAGACGCATGAAGTCTTGTGCAACAGGTGGTGGTGGGGGGAATACAGCGGGCAGCGGAGTGTCACCTCCATGAGCCACACCGTCCCCCAGCCCACACCAGGAACGCCAAGTCAGACATAGTCAGATACAGCTGGCCTCGCACAGCTACCACAGAAACTCCTGGGCAGAATGACTGCTTGGAGAGGGAGCCGGCGGGCAGGCAGAGAGGATCAGCTCTGAGTTTAGTCTCAAGTCCTTTTTGTTAACAGTTTAGTAGCCAACATTTTTCTCCTCTATCCACGAATTATTTTCAAATAGCAATGGAGGGGGAAAAAAAGAAAGAGAGAGGGGTTAAACTAATAAGCCAACTAATTTTTGATTCATCACATCCCCAAAAGGAGACTGACGCACAAGTAAATTGTTCCCTCTGAGAAGCTCACAGTGAGATTCCAGAATCTGTCTACAGCTCCCTTAAAGTGGGAGGGAAGAACTCAGAGTTGCTCTCCACCTTCCTGCTCCTTCTCAAACACTAGGAACAGCCTTGGAAACTGCCCCCACTTTTCCTGATTCTCCTTCTAAGGAAAAGAAAAGCATGGCACAGCATAGAGAAATCCAAGAGTGTCAGAAGGAGAAAATCCTGCCCGAGTCCAACGGCTGTGGCTCAGCCATCCGAGTTCCCTGCCATACAGGCTCTGTCACTGCTGTGGAAACCCACGAGCTCCGTGGCCTGTGGCACTGCTTGCCCCACCTCCAGTCTGAAAGAGAGTGGTTGTGCTGCAGAGGAGGGGGTGGGAGAGCAGACACGGGGAACAGAGAGAGGGTGGGGGGAAGAGAAGAAGTCTCCACCAAAGGAGAAGCTTCCGCTGGTTTCCAACTTACAAATCCTGCCGTGGCTGCAGACGCCGCCTGACTGGTATGGTTTGCTGACACGCCTCCTTCAGAATCAACTTTACTCAGAACTTCAATTATAGAGCCAGTGGAATCTAAAATTAAGAGAAATAAAAAACCATTTAAAAGTAAAGCTTTGTTAAAGAAGTGACTCAGAATAAACTACCATCAATGGACAATTTCTCTTTCATCAGGCTTGTACAGTAATCTCCATCATCACTGTGAACCCAGTGTACATCAGGCAGCTGCAGAAAAAACGGGAAGATTTTCAAACAGACCCAGGAGAGCCAGACATCATCAATGGACCACAAGGCCTTGCCTAGCATACCACTCATGCCCTGGCGATCTGATGCTCAGGGCTGTGAGCATGCCAACGTCCTGGTACTACCTGGTAACTCGGTGAAGTGGGCTGCTGCCTACAGATGCGCAGCTCTGTCTGGCAGGCAGCAATTTCCCTTCCCCCCACATCCCAGGAACTCCCTGGTTCGGCACAAGGGCAGCTAAGGCGACAGTCCCAAGAGCTCTGCCAGAAGGGAGAGAGGCCACCAGCCCAACCACTGACTCCTGACTGGGATCGAGAGCTGTCGTTCTAGGGCAACTGCAGGAGGTTCACAGCACAGCCCCACATGCCAGAAGAGTCTCAAAGCGCCAGGACCTAACTACCTCAGAGATGGGGGCTTCCTGCCACACGCCAAGGTTCCACAAAAACCGTAGCCAGGCTACACAGTCCACAAGGACCAGGGACATCTCCTGGGGACACCGAGGGAGGCCTGGTGCACCCTGCTCAGTCTCTCAAGGAGATGCACTATGGCCAGGCAGGCACACTCCAGGGTCGCAGAGAGCCCAGGTGTCTGTGGGAAGTAGTCCTGCCAGCTGAGAAATGAAGACATTAGAATAAATACTCAGGAAACTCAACTCAGAAAAGGCCATCTTTGTTTTTACTGTACTTTAAATATCATAGTACCTTTTCACTAACATTTAAATGACTCAGACATGTTTTTTAAAGTAGTGATCTAATATTTTGGGAAACACGGAGACTTTTACTCATTTTTGTTAATAGGTGGTTGTTATAGACTCAGTTTAACTCATATCAAAATTTAGAAAAACGCTACCATTTGTGACATGACAGTGTACTAACAGAAGAGAGTATCAAAGAAGAAAGCAGAATAGTCATTTCTCAGATGTAGTATACCAAATTTTGAAAATAAAAAAAGGGAAAACGTTTTGTTTTCCTGTAAAATGTTTGCCTCACAATCTTTCAGAATAGATCACTAACTGGTGTATACTGCACACTCGTGTAAGTTATACCAGAAAACGGTGCGGCTTTGACTCGGTTATCTACTCCTGGAGCACTAGCACTGGTGATCTAATGATTCAAGTTAACAAGCACCAGTCCTGTGTGTGTTCAACATGACCCTAACATGAAATACAAAGTTACAGCAGATACTCTGCCCCAAAGGAACTGATGCGTTGGGAAGACAAAAGCAGGGAGTAGCAGCTACAATTACACAGTCAAGTGTCCCAGAACATCAGGGCATGGGGCAAAGACACACCAAGATTCAGCTGAGCTGATAAGAAGGGGGCAGCCAAGACAAACTCAGGCTTTGTACTAACGACAAAGTGCTTACAACAGAGCCACATCTAGTCAGTGAACAGAAAGCAGTCCTGCCTAAATGAAACACTCAAGTTTACCACCAGGGAAATACTGACAACTTGGGTGAGACTTGGAGCAAATAGCCAGAAAACACAATACTCTAAAACCAATCTAGTACAAATATTTCTCTCACCCACACATGAACCACACAGAAAAAAAAACCCGAAATCCTCACATAAGGAATAGCATCAATGCATGGACAGTAAAGAGATGGGACTCCCATTGGAGCACAGAGCCCACCACGGAGGAGGAGGTGTCCACTGCCCCTAGGAATGGCCCAGGGATTCCATCAGAGGAGACGGGCTGCCTGGCTGTTGGCCCACTCACCTTGGATTCTCAGTGGCTTGCTGGCGTTGTGGAAGTCGCAGATCTTGTCCCAGTTGGCCTTGACCGCCTCGGGGGTCATGGGCTGGTTCTTCTTCCTCACGATGGCTCCCAGGCTGCGCTCCCAGCGAACTGGTGGCAAAAATCAAAACAGGACACTGAGCCCCTCACCAGGAAGCAGACAGAGATGCCCACGAGGCTTCTCACCCCCTTCTTTTTGTTTATTTCAACAAGAAGGAAACTGAGGGAATTTCCTGGCTTCTAAAGAGTTTTACTACAAGTCATGACATGTATTTTCCTAACAACCCATTAGGATAACGTCAATTAAAGTAGTAATATTTGAAGCTGAAGGGAAATTTTTTCTGTGGACCGTGTCAGAGACACTACATAAGGCATAATGTTAAGTGGGATTTACGAAAAAGAAAATGACATAATCTTCACCCTGTGAGCAGATCGCTCGGAGACACCATTCCCACTGGCATCCCCTAAGAGCCCTGCTTCAAGTGGCAGCTGCTCTGCCCCAGCCTCCTCCTCCCGCGCCTGCAGAAGCAGGAGACCACAGCTCAAGTGCTTGGGGCCCTGTGACCCCGTGAGAGACCCGGGTGGAGTTGCAGGCTCCTGGATCCGCCTGGTCCCACCCTGGCCATTGAGGCCAGCTGAGGGGTAAACTTTGCCTTCCAAATCAGTAAAAAAAGTAATCTTAAAAAAAAAAAAAAGCTCCAGTTAACAAAAATTCAGTTCTCAATCAGAATAATTCACCAAGAATAATTTTCTCTTTGCTCTCCCTCCACTCACCTAGGAAGTCAACTGGCACACAGGCTCACAGCATGAGGACTGTGGTGCAAGTGCGACAAGAACAGTCAGCATCATGTTCCTTTTACAGCTTCAAAGAACAATGACTTAAGCATAACACTCAGGTTTTGCTGACATTTAAAATAAAGGCTGTGTCTGAATGACCGAAACAGCCGCTTTCACAGTGAGCCCAGGGACGATGCAGGGTGGACACAGCCCTTGACCTTCCCATCTGACATGGAAGGCGAAAGACACCAAAAACACGTGCACAACAGGAGCCCCTCCAGCCACTGGGTACAACAGCCAATAACACTGAAAATACTGCCACTCCACTGTGCAAACATGGCCTCCGGTGACAGCAACTTTTTAAATAATTCAATTAATTGTGTCATTAATTTACACAGTTGCAGCTAACTGAAATAAATTGAAACACTGAAACTTTCACAGGTTTTTGTTTGCTGGTTGGTTGGTTTCTTAGTATCAAAAATCCATCATCAGGCTGGCAGCTCACATTTGAAAGACGGGTAGGAAAGGACTAAGAAGTGAGTTTACTGTCGGGCTAACAGACCCACACCCCACATTTCTGCCCCAGCAGGCCGAGCGATGCGATTTCTCCCGACATCTCATGCGCCAAGGAAGAAAAGTGCACGAGAGGACCAGAGACCGTGCTTGTCGCACCATCTAGTCCTGGCTCTTGCCTCCAATTCCCAGCTACTCTCTCGGGCACTCACTGCTCTGCTCAAGCACAAGGACAAACACATGATTCTAGGGCAGCCGGGGACTGTGCCGTCTGACAGAGCAAGCCCTCAGTAAGGAGCACCCACAGCTCTGGAGCAGAGCCGAGCTCCACAAATGCAGGACAAAGCCCTCCAGCCCCACCGCAGAGGGCCTGCTGCACCCAACACGCGTGCGCCGGAGCCAATGAGGGCCCTGGCAAGACCCCAGGCCAGCTCCACCAGAAGCAAAGCAAAACCAGCTAGTGACTTACGCTTCCCAATCCATCCTGCTCCGACCTATGAAAACGAGGGGAACAAACAGTCCATAATCAATCTGAAAGCACTTAAACATTTTACTAGAATATGACAATATTAGAGGGCAATGAATGAAAAGTATACAGTTCTACCCAAGTTCACTGGCCTCCGTGACTCTGCACTAATTGTCTATTAATAAAATGCATACTTAAAAAAACATTGTATAAAACACACAAGCTATTATAAGGAAAATATAAAATATAAACAGTAGTTCTCTCTGGAGAGAGACAGCGTGGGTGATTCTATTTTGTATTTACAATCCTATGTATTTAGAATTTTCACAAGGAACATATGTTATTTTTGTTCACAGAATAATATAGTTATAAAAGATTAACAGTGTAAAAAAAAAAAACCTGACCTCTGGATGGGTTGATATTAAATTTCCCTAATCTGTAAAATTACAATTTTGAACTTCCTTCCATTTCCAATATTCCACAATTCATTTTGACCAAGTTTTATCAAAAACGAATAGGTAACTCTGCTTACCACATGGAAAGACTTTCTTTAGCTCACTAATCAGCTCTTTATTTAAACCAAACAGGCTAAGTGGCATTTGCTTCAAACCAAGCCACATTCATTTGCTCTCAAGTAGTATTTTGTATGTCAGTATTTGTGTATAAGATTCACTACTGTAACAGAGTCAGACATGAGGGAAGATTCTGATAGTTAACAGCTCAAGCTAGAAAAGATCAAACCCAAAATGTGTGTGTGTGTGTGTGTGTGTGTGTGTGTGTGTGTAAGTTGTGCCTCCTGAGCCATCCCACCCAGGGTGAATTCCGACAGTACTCAGACTCAACGCTGTGGGGGAGAGGAGGTTGCTGCTACGAGGCCACACACCCAAAGAAAACAAAGCTTGGGAGGGTTAATGTACTGACTGCCCCGGCAAGCCAGCAGGCACCAGAGTAAAATCCACAGTGAGGCCCGGAGGACTAAAGCCCACGCTGCTTCCTTCCTCTTTAGCCTTCACTTACCAAGTGGGACTTTACAACGCCCCAAAGAAAATGCAACTGAAAGACAAGTTTATTTGGGGGCAGACAGTGTTGGAAAGCTATGTGTAGTTAGCGGTAACACACATTTTCCATTAATGTTTTGACTTTTTATATGACTGGTCACATCTAACCAGCCATAATTTCATCTGATCCGCATATTAATATAGAAAACTAAGTGAAAGTGGAACACCACAAGTTGCTGCTTCCTCTTCCGAAAGGGCACAGGTTAACACTGCTTAACAACATACACACAACATCAAAATAAGTCCTGCCCACTGGTGCATTTATTACTTCAAACGCAAGTGACTGGAGAATGCCAACGTCAAAACCAATCTTTGTATTTAATTAAGCAAACAGTGCTTCATTAGAAAACAGGAAGTCACAGAGTACCTCAAACAAGCTACCGTTCTCTTCACAAGTCTCGTGGCAAAGCCAAAGAACCAGGGGTGCCACGTACTCTGGCTTCAGGGCTTCCATAAGATCTGAAACAAAAGCAACACACAACAAAGGGGCTTACAAACAACAATACACACAAACTCAATCACACTGTGCATTCTACAAATTTTTACATAGGTACTTCAAATTTTTCAATTTAAGAATAAAATTACACACTTAGAACTAATATTCAAGGCATGGAAAAATATCTTCATCCCAAGAGAGAAACCCTGAAGTCCCCAGGCTTCTACAACTGGAGGCATCACAGATGGGCACTGCAGTCGAGTGGGTTACATTGCCAGCACCCCACAGAAGTGCTGGTTCCAGTCCCAGCTATTACACTTCTGGTCCAGCTTCCTGCCAATGCACTGGAAAAGCAGCAGAAGACGGCTCAAGTTCTAGGGCCACTTCCCATGTGGGAGACAAAGAAGCAATTCCTGGCTCCTGGAACCTGGCTCCTGGCTCCAGGCTCCTGGTTCTGGCCTGGCACACACTTGGTTGCTGCTGCTACTTGGAAAGTAAACTCTTCCCTCTGTCTCTCTCATTCAGCCTAAATAATTAAATAACATTGTAGGTATGAAACATGTTTTGCCAAGTTAGGTAGCATTATTAAGGAGAAGACGACTGGTGAGCAGAATACAGACAAGGACCATGCTAGCACTCATTTCCAGTGCTGTTTACCCTCCCAGCTACATAACAACACCAGAAAAACGACAAAGCAGCCTTGACAATCACGATGGCAAATAAGGACTGAGACGGACCTTGCAACTACCACTGATGAGGACGGGTAAGAACAAGCGTAAGAACTAATTCCCCACTGCATACTTGCTGTGCAACATAAGCAATGTGAAGACGCGGCTTTAGCGCTGGCCCTTCTAGAGGCAACACAGGGACTTGGGACACCCCTCTGCCTGTATCTGTCCCACCAATATTTCCAAGTGAGACACAATGATAGCTTACAACACCTTACACACCTTAAAATCTTACCAACAGGATCAAGCAAATGCAAAAAATTTAATTGTGAAATGACAAAATATAATTTTACATTATGATACTAAAGTAACAAGAATGTATTTTGGTGCCAGTAAACAAAAGAGCAGCTTCAAGAACTTTATAAGTTCTATAAGCTCCCAACACCCAAGCAATCCAGTAGTACACTGTTCCTTCTCCATTAAAAACCCGAGGAAAACAAAAGGTAAACTCCATAATAAAACAAATCTTTAAACCTATAAACCATTCACTTCATATATTAACATTCTTCTAATGTTGGCAAAAATGGGTGCCAAAGAATATTTAATGTTCAAATATTTGGGTTGACTAATTCCATACAGAATGTGAAACGAATACATCTACACAAGCCACCTGAGCATCTGTTTTCTCTGGTAAGAATAAAGAATAAAAGTCACATAAAACTACTTTATACATTATCAAAAATTTTATAAGGAAATGTTTTTGCTTTCTAGTTCATTCCCTAATTCCTCGGTTAGCCAGCATCTATTTTTTTTAAAAGATTTGTTTATTTTGATTGCAAAGTCAGATATACAGAGAGGAGGAGAAACAGAGAGCAAGATCTTCCGTCCAACGATTCACTTCAAGTGGTGACAACAGCCGGTGCTGCGCTGATCCAAAGCCAGGAGTCAAGAGCTTCCTCCAGCTCTCCCATGTGGGTGTAGGGTCCCAAAGCTTTGGGCCATCCCCGACTGCTTTCCCAGGCCACAGGCAGAGAGCTGGATGGGAAGTGGAGTTGCCAGCATTACAACCAGCAGCCATATGGGATTCTGGGCTCTTTCAAGGTGAGAACTTTAGCCGCTAAGCCATACCGCTGGACCTACCAGCATCTATTAAAAAGCAGTTTTATGAACAAACAAAAAGGCTCGAGAGGATAAACCAAATGTCTGAGCAGTCCAATAGCTAGTAGAATGTCAAATTTGTAAAGCAAACACAGAGTATACCAAATCCTGGTACTAAAGGAATTATTAAAAGACACGCTATAGAGAATCAAGATGGCAGAATAGAGTAAGGACACGTTTAAACGGAGAAACATAAGAATGAAGCAGAGAGGGCACATTCCAGGAAATAGGAAAGGATAGAACTACAGCAGAGGGGTACCTGGAGACTGACAGACACAGGAAAGCAGCGGGCACAGCAGTGTGGTGTTGCAGTGACTGATACTCCAGCACGGCGATCTGAACTCCACCAGCCACCAGGTGGGAAGGGACTTTCACTAGGAGTATGGGAGGTGAACCCAGACAAAGAACTGTCCGTCCTGCTGGTCCATTTGATTTGACCAGGAGCAGAGACAGAGCATCAGATCCCAGGCGGGCAGTGCGAGAACAGGGTGGATTTCACAGCCTAGTCAGCCCCCTACAGCCGATTTGGGTGCCATTCTGCATAAGGATGCAAAGGCAAGGGAAAGCACTGAGCACACGCTGAGCTGGGAATGAGCTCATTTCTGACTCAGTGAACTGTGTCTGCATGGCATTCTACAGGTTCCACTCAAGACAGGTCTGGGTAGCCCTCAGATCTGACGGCCAGCAGATCAAGAACGAAAGTAGTGATACATCAGGCACCATTTTGTACACTGTGGCAAAAGCTTTAGGACTGCAGGAGACAACAGTGAACTGCGCTTGTGCTGAGCTCACGAGAACTCACTGAGTTCCATGGATTGCACTGGTCCCGCAGGAAAATAATACCCACTGTGGCATCGTACAAGTCAAAATAGGTCCGTGTGGCACCCAGACCTAACATCCAACAGGTTCCGACAAGATCAGCGCCACCAACAACCTAGCTATATAGGACACCTGGTGTCTCCCTAATCCTGGGACCTGCTCCAACCAAAAGTGGGAGAAAGGTTGTACAGACAGCAGTGTAGCCTCAGCACGGAATCACAGGGGTTGGAGATTGGTGAGCCAGGAGTTGGGGCTATGGAGTTCTTCGTGGAAATCTAATGTAAGAACCCAGACCTGGAACTCGCTGGAGGGAGTGGCACAGTAGCTGCAAGCAAAGAGTTGTGTACCAACTGCAATCAGTAAAATCAACTGTAGACCTGCGGGTGACGCAGCTTAGAAACCTGCCCCAGGGAGAAGACTCTGCTAACCAGAAGTGCAATGACCAAGAGCAAAAGACACAAAAGCACAATGAACATTACTGAGCACTCCCCTGCAAAGGAGCAAAACCCTATGCCAACCTCAGAGTTAACTGAGGAAGACATCAAGAAAATGGGAGACACAGAATCCATAAGACTCATTTTAAAGCTTCTGATCAACAATGAGAAGCACAAACAAGAGTTCAAAGAATTTAAGGAATATTTTACACAAACAATAGCAGCAATAAAGCAAATCAAGGCTGATATGTCAGAAATTAAGAACACAGTACAGCAAATTAAAAGTGCAGTGGAAAGTCTCCAAAATAGAATGAAGCAAGCAGAAGAAAGAATCTCGGAATTGGAAGTTATTTCCTGTCACCAGGGGGAAGCAAACAAAAAGCTGGAAGCAGAGTTGGATCAGGCCAAAATAAGTATTCAAGAATTGAAAGACACTATCAAGAGACCAAATGTAAGAGTTATGGGAGTCCCAGAAGTTGCAGAAAGAGAAACTGGTTTTACAAATATATTTAATGAAATAAAGGAAAATTTCCCTAATCTAGAGAAAGAATTGGGAAACAAGATCCAGGAGGGAGACAGAACTCCCAATAGACTTGATCAAAAGCGATCTTCACCAAGACACATGATCACCAAGCTCTCTTCAATTGAACATAAGGAAAAGATCCTTAAATGTGCACGTGAAAAAAAATAATTGACATATAAAAGAATACCAATTAAACTCACAGGAGATCTCTCACAGGAAACTCTACAGGCAAGAAGAGAATGGAGTGACATATTCCAGATCCTAAAACAAAAAAATTGTCGGCCTAGGATAACATATCCAGCAAAGCTTTCTTTTGTCTTTGAAAATGAAATAAAATTCTTCCACAGTAAAGAAAAGTTAAAAAAAAATTGCCTCTTCCAAACCTACCCTACAAATGATACTTCAAGATGTTCTCTTGACAGAGAAGAGGAATAGCACCAACCAAAACCAAAGGCAAAGGTGAAGAACATCCCAGTAAAATGACAACAGAAGACTAAACCAATAAACAACCCATTCCTAAAATTACAGAGCCAAAGTACCACCCATACATATTAACTCTGAATGTAAATGGGTTAAGCTCAATCAAATGTCATAGATTAGCAGACTGGATTAAAAAAAACAAAACCCATCTATTTGTTGTCTAGAAGAGACATATTTCATCAACAAAAATCAGCATTTGTTTTGATGCTTTGTTAGTTAATGCAGATTGAAGAAGAAAAAGCCACAAGCTTGGGGAAAAATACTTGCAAAATAAGCAACTAACATAGCACTGGTTCGTGAAATTTCAGAAAACAAACAAAAAACCAAAAACCTCTTGCAACTCAAGAAAACAAATGGGCCTGGTGCAACAGCCCAGTGACTGAATCTTTGCCTAGCACATGCTGGGATCCCTTGTGGGTGCTGGTTCATGTCTCAGCTGCTCCACTTCCCATCCAGCTCCCTGCTTGTGGCCTGGGAAAGCAGTCGAGGACGGCCCAAAGCCTTGGGACCCTACACCTGTGTGGGAGACCTGGAAGAAGCTTCTGGCTCCTGGCTTCAGATTGGTTTAAATGTGGCTAATGTGGCCACTCAGTGAATGGAATATCCCTCTCTTGGTCTCTCCTCTTCCCATAACAGGGAAAACCAGGCTGACACCATGGTGTAGTATGGTAAGCTTCCACCTGCAGTGCTGACATCCTTACAAACACCAGGTTCAGATCTTGGCTGTTCCATTTCCGATCCTGTGGCCAAGTGGGCAGAAGCACTTGCTCTCTTTCTCAATCTTTCTCTCGCTCGCTCGCTCACTCTCACTCTGTATGAGAGTGTGTGTGTGTGTGTGTGTGTGTGTGTGTATACGCACGTGTGTCCTCTCTAACCCTAACCGAGCGAGGGTGGGGCTGTATGGGAACTTTGCATTTTCTGCACGATTTTTCTGTTAACCTACTCTACTAAATCTATTTATAAAATAATTATTCTAAACAATAACAATGTAGATATGGATAGAGGAAGAAAACAGAACTTCATCGTGGTGGGTCTGTTTTTCAACTGTGCCGCAACGAACACAAACTCCACACACTATTCCTCAGAAATGACGTACCCTCGCAGCCGTCACCTCCCACAGCCACGGCTAACAGCGTGCTTACCCTCAGGCATGACCGTCTGCGTCATCCGCGATCCAGCACTCGGGGCTATGGTGTTACAATGAATGTTGCTTTTCTTGCCTTCCAGTGAAAGGGTATTGGCCAGGCCCAGAATGCCCAGCTTTGCAGCACTGTAGTTTGCTTGGCCGAAGTTGCCGTATATTCCTGAGGCAGATGAAGTCATGATGATCCTAAAATGAAAATCAGTCTTTCAACATCAGCTTTTCTTTGGACATTGTTGCAACCCTTACCCTATTCTGGTAGCACTGACCCTCAAGGGTAACTCCATACCGATCCTCAGCCCCTTACAGTCATGGTTAAGATACAAGCAATCCCTCCACGGGGCAGTGTTGTGGCACAGACCCTTAAGTTGCCACCTGCAGAGCAGCCATACCACATAGGCACTACTTTTAGTCCCAGCTGCTCCACTGCTCCACTTCCCATTCAGCTCTGTTGCTGTTCCTGGGAAAATAACAAGATAGCCAAAGTACCTGGGCCCCTGTACGCATGTGGGATACCCAGAAACAAAACAAAACAAAAGAACCTCCTGACTCTCGGCTTCAGCCTGGCCCAGCCTGGCGACTGGCCTATGGGGAGTAAACCAGAAGCAGTCCTAACTCTCCCTCTTAGATTAATATATCTTTAAAAAAAAAAAGTAAACTGTGTCCAAATTCAGCTAAAATAGTCAACTGTTTTGAAAAGAAATCTTGATCAAAACTAAATGAATTTAAATATAATAAGGCATACCCACTATCTATCAAAAAACAGCAATACTTAAACACCACGTAACTTAAAAGGTTGTCATGAAATGTGAGAGCAGGCTTGTCTAACTCTCACTCATTCTTCCCCCGTCCCTTCTGGGCAATGAAGAGGAGCTCATTAGAACAATGCTAGCTCACAGTTGGCCCCAACCTCACTCAACCCAGACCACTGAAAAGAAATCACAAACTGTCAGGATGAAGATAAACTCAAGTCTCCAGTACAAAGCTGCCCCACAAACAACGCTGTGCTGGAGAGCGTGTGGACACTCGTTCCAGGACTGACGACACAGCACGCACAGTACTAACACCGCCAATTCCGAGTTCCCCACTGAAGAGCAGCCACAACAAGTCCTGTATTTCCATAGCTGCTGCTGATACTAACTTATGCCCAACCATTACCAACTAGCAGCAAATAGCCACTCCCAATTGGTCGCTAGATACACAAAATGACTGCTACAGAACAATACAAGGCTTAATCATCAATGGTTGTTCTACTTTCTAAATGCCAGAGAACACCAGGAAATTGTTAATAATCAATTGGTGGACATGAAAAATTATATAAGGCTGTTCAGTGCATCTGACTAAGTGACACCAACTGAATACACGTGTTCTAAAACTGCATTTTAAAAGCCTGCAGGCCTCTGAGGATTCCCTCAGCTCAATCCTCCCAGCACTCCGTATAATCCCACCCGCACACACATCCTCAACCCCACCTTCCATAGCGCTGTTTCTTCATGTGTTCCCATGCAGCCCGAGTCACTTGAAAGGAACCCCGCAGGTGCACTCTGTGGATTATATCTGACGGAAGAAACAATCTTTAGTGCACATCTTGTCAACATCAGCAATGGCTTACTATACAAACATGCTCATTTTATACCCAGCACTCAGTATCACCATTTCAGTCACCGATTTTGTTTCTGCTTCAATTATGTGTTACCTGTCAACAGCTCATACCTACACCTAACAACTTTTTCCCTTTAAATTATAAGATTATTTCAATCCCTGCATATATCTAAAGATAACATCATCTTGAATTTATGCTTATTTTATATAAAAATTGGCTAATATAAATATCTGGGCCCAGTGCTAAAAGGGGCTAAATCCTTGCTTTACATGCGCCAGGATCCCACAGGCTGCCAGTTCATATCCTGGCTGCTCCACTTCCCTTCCAGCTCCCTGCTTGTAGCCTGGGAAAGCAGTCGGAGACGCCCAAAGCCTTGGGACCCTGCACCTGTGTGGGAGACCCGGAAGAGGCTCTGGGGCCACTCCCATCATACTGGCTCAGTCCTAGCTGCTATAGCCACTTGGCGAGTGAATCAACAGAGGGAGGATCTTTCTCTCTGTATCTCCTCTCTGTGGATCTGACTTTCCAATAAAAATAAATAAATCTTTAAATAGATATCCAAGAGTTTCATGTACATAATTGGCACTCAAGTCTAACATTTGTTAAAGCATCATTGTAACTTACACAGGTCACTACCAAGAAACAATCATGAAATACCACACCCCCACTTTTACTAAAACTTTTAAAGCAGCCTGGGAGACAGTGAGCTCCTGTTTGGGGGATTTCAAGCACTGAATAGACTAACTAGAGATCATCATTCAGACAGACACTTTTGGATGCAATTTCTTCCTCTAATGGTCAAGGATTGTACCATGGCCGTTTTTAACCACTGTTGCTTCTGTTGCATTCAAGGATTCCGACAAACGTGTTTATGCACTATTAGAAGAACAAAGAATGAAAAGACAAGGAGAACGTGACAGGGTGTCACAAGTGGTGGGCACAGTAGGCCAGAATCAGAGAAGGAAATCCCCTAGCCCCACCACAGCCCCACGATAGTCAACAGGGCTGCCTTTGCTAACACTTTCACCCTTCTCAGCCTTCTTCTCCTCAAACTGTTACAAAGACCGTGGAAACTGGGTGCTCTTCCTTGTTTAATTCTAAGTCAGCAGGAGCCTTTGCTCTTCCAGTGATGCCACTGTCACGGCCACCAGCAGGTGCTATTGGAATGCTGATGGCCAGTGAAGATCAGGACAAAGAACAGCAAAAGAAACAAGAATATCCCAACACTGATTTGCTCATTTTCTACGCTCAACCTTTCCAACGTGGCAAGGGAAGTGGATCCTTTGCTCTTTGGCTAGGTTTTGTGCAATGCTGTTTTTGCATCTCCACCACCTTCACCACCCCACACTCCCGTCCTCAGAGTGCTATGGCAAAGGCTCTGAGGAAGTGGGAGCTTCATAAGGCAGAAACAAACAGAAAGAAGCGATAACCTTTTTAGACACTTTCTGCCAAAGGATTTAACTTTTTCTAAGTTACTGAGGATTTAGAAAAAAAGGGGGTGGCTCCTTCCGACGACTCATTGTTTGCAGTACAGGACTTGTTCCTCATTCAAATCAGCAGCAGAGAAAGCAGGTGACTTTTCCTTAAAAATATCAAACACCACATGCATCCATTTGTTCCACAGAGAGCCAACAGCTTACCCCAGTCTTCATCACTTATCCGAGCAAAGGAACGGTCTCTCAGAATTCTGAAAGATGGAGATGATGTGGGGTCAGAGAGGGAAGGAGGAATAGACCCGTAATAAGTGAACAGAAGTTCAGAAAAGATAAAGAACAACTCACCCGGCATTGTTGACCACAACATCTGCAACAGGAAAATCCACAAATGTAAAAATAAGAAACATTAACCCACATTTGCCTACAACTCACGTTTCCGTGAAAACCAGCCCCTATTCCCCACCGAGCAGTCCGTGTGAGAGGAAAGCAGAGGTGTCAAACAAAACCATACGCCCAGAGCAGGCAGCACGTGGGTCCACACACCACAGTCCTGCCTGCTGCCGACCCCTTCCGCTCTCCTAGCTTTCCCACCTGCATCTCCCAGCACAGCTCTATCAGCTTATTCACAAGATGAGCTGTTACACAACTCTCAGGTTCTGAGGACTGGAAACACAGAAGCCATCCTTTACCTAAACTGAAAATTCATTTGCAAAGGTAAGTGCTTAATACAAGATTTTCCCATTTAATTTCCCTAAAGAAACATTAAACTCAGAAACTAATTCTCTAGCTTGACACACTGGAAACCAATGGCCCAGTACTTGGAGATCACAAAGTACTTCTTTTTTAGGGTTCAGGCAGGATCCTGTGGCTACTTCTGCCTTACAACCTCACGCCGCCATGGGCTCTATCACTCTGCCAAATAATACGAGAACCTGCCGCCGAGGACCTCAACCAAGCCAATTAGGAAACCAAATGTAGTCACCAAAATTCATGTTTTTCAGGCTGTAATTACATGGAGCTACTAGCAAACACCTTCACCTCTAGTCATTCTATTACCCTATGGAAAGACTGTGTGGGACTACACTGCCAAGGTCAAGGGATTCAAGACAGAGATGCCACAATAAATTTGAAACGCTTCCAAAACATTTTTTTTGACTGTACACAGTTCATCTTAATGAACTTGCAAGGTGATGAATCACTTTAATCCAAGTTGTTACAATTAACTAAAAGATTATACAGGGTTTTCTACCGCCAAAGTAACAATTCTGCATTGTAAACAAATTTGAGGCTTAGATTAATTATGTCAAGGGGATTGGCAAATGCTTGTGAGCTTTCAAAGGATTTAAAGTGCACAAAGCAATTAAAGAAAAAAAAGCTCAATATACATATCTACAAAACTGCCACACAAAGTCCTCATGGAATAAGACAGAGTGAGAAAAAATAACATAAAACCAATCTAAAGATCTGATTATCCAGAGGCACTTGTTCATTTCAAATCTATTTTATAGGGAAGGCAGGTGCTCTGCTGGGACCAGAAACGTAAAGAAGCATCACCGATTCTTCCAAAAGCATCCAGCGCCGTCTTGACGAGCTTCTCCCCGTGTTCCACGGAATCTGAGGGCAGAGCAAAAGCTCAGTGAGCACTCAGCAGCCTCCCTCCAACCCCTCCACGCTCTGCGGGTGACAGACGCCAGGGCACTCCGAAAACACGGCAGAAAAACAAAATTAAAAGCTAAGTGTATCATGCTTCCAAAAAATTTAAGATCCAGGCATACTTCTTCTGCAGTTTGCATTTTCCATTTTAGTGTTCATTCAACAGAATTTGCCTCAAAGAAAAATATACTCATATAACTAATCAAAATAGAAATGATATGCTCTTACCCCAAAAAAATTAGATCCCAGAAAATTCTTTAACGTATAATAAAAGAGAAAAAAAGGGAAGATAGAGGGGCAACTGTAATATAGCTGGCCATTCCTCCACCTGCAGAGCCAGTATCCCAAACAGGCACTGGTTTATATCCTGACTGCACCATTTCTGATCCAGCTCCCTGCTAATGAGCTGACAGAGAGTAGACAAAGACCCACGACCATCAAACACTGCACCCACATGGCGAACCTAAAAGATGCTCCTGGCTCCCAGCTTTGGAGCAGTCCAGTTCTGGCCACTGTAGCCATTTGGAGAGATAATAAAATAAATACTTAAAAAATGAAAAGATGGGAAAAAGTACTTGACAAACACTAAGAAAGATAGCATTGTACAATACAACCTTCTGCGCAGATAAAAACGGCTTGTTTCTGCACTAACCATGTCTAACTACCTACATGTGCCTTCAGAATGTGCAGAATGCGGCTGAGTATGACAGACAAACTGAAATGTACATTCACATAACTTACATTTAAGTTTAAATAACTCCAGAATATAAATGAGAATTGTAGAGAGGGAGGCACTCCTTAAAAGGGAAGAAAAACTGTTCAAGGCCAAACAGCTACATGTTGGGGATGGTGGCAAGAAAACTGATATTTGGGCAACACTAATCACAAGAAAATCTAAAGGTTTAACAAAAAGGCGGGATTTGTTGTTCCTGCTGCTCAACTAGGTGAAGGCCCGGGCCACACTGTGCAACAAAGGGCAGTGTTTGCTAGGTGAAGGCCCGGGCCACGCTGTGCGACAAAGGGCAGGGTTTGCTGGTGGAGGGCCCGGGCCACGCTGACTCGCCACTCTGCTGCCAGCCCCTCCTCACCACTGCCTCCCTGCCATTCCCTTTGCTCACAGAGGGCGAGGAGCAGCAACACTGGTCACATCTGCCTATCAGCCACAACGCAGTGAGTAACCTGTATCTGAAATGCTTGGGGATCTTAATTTTAAAAACTGTTTATTTGAAAGTCAGAATGGGAAAGACAGAGGACGAGATCTTCCATCTGCTAGTTCAGTCCCCAAATGGCCCCAAGGGCCAGGAGTGAAGGCAGGTCAAAAGCTGCACACCCTGGAGCTTCATCCGGGTCTCCCACGTGGGTGGCAGGAAACCAATCACTTGGTCTACTGCCACTAATTTTCCCGCACATTAGCAGGGAACTGGATCACAGTACAGCAGCTGGACATGAACTGGCACCCATTGGGAATGCCAAAGTTACAGAAGACAGTTTTACCTGCTAGCCACAATGCCAATCCCAAATGTGTGTGTGTGTGTGTGTGTGTGTGTGTGTGTGTGTGTGTGTGTGTTGCAGTATTTGCATATGCATAATGAGTGACCCTGGACACAGGACCTTCATCTACACACCAAAATCATGTATGTTTCACATACACCTTGCATGGCCTGAAGGCAATGTCACGAAGTATTTTCAGTGTGCCTGTGTTCCAACTATGGACCTCACATGAGGCCCACTTGGGTGCTCAAATGTTTTCACTTTTGGAACATTTCTGGTCTTAGACTTGTAGGTAAGACCATTCGATCTGAACTTACTGGGTGGGGGAAACAGCGGAGCAAGAGACAAGCGCAAATGCGGGCTGCAAGTGCCAGTCCGACAGCGCGGCCGGGAGGTGAGCTGCAGGCACCAGCCCGATAGCGCGGCCGGGAGGTGAGCTGCAGGCGCCAGCCCGACTGGGAGGTGAGCTGCAGGCGCCAGCCCGACAGCGCGGCCGGGAGGTGAGCTGCAGGCGCCAGCCCGACTGGGAGGTGAGCTGCAGGCGCCAGCCCGACAGCGCGGGCGGGGAAGCTCCTGAGAAGCACCTGCCTGGGCCAAGCTCACTGCCAGTTCCCCTGACTTCCACCTATGCAGCCCCTGCACTGGGTCTAGGAGCCTCCAATTCTGCAGAACGAAGCATTTCACACTCGGTAAGCCTCAAGGGTCTCTATTTCCCTGACTAAACCCCCGCTGACAGAGGATAGATATTGGAACTGGAGGAGAGGGCGTGCAGAATGTTCATCGTAATGCATAATTGCTCAACTGGCTAATCTGCCTGCAATCTTCTGCCCTGTGGGTGCCAGTTTGTGTCCTTTCTACTCCAGCCCCCTACTAATGATTTGGGAGAGCAGCAGAGAACGGCCCAAAGCCTTAGGATGTTGCACCACACGGGAGACCTGCAAGAAGCTGCTGGCTCCTGGCTCTAGATCAGCTCAGTTCCAGCCATTTTGGCCACCTGGGGAGTGAACCAATGAATGAAAGATCTTTCTCTTAGTCTCTTCTTCTCTCTGTAAATCTGCCTTTTCAATAAAATAAATATTTTTCTAAAAAATCCCAGGGTTAAAAAAAGCTAAGAACATCTTTCTTAGATCTCCAAGTTAAAAGATACTGAAATGTCTCATTATTTCAAACACTCAATCCACACCCCATTCCTTTCCTCTATGGTTTCTAAATAAAATCAACCAAATCTTATTCCCAGCCCACAAAAAGTCTATTTTGAAAAAGAAAAAATGAAAAAAAGGTAGTAAAGCATTTTAATGTAAAAATGTTCCTTACAAATTCTATCATGATCAACACAGCAAATCGAAAGGTTGCAGGTCATTCTTCCTGTAGCTTTACCGACTGCCTTTGAGCGCCTGCGCACTGATGCAGCATGCTGATGCCTTGCCTGCAACACCCATCGCTCATGTGAGCGCCTGGCTACTCCACCACCAACCCAAGTAGCTGCTCACAGCCTAGGAAAGCAGTGGAGCATGGCTGGACCTCTGCATCCACACGGCAGAAGTGGAAAAGAGTTCCTGGCTGTGGAGCAGCTCAGCTCCGGCCAGTTAGGGAGTGAACCAGCAGATGGCAGAGTCTGTCTCTGCCCCTCTCTTTCTCCATAAAGAGCAGGGACTACTACTGAGCAAAATGGACACTGGGTAACAAAAGAAAATGTTTTACTTCTTATTTAAGACTCAAATGTAATTGCATTAAAATATAAACTCCTTTAAAACAAGCCTTTCAATGAGAATATATTCGTGTCTACGCCAATTAAACAATGTGTTCATTAATTAACATAACAAAACTTACAGTCATCTGAAATAATCTTCACTGAAAGTTCAAAAAATTCTCACAATGTTTTTAAAATATATAACCAAAGATCTCTGGTGGACTTGGGTAAAATCTAATTCCACAAATACAGTGGGTTGCTTAAATATTTGTTCCAAAAATTACTAGTGTGAGCAATTGCATTAATTGAAAGAAAAACAACGCAGTAGGAGTCGTCTCCCAGATACCATACCATAGTTGGGCACTGCTTTTCCGCCTTTCCTTCTGATTTCTTCGACAACTCTGTCAGCAGCTTGGGAGCCTTTGCCAACCCCCTTGAAGTCTCCTCCTAAATCGTTCACTGCAACGCAGAAGTAAGCAAGCAACAATTAGTTCCCGACGCTCAAACCCGAGCTAGACGATCATCCCACTTGGCAGCGTATGTCTTCCATCAGCCTGGTTCCTCCCTGTGCTGTCCCCATCTCTCACATAGAAGGATCCACAGCATTCTCAAAACAGGTCGTTGTTTTTGAATATGAATATCAGTAAACAGCAAAAATATTTAAACACAAGTTCATATCACAGAGCTGTAAACTTGGCAACATTTCTCCTTTTCTGGAAAGAAAAAGAACATTAATCTACCCACTTGTCAGCCAAAAAAAAGATAAAGTGCACAGGAAAATCAGAGATGTTTCTCAAAAAGTCAAATACAAAACTACCAAGCTGTCTACCAACTCCGAGTCTCAGGTTTTATCTGAAAAAAAAGTTCAGAACTGAAACTCTAAGTAACAAAGACATACGAGCACGCCAACGTTCCCGCAGCTCTACACAATGGCCAATGTGTGGACACACTTCAGTGTCCACCACTGGATGGACAGATGCAGGAAATGTAATACACACACGCAATGGGGCACTGTCAACGTTGAAGACAAACTCCTTCAGTGTGTGACCACATGGCCTGAGCCCTGAAACACTGCCAGTGAAAGCCACCTGTGAGCCAAAGGACAAAGATGACGGGACTCCATCACGCGATGTTTCCAGAACAGTCCAACTCAGAATCACAGAGCACAAAGCAGCCTGCCAGGGAATGGGGGACGCTGGAAATGAGCAGCCACTAACCCAGGGGCATAGCATTCAACTCTATACAACAAGCAAGTGCTGGAGATCTGTGGGGCAAACAATGCCCTGAAGACACTTAACTATACACTTAGAAAGTTAGTAAGAGGATAGGTCTCAAATTCAATGTTCTCACCACAACCAAATAGAAGCATACGGAGATTAAAGACGTACTATGAAATATGGTCTCTTGTGTACAGGGACAGGGATTTGAAAAAAAAAAAGCATGAATTTAAATAGGTAGAAATGCACTCTAGGATCTTTTCAAAGGACATATGTATATACTCCACAATGAAATAAATAAGAGCTATTCCTTTAAACGGGCCAGAAACCACGGATCAACCCAGTGTATGTCCTGTCACTAATTTACATCATAATTCCACACTCACAACATAGCATCTCACATCCAATTACAGCTACAAACACGAGCTGCTGATTTACTGTGTGCCAGAGAATATACAGACACACACATGTGCAAACAAGACACTAGCCCTCAGGGAGCTAATCTGGAAGCCACGCGATAACCACGTCACCTGACCCACACAGATCTCGGCGCCACGTGCATACGCAGGACACAATAACAACGACAAGCTTCAAAGCTAACTTACCCAAGAGCATAAAATAACATACAAAAACTAATAAAAAGATGCACTGGTCAAAACCAAGAAATTGAGAAAAAACAGAATTTCAGAAAAAAAAAAAAAACACTTGTGACAAGGAATTTGCACTGTAAGATAGTCATTTTTATAACATGACCGTCACTGATTTTAAAGACTATCAAAGATACTAATTAGTAAGTTCAAAGTCTTTCAATACTGATAAGTATCACAATTTAAAAAAAAAAATCTCTACAGGACAGTCCATTTAAAAAAAAAGAAAGCCTTTCATTTCAGAACAACTTTAAATTTATAAGACAATGGTGGTCCTGGCGTGATAGTGTAGTGGTTAAAGTCCTCGCCTTGCACACACTGGGATCCCATATGGGTGCCAGTTCTAATCCTGGAGGCCCCACTTCCCATCCAGCTCCCTGCTTGTGGCCTGGGAAGGCAGTCAAGGACGGCCCAAAGCCCTGGGACCTGCGCCCGCATGGGAGACCAGTGTGGCAGAGGCCAGCGCCGAGACAAAGCCACCAGCCACCTCAGACTCAAATGTGTTTTCACTTGTCTTTTTGGTTTGAACAGATTTACTTTTTAAAATGTGGCCTAGGATATATTTTCCTTTTTAAAAAAAAAAAAAATGTTTATTTTTTATTGCAAACTCAGATATACAGAGAGAAGGAGAGAGAAAGGAAGATATTCCACCCGATGATTCACTCCCCAAGTGGCTGCAACAGCCAGTGCTAAGCCAATCTGAAGCCAGGAGCCAGGAACTTCTTCCAGGTCTCCCACGCGGATGCAGGGTCCCAAAGCTTTGGGCTGTCCTCGACTATTTTCCCAGGCCACAGGCAGGGAGCTGGATGGGAAGTGGGGCCTCCAGGATTAGAACTGGCGCCCATATGGGACCCAGGCATGCAAGGCGAGGACTTTAGCGACTAGGCCACTGTGCCGGGCCAGGATATATCTTCTTATAATCATATAATATTATGAGTCTTGCTACAAATCCAAAAAATGCTGCAAAGATACAAGGTAACAAAAACAAGCTTAGATTATCCCACAAGACAGGGAAAAAATTCTCAAAAGACTGGATTCCTATAAACTATTATTTCCATAATCCATTTCAAATGATGGGAAATAAAACAGTTTTTAATTGGTATTTTCAGATGTGTAATAGTCTTATGATTCTTTAAGTAAGCACAGAAAAGTTCCAAAGTAAACTGGCAAACACCTTCAAGTAAAGAAATTGTTCACTTGTGCAATGAAACACTACCCCCTTGTGGAAGTCTTATAAAATGCAGCCAAAGGTAAGCAAAGAAGTTTCATGAACAATTGACTCAGACTTAAAATAGAATGCAGTGTGGCACATGCTGGCAAACCAGGGTAGGGGGCGGGCATGGTGGGGGTTATTGCGGGTCACTCCAACTAGGCTGAAGCTCCCACTGGTTTATGTGAGGGCTGAGTATGTGCTGGGCAGAACCAGGCTGGACTGCAACACCCATTGGTTCCAGTGGAAGTCGGGGCCAAAAACAGAACCAACCCAGCAATTGCAACCACCAGCTGATCAGGGAGATGGACTGTGCCGGGCCCTATACTTGCTAGCACATACAAGAACCTGGTTTGAGAACACCTCAGACAAAGTTTCTTTGGAGATCTCCCCAATCAAAATGCCAGACTCAGAACCCTAAACAAGAAAAGACAGAAGACAGAACAAGTCAATCAACCATCTCAGCTATATGTTGGCAGCGAAATACGGGGCAAACAGAGACTCTATGATGGACTATGTCAATCAGTGGATTCTTGAACGACCTCATAGTGCTTGGAGTGGCAAGATTGGCAGTGATTCATAACTGTTGAAATATCAAACCACCTGAGCAAGAACCTCAGAGCATGCCCTACATCCGGGACCTGGGGAGGGTGGGAAATTGGGTGGGCCTTCTCCCTTAATACCCCCCTTTAAACATGAAGGAAACAATATGGAAAAAATAATAGTCTTATCCACTTTCCTGTAGCCCTTGAACCGTTTTACCTTAATTAATGTTGTAAAGATTGTCAAAATATAATTTAAAAAAAAGAGAAAAAAACCGTGAGCAGCTAACAGTGCTTTCAAAGTTCTGTAGCTGATCAGACATTTAAAGAGGCCTCATTCATCCTACATCAGAATTCCCACGTGCTTCCTCCTTGCCTCACATTAAGATGAACTTATTCAATCAAAATACACTCCTCATTAATAAGTGATCATTCTTCCTGTTTTTACCTTAAGCTGCACTTATTCAGTCAATCAAAATGTATTCGTGGTTACTAAGCAAAGCCAGTGTACTTACACTTGCAAAGAACATACCATTTATTACAAGCAGATGAGAGAGGAACTTAAAGCAGCCTTCTCGTTGGGCAGCCGGCTCCATGTAAGGGAGCCAGGGCACCCCTCACTGAACCCCATCTTGGGCTCATAGAGGTGCACCTGCTTTCACATGCAGTGCCCAGGGCACGGTTGGCAACCACTAGGGCTGCTTCTCTCATCGTCCTTTTACAAAAGTCTGTACTGTTTGTCCTCCAACCTCACCAAAGGAGAGGAGAGTTGGTGAACAGGCAGCAGGGCCAGGACCCGACGCAAGGGTGGCACGTCTCCACCATCCCCACCCACCTCTGGGCACACCCACCTCCAGCTGCTTGGCCCAAAGGAACTCACATGAACTGTTCTGGAAGGTGAAATGGCAGTGTTTTAAGAAGCACTAGCATGACTACATGTTGCTGCAACCTACTAACTGCTAACAGATTCTCTGTCATGTGTGACACGTCCTAACCTGCTGAGATGCGGAGAAGCGAGGTCCCATCAAAGCAGAAGGATCACCCAAGCACTGTCTTTCAGTGTCTTGTTACATAAACCAGACAGAAATCTAGATTGGCCTTTAATAATCCTGTTTTCTGCGTAGGTCTTTAGCTCACAAGCAGCTTTTCACGCTCCTCTGTCCGTGCTTCAGCCCCGCCTTACGTAATGAGCCACTCCAGAGAGCACATTCGGTATCCCAACTTTCCCAAGATGGCAGTTCCAAAAACTAAAGCTAGCCTCTGCTTAAAGCCAGGCCGACTGAAGCTGACAACTTTTAGGAGCTTCAAGAGAGTACCTTTTGTTGCGCCATGGACCACTCACTGCCACCCTCACTCCACCATCTAACATTGCTGTAAACTCAAGTCTGAATTGCTCCGCTGCCTGCCCTCACAGACTCTCACACAGGGGTGCCAATTAACCTGAGCTGACTGCCATAGACATCCCCCTGGCTAAAGGCCTCATCCCTGCACCGTGCAAACAGTAACCTCCACTAGTGATTCCCAGCAGATGCTCAGCTGTCCTTCAGAACAACAGGCGACCTGCCTGGAGAGTGAGACGCCTTCCTCTTTCTTCAACAGGGGCAGGGCTGGGTGTGAGCCACAGGATACCAGATTTCACCAAACCGTGGGCATGCGCCTCCCTCCTGCTGGCCCACCTGAGCACAACCTGGAAAGCCCCACTCGGGATCTCTGAGCACCTCTGACACCTGCTGGGGCTCCTCAGCCCCGCCACCCCACAGGGGAGGCCTGATTCCTGCAGTCACCCATCTAGCCAGCCACTTCTCACCTTACCCCTGCCCTCACCCCATGATGTATCCTCCTAGAATTTTCTAGCCACTGACAACCCTGCTAGGCCACAAATACAATCAGAGCTGAGCCTGATCTTTCTCCTCCACTGCAGTGTGGTCCCCAAACCAACCCGTTTCAATGGTTCTAGAACAACGGAACTGAAAACAAAGTCTGCCTAACCATGTTTTAAGACTACCCACGGGGACAGACGTTTGGTCTAATGTTCAGACACTCACATCCCTTATTGGATGTCTGGGTTTGGCCTCCACTCCTGACTCCAGCTTCCTGCTAGTGCACACGCAGGACCCAGAAGGCATGGATGCAGCTGTGGGGTCCCTGCCACTCCAGCAGGCCTGGACTGAGCTCCAGTCCTTGGCTTTGTTCCTTGTCAGCTGCTGCTGCGGACAAGGGGAAATCTCTCTCCTCTCAAACACAGTATTTTTTTTTTAAAGAATCAATGAGTAACACAGATTCACAGGATCAAGAGGGAGACTGGGTGTGTGGAGCAGAAGGCTTTGCTTTCACATCCACAAACCAGAGGCCTCCTCTTTTATATCAGACACGGTCTGAATAAGGTTTCTGCTACTTCCCATGAGGGCAGAGACCCCTGACTTTGAACTCAGCCAAGGAACTGCTCTGGCCAGTGAAATATGTGTGAAAGAAGCCTGCCGCTTCCAAACAGAAGCTTGAAGAGCCACTAGCTAGAGCCCTCATTCTCCCTCGGCCCCTGTGCCGCCATGCTTCAGACAGAGCCCACTCCGGCAGGAAATCGGGAAGGCAGAGCAGACCACAATCTGCAAGGCCACAGCAACAAGGGAGTAACCCTTCTGACCACTGGCCCGTGGGACTCAGAGGACAGTGACAGCCTGGCCTAGCCAGAAGATGAGTCACATGAGAAACATGCTTTAAAAAAAAAAAAAGATGTGTCCCCTTATTGCTAGACAGAACAGTAACAGAGAATGACAGGAAGAGAGAAGAGGAAAGAGAAAGCTCTTCCATCTCTTGGTTCATTCTCCAAATGATCGCAAGAGCCACGAAGGGTAGAGGTGGAGCCTGGAGACAGGAACTCCTTCCGGGTCTCACAGGGATGACAGGAGCTCAGACACCTGGGCATCATCTGCTGCCTTCCCAGGAGCTCCGGCAGGCAGCCACAACTGAAACATGCACTGCAATGTGGGATGCCAGCCTAGAATGCCACACCACAGCGCCAGCGCTCAACTCTCGGCCTTACTTCTTACTGGTCTCTGAGCTGGTCAGAGCGACTGACCCTTCTGTCTTCCAAAAACAACGTATTCTGGGCCCGGCGCGGTGGCGCAAGTGGTTAAAGGTCCTCGCCTAGCACGCCCGGGATCCCATATGGGCGCCGGTTCTGATCCCGGCAGCCCCGCTTCCCTTCCAGCTCCCTGCCTGTGGCCTGGGAAAGCAGTCGAGGATGTCCTAAAGCTTTGGGAACCTGCACCCGCGTGGGAGACCCGGAAGAGGCTCCTGGCTTCGGATTGGCATAGTATCGGCCCGTTGCGCTCACTTGGGGAGTGAATCATCGGACGGAAGATCTTCCTCTCTGTCTCTCCTCTCTGTATATCCGCCTTTCCAATGGAAAAATAATAAAAATAAATCTTAAAAAAAAAAAATATAAAAACAACATATTCTGATGCCATCATTACATCCCAGGTTTTCCTATCCATCTTATTTACTTATTCATTGATTGATTGATCACATGCTAAGGAAAAAAACTACGCTCAGCAGAGCAAAATCACCAGGGAGGAAATGTCAGTTGTCACATGACCCAGGGCACGCATGGGAGAGCCGAAGCACAGCAGTCGGGCAGCAGAAACAGCCTCCGCGGCTTCAAAGTCCACACGCAGGTGAAAAAAATGTAGAAGACATTGACCGCAAACTCTGCAGTTCAACTGAGTGTGAATTCTCCCCTTTGAAACCAAACCAAAGCTGGCTCCTCAGCCAAGTTCAGCAAGCATTTATTATCTATCTTGTTGAACTTTCACCTGGGCTTGCTGCAACACCAGCACTGTGACAACTAGAGAACAGACACCTCAGCGCCCTCTGTGGAGCTGCTTCTTACACTCCAACACTTCTCACCTGACTTGAACAGGTCCCAGCAGGCCCAGAAAACACACACTGCTGAGAAACAACTGATTCTAAAATACAGACATTGCTCAACTGCAGACATACCAGTCCATCCCCACCCTCCCAAAAGACTAAGGCAACAGTCAAGGAACAAACAGGCAAAGTTTCCCCTTGGCACAGGACAATACTTTTAGAAGAGGCAAATGGGCCCGGTGCATCTGCCTGGTAGCTAAAGTCCTTGCCTTGCACACGCAGGGATCCCATGCGGGTGCTAGTTCATGTCCCAGTGGCCCTACTTCCCATCCAGCTCCCTGCTTGTGGCCTGGGAAAGCAACCAAAGACAGCCCAAAGCCTTGGGACCCCACACCTGCATGGGAGACCCGAAAGAACCTCTTGGCTTTGGATCGGCACAGTTCTGGCCACTGCGGCCACTTGAGGAGTGAACCAACGGATGGAAATTCTTCCTCTCGGTCTCTCCTCCTCTGTATATCTGACTTTTAAATGAAAATAAATCTTAAAAAAAAAAAAGCAAATGATGAAGCAAGACTGTTGCACTTACAAAACTGAGTAAAACACATGGGCCAAATGAATATTAAGATGATGATAAAATATTAAGAGCTAAGCAGTTACAAAGAGGGAGAGAAACAGCATGTGTCTTTAGATTCTTGGGAAAGCCTGGCAGAGAGGGCCCCAGCTGCACAGCTGCCCGCCCACCCAACGACCCCGTCAGCATCGTCTTTGCCGAAGGCAGCAGAGGCCGTCATCTGCAAGAAGGATCAGCAGCCTGCATCCCTCGCTCAGGGTAAGCACAAGCCCTCGCCCAGCTTCTCCCCAGGGAACCTGCCTGCTGCTGACTCTCCATAAACAAATGTAGGGAAATTGCCCCCTCGTATTTCCTTGTAAAATGTAGGAAATCTGGGACTGGGAGGGCATCACGAAGCAACAGTTTTTCCCCAGGAAAGACAGTAAGTACTGGATCATGCCCTCTGACCTCCACACACACCCTGCACTTACCACTCCTCAGCAAGCGGCCACACTGCTCCAGCGGCCATCAGCAGCCAAGGACATCAGGCCGGGCCATCCAGAGCCCGGAAACCTCCCAACATTGACACCCTTCAACAGGAAAGCCCCCGAGAGATTACAAACTCACAGCTGCCGCAATTAAAATTTTTTTCATTATTTAAAAAATTCTTTACTTGAAAATTCTTGCTCAAAGAAGTAACAAACCCACACTCTGGATTCCCTGACTTCTACACTTCCAGTTTTCAAAATTCAGTGGTTTCTTACTGGTACCAGTAATTTTACGGGTCTGTCCTTTAATTGCAGACCGACAGATGAGCCTTCTCTCTCATAGGATTACAATCCTCAACAGCACAGTCAAGAACCTTCTTTGTACCATGCATGTTTAGCCCTCTTTATCAATCCAACCTTTGGAGAGGGAGGGGATCTGTTGGCATATGTCACCATTAACTGTGACAAAGTATTTGATTAAAAAAAATACAAAAAACCTAAAACGTGGCTTGTGAAGACTGTAGTTATCAGCTACTGATTAAAAAGAAAAACACCAACTTACCAACTACTGAGGCTCCTCTTTCTGCAAAGGCGAGGGCGTAGGCTCGGCCCAGTCCTAAGCAAAAAGAGACCAGGAGACAGTTCAGTTCAGGCCCATTCAATCCCAACTTTAGGCAGCAGGCAAGCAGTCAGCATTACAAGAGCAGACTCCTCAGCGGTAACCTTCAACCTCTTTCCACAGTCTTCTGCCTGCAGACTTTAAAAAGCTTCAAACTACCTCCCCCACTCCCACCTGCCATTTCCCACAATTCCACCCACCTGCCACGACGCCCCACGTGGGTCAGGTTCTACCAAGACAGGTGGACGTAATTTAAAAGGTGAGTAAGGCAGAAGCCACCTTCCCAGGAGTTCTGGTCATCAGATAAGAAACTGATTTTTTTTTTTTTAAATTTCTAGGTTGTGAAGAAATGGAGGAGAGGTGGTGGTGGCTTGTTGAAGCAGCTCCCCGACCCCGGGTGGCAGCGCCGTTCTCCAGGCCCTGGGGCCTCTGCCCACCTGGACAATGGCAGCCTCAGGTCTAGCGGGTACCATTCTTCGTGGCCTCTAGAACCTGTTCCTGGAGGACCTGTCTAAAACCTAACTGTCTAGTTTAAATCCCTTCCTGTTCACAGTATCAAGTGATTTCTGCACCTGCCATAAAGCTTGTCTATACCTATGTGAGGAAGGGGAAAAAAAAAAAAGAAATTCTAGCTCAAAGTAGTGAGGTATGTTCTTACTCATCAAAATAATAACCCTGTATCTATGTAAGTTTTATACCTATAGACTATCTCAGAAAGAATACATAAGTATTACCACCTCTGGGAAAACAGAACTGTGTGGAGAGAATCAGGGGTAACAAGCACATTCAAAAAAAAAATCTTTACTACTAAGACCCATTACTCACTAGATAAATTGGTAAGCTATATTTAATAAAAATTTATTGGCAAATAAGCGTGCAAGTAAGTGAAAATGTAAAGTAAATATACATAGAGTGTTCCAAAACTAGAAGGTATCATTAATGGTTTTAGAATTTGGTCCCCTCTAAATGGGTACAGCTAGTTGATAAATAGGACGTGTCAAATTCATAATTATGCAGTCGTGACACACTAACTTCTTAAAAACTGTTTTTTCCAACACACTAACATTTTACAAAATCAATTTGGTGGGTGGCAGCTAGTACTCAACTAGATAAAATAACAGAACGCTGAAAACTGGCAGGTGCACTGCGTTGTTGGCCTTGGCCGGGCCATGAGCTTGCTTAGGACACAAGGGCTGGCTAGGGCACACTGCACAGTGACTTCAAACGCCAAGGCCATCGCATGGCCTCTTTCAACAACAAGAAGTAAACCAAACACTGCCCACCCCCTGAAAAAGAAAGATTCAAAATGAATCTAGAAACGGAAGCGGCTACCACGAATCCTAAAAGCATTTGTGGGAAGGCAGCTGGGAACCTCATTTCATCAACGGACACGTGAAAGTGCATTATGAATCAACTGACAGAGGTCTCTATTTGTGACTTTTAACACACGTGCACAAAGTTCCCGCAACTGCATTGAGGTGCAAAAGGCACGACCAGGGAGCAATCCAAGGTGCACCCCAAGATGAAGGTGCTTTGCGGGGAGAGAGGAGTTCAGAGGTTATTGCTGCCAAACAGGGCAAAGACACCGTCAGCTCCACCCATCCCCGGACAGCGTGGACGGGGTCTGACCCGCTTGTTTTGCAAAGTGTGTCCTTCAGCAACGGGGCTGCTTCCCAGGACAGCTCTCCACGGGGCTTCTGGGATGCAGGAGGGTCCGACAGCCTCCCCAGGCGCAGGCAGCCGGGCTCCGCAGCTCCCTCGGCCCGAGCCCTGCACACATCAGCGCCCCGACCTCTGCCAAGCCTCCCGGAGACTTCCAACTCCAGCCAAGGGGGCTCCCCGCACAGTGAGGCCCTCTCAACAACTTCCCAAGTCACACGCATACACACAGGCTTGGGTGGTCAGGGAGCCCTCAAGGCGGTTTTCCGGCTTCTGGAAGAATCGGCCAAGGCCTAAGCAGAGCTGGCTGACGGGACAGGAGGCTACAGGGGTCCGCAGACACGGTGGGGGACGCCTTGGGCCGCCCGGGCTCCCACGCAGGGCCCTCCCCGGTCACCCGCCCCGTCCCCGTCCCGCCCGCTGGACCCACCGCCCTCACGCCGCCGGACACCCACGGCGGGACCCCAGCGGCGGCCGCGCCCCGGCTCACCTCCACCCGCGCCGGTGACCAGGACCACCCGGCCGTCGAACCTCAGCTGCGAAGCCATGAGTCCGGCCCGCAGGGACGCAGCCAGCAGCAGACAGGGGCGACCGGGCTCGGACAGCGAGGGCAGGGGGCGTGGCGGGGGCGGGAGGCCGGGAGGGACCTGCCAGTTTCTGGGGACAGAGCGTCGCCGTCGTTTCCCGAGTGCGCCTGCGCGGGATTCCCTAGGCCTCCTGGGAACTGTAGTCCGATGGACTCCACGCGCTGGGAGAACTGGCCCGAGAGGTTCTTGGTTTGACTGTTGGCTGCAGCTCGAAGCCCGGAGACCTACCGGGAGCTGCGTGGCAAAATGGCCGCGACTGTGTCACCCGTTCAACTATTGTGCTATCCATTTACTCAACAAGCCCTGGCTTAGAGAAATAGAGTGCGGCCTTCCTCCTAGGCGGACGGTCAGATCCTGCCTCTAAGCCAGGAGAGTGACTGAGCGTCTATCAAGATTTCTCAGGGTTCAATCCCTGGATTTAATGCATGCCCTGCCCCCAACCAGGAGCCCTTGGGGGCATTTGGGGGCAGGGGACGAACCAGCAGATGGTACATGGACCCTATCTCTGCTTCTCTCCTCTTTCCTCACTGCTGCCTCATAATTTTGAATTTTAAAAATCTTCCTGAATCAATGTTTTTGATATGAGAGATCATATTTAGCCCTTGTAGGAAAAAAAAAAGTGACTAGTTAATACACGACTGGATGAACCCTGTTAACCCTGCTGCCCACAGTTCCCCACGTATCTGTTACACTTCTCATCAGATGACAAGACTCACCAACTGCCCTTTTATCCCAGATTATCATCCCAATAATGGTTGCACAATAAACAAGATTGCCAATAGAGAGACCTCTTCCCACAGGGCAAAGGTCAGGTTTGCACAATAAATGTAACCTCTTCTACCTGCAGAACAAGGTCCTTTTTAAAAAAAATTATTTACTTTTATTGCAAAGTCAGATATACAGAGAGGAGGAGAGACAGAGAGGAAGACCTTCCATCCAATGATTCACTCCCCAAGTGGCCACAACGGCCAGAGCTGAGCCAATCCGAAACCAGGAGCCTGGAGCCTCTTCTGGGTCTCCCTCGGAGCATTGTCCTTTTTTAAAATAAGATTTTGTTTATTTCCATCTCATTTGAAAGACAGACACAGAGATCTTCCACCTGCTGTTTGCACCCCAGATATTGACAAAGTGAAACTGGCAGTTGGAAACTAACTTGGGTCTCCTAATCAGGTGGCAGGGACTCAGTGCTATAAGCCGTGCTGCCACTTCCTGGAGTGGGCACCAGCAGGAGCCTGGGACAGAGCTGGCACTCAAACCCGGTCACTCTGATACGGAATTCCGTGTCTTTTCTTAAAATAGAGGATATATTTATTTTTACTGGAAAGGCAGAATTACAGAGAGAGGAGAGATGAAGATTTTCCATGCGCTGGTTCACACCCCAAAAGCTGCAGGCATCAGAAATGGACTGGTCTGAAGCCAGGAGACGCTTCTTGAGTCTCTCACCTGTGTGCAGGGGCCCAAGGACTCGGGGCCTCCTCTGCTGCCTGCCCAGGCCACAGGGAGGGAGCTGAACTGGAAGGTGGAGCAGCCAGGACACAAAACAGAGCCCATATGGGATGCCAGCACTGCAGGCAGAAACGCAATGTGCAATGCCACAGTGTCGGCCCTGGAATGCTAACATCTTAACTAGTACACCCGATATATGCAGCAGCATGTTCTTATAAAGATCCTAGTGTCCTAAGCTCTGGCATCTTCACACGATGAACAAAGGCACTGGCTGCCCAATGTCCACCTATGCCTCTCTACTTCTCTTTCAAGGGAATGGCAGGAAACAGGAAACCAATGCAAGCGTAAATTCAGAGAGCTTGCTGTTATGAGTCGTACAGGCCTGTGGTTCTGACATGGAGTGCTGTACCTGAATCTAGCATCCACCAAACTACAGAAGGCTAGTGCAAAGTAGGTACAATCTCCAAGCCTTCACATCTTCCTGACAAATCCATATAGAAAGGAAAAAACAGCAGCTTGTTTTGCAAAAGAAAGAGCTCATAATTTTGACCAAACTGCCCTAGGAGACACCAAGGAGGAAGATTTCAGTAGGCAAGCCATTAATGCAACAGGGAGCCCAAGCAGAGGGAGAGTCTTGATGGTGGCAGATAGAGACTTTGGGGGAATTGGAGTGAAGTGGGTAGACTGAGTTTGACAAGTATTTTAAGGTGAGTATCAGGACTTGGTGAGGACACTTCAGAATGACTGCAGATAACTACAAGTGCTGAGGGGAATATCCGTCACTGGTCAGTGTCCGATGAATGTCTCATTTCATAACAACTCATAGGTGACGTTTCAACAACCTTCATTTTCATGTGAGAAATCTGGGGCACGAAAGGGTTAAATCACCTAGCTAAAGGGTAAGAAGTAAGGCTTCAAACTCCAGTGGTGTAGCTCTCTTGTCTCAAACAAGGAAATGGGGTGGGATTCCAAAGAGACTGGAAGCAGATACAGGAAAGAGAGAACTTAGAGAAGGTGACGGGAAGACTTGGGCAGAGGCCAACTTTGGCTGAGTCATCTAGCGAGAAGGAAGCAGTCATGCAAGAACTGGGATACCCTTTTGAGCAGAGTGGCCAGCACAGACTCTGGGAAGAACATCGTGTTCCTCCCGGGTCACAGGAGACCACACACGAGGGCCAAGAAGCAAGCAGACTGTACAAAGTCCTGTGAACCAGTTGAGCATGCACCTGGCTCTGGTTACAACAGAAAACTGGAAAGTCAAATGATGTGATATGTAAATTGTACCTTTCCCAATCTACATTTAAGTAAATACTGGGGCCAGCACGATGGCTATGCCACGGTGGGTTTGGGTCGCCTCCTACACCCCATGCAAGTGCTGGCTTGAGTCCCAGCTGCTCTGCTTCCGATCCAGCTCCCTGCTAGTGTACCTGGGAAAGCAGTGGAAGATGCCCCCAGTTGCCTGGTCCCCTGCCACACACATGGAAGAGCCAGAAGGAGCTCCAGCTCCTGGCTTCAGCCTGGCTCAGTCCAGCCATCGCAGCCATCTGGGGGATGAACCAGCATATGGAAGGTCTAACTCTGCCTTTCAAATACATAAATGAACTTTTTTTAAAAAAGTGTTTTAAATATAAATGTTCAGGGAAAAAAGCAGGGAAGCATAGCAACTGATACCAGCAGGGACTTCCGAAGATGAGGTAAAGCTAGTGACCAGTGCATTTCTAAATTATTGCTTTTCTAAAAACATGGAAATGTACCTACATATTTGTACAAGTGAAACAAATTAAGCTCTGTAAAGTTGCCTGCATCACCGTTAAAACACCCTGAACAGATAGATGCTGGACATTAAAGCAAATATTAGACTATACAGTGTGTGATGCCAAATGACAGGATGGGTCCCTCCCTTGGAGACTGACTCTGTGACAAGCAGCTACGCACATTGAGTAGTGAGCCAGTCGGCTTAGGGAGCAGAGACATGGAGAACAACCCAGCAGGGCATGTTAACTAGAGCTGTACCCTAAGACTGATAGAATCCAATCAGTGAGCAAAAGTTGGCTGGTTTCTCTCCATGCAAAGCAACTGATAATCCTGTGCATTGCACAAATTATGAAAGTCACTTTCAGTGTCAAGTTGAGCTAGTGCCAGCTTTTATGTCTCTTGACATAGAGAAGGTAAATGGTCAAGAGTAAATCTGAGTTACCCACAGTCACAAAGTTACACTTCTGCGTGAACATCATCCTGCCTTTGTGTCTATGTAATTGGAATAAGCAACTACCTTGCCTGCAGGCACCCAAATCTTCTCAGTAAGTTAATTTTTTTTTAATGAGGAGACACTACCAGTGTAATCTAGAACACCACCAAGACTTGGCATTCATAGATGGTTGGATGCCAAGGCCAGCATGAACCATGGCTTGAGTTTCTGGCATGAACGATGAGTTTAGTATTTCACAGGTTTTTAAAAAGATTTGTTTTTCGTTTTTATTGAAAGAGAAAGAGATACAGAGAGAAAGAGCTCCCTTCTACTGGCTCACTCCCCAAGTGGCTGCAGTAGCCAGAGCTGAGCCGATCCGAATCCAGGAGCCAGGAGCTTTTCCCATGTGAGTGAAGGTTCCAAGGCTTTAGACCATCCTCGACTGCTTTCCCAGGCCACAGGCAGGGAACTGGAAGGGAAGTGGAGCAGCCAAGACACGAGCCAGCACCCATATGGAATCCCAGCAGTTACAAAGCAATGATTTGGCCACCAGGCTACTGTACCAGACCCTACTTTTCAGTTTTAAAGAATCTTTTTAACACCTTTTTAAACAAAGTGACCGATGGGCACATTAGCTATCTATCGCTGTCTAGCAAAATTAACTCCAAAGTTCAAACAGCTCCACATCACAATTATGTTCTCAGCTTCTATAGACCAGAAATCTGGGCCAGGCTTAGCCGGGTGGCTAGAGCTTAAAGGCCTCCACAAGATGTACACGGTTCTGCCATTGTTTCAAGCTCCATGTGGGGAAGGGCCCGTTTGGAGCTCACACCGCAGTCACAGCTTTCGACAGGTTATCGGCTAGAGACGTCACTGTCACCTGGATTACTGCACAGCGCGCAAGCCAGCTTCCATGCACGTGAGCAAGCGAAAGAACAAGAGAAGCTAGCCAGGGAAAGAAGCCGTGGTCTACTGTTCCTGCTGTTATCTGCAGTCTTTAACAAATGGGCATTGCTATCTAGAGCAGTTGTAGGTTCAAGGTAAAACTAAGCAGGAAGCGGAACCCATATTCACACACAGGTTCCCCCACAGTCTACAGTGCCCACTGGGGTGTCACGCATGTGACCGCTGGTGGGTCTGCTCTGATGGGTCATGATCCCCCACAGCCCGAAGATGACATCACAGTGCCTTCTCGGTGCTTGAATTACTGCATTTCATTGCTGACAGCATATTACCACAGACTGGGGATCGTTTCATAAGAAGAGGTTTATTCTGGCCCACAGTTCGAGAGGTACAGAGACGAAATGCCACAGATGGCAGTGGCCTTCTTGCTGACAGTGTCCCAAGGTGGAGCAGGGTACCACATGGCAAGACGGAACA